TTATAGTTCTAGGAGTTGTTTCATATTGTTTTATAGTACTAAGAGTTGTTTCATATTGTTATATGGTACTAGGAGTTGTTTCATATTGTTATATTTTACTAGGAGTTGTTTCATATTGTTTTGTAGTACAAGGAGTTGTTTCATATTGTTTTATAGTAGGAGTTGTTTTATATTGTTTTATAGTACAAGGAGTTGTTTCATATTGTTATATGGTACTAGGAGTTGTTTTATATTGTTTTATAGTACTAAGAGTTGTTTCATATTGTTAGGTGGTACTAATTGTTTCATATTGTTATATGGTACAAGAGTTGTTTCATATTGTTTTATAGTACAAGGAGTTGTTTCATATTGTTTTATAGTACAAGGAGTTGTTTCATATTGTTTTATAGTACTAGGAGTTGTTTCATATTGTTATGTGGTACTAAAAGTTGTTTCATATTTTTTTGAGCTTTTTTGAAATTGTTTTATCACAATTCAGCTTTTAAGAAATTTCCTGTTTGAGCAAGTTGTTTTGTGTTAATTTGATATTTAAAATTTGTCCTAAAATGTACAATCTGTGCTATTTTAGAAACATCAGTTAACCTTAATCTCCGAAAATAGCTGCTCTGGTGGTGGTTTTAAAACCAAAACATATTGGTTAGCATATTTTATCAAATAGACAAATTGTTGTCAACTTTGACAAAAATTCTTAAATGTTAATTGTGTATTTTGTAGATAATAATGGACAAAAGGGAGCTCAGACGGTATTAAAATGTTTAGTTTGTAGTGATAAATCATCAGGAGTCCATTATGGGGTGTTAGCTTGTGAAGGATGTAAGGTAAGTATCTTTTTCTGTGACTGACTCCTATTGCTATCTATGATCTGACTAAATTGTTATGCAATATGGGTCATTAAAAATTCAACCAATTGAAATTCTCTGTTTAATTAGTTTCCTTGCTGTATTTGAGAATTCTGGGATATAAATTGACTTATTGTTAAAGGCATCAAGGAATAAAAATAGTTTAATGGAATCAGCCAAGCTCTTTACTTCATGTAATAGGTTTTAACTGTCAAAATCATGTTCATAATTTTTACCTTATATGTGGTATGCTTATAATTCTATATTTTTTAATGGTTTGTCTTTTTTGTTAATGTAGGGATTTTTTCGAAGAGCTTTACAGAATGTCGGTGATCCAGCTAGAAAGAAATGTTTCTACAACAAGAATTGTGAAATTAATTTACAAACTAGAAATAGATGTCAATATTGTCGATTACAGAAATGTTTAGCTCTAGGCATGTCTAGATCAGGTGAGATATACTAAATGTTAAATGCATCTTTCAAGATGGATTCTTCACTTTTATGTACTCAATTCTTTGTGTGGAAATATACTGTGAGCGCTTATTTCTACGTATGTCCATCCATATGTCAGTCACTGCTTTGATCATTTCATTCACATTTTCTTGTAAATCCTGTTACAGCCACAACCTTAAACTGGTTTTGACAAAGGAAAGAGTTTGCATATGAGTATGAAGTCCTAAAACAAAGACCCAGTTTGAATATCAACTCTTTAAAGTGACAAGAGTTTACACTTTGTCAACAATAAACAAACATATCTCTTTTCTTGAATTCTGGAATGCATGAATTTACCTAAAGTGCATGTTGAGGGGTTCAACTTAAGTTCACAAAAGTCATTTTGATGTAGAGTATATTATCTCAGAAAGAAATCATCTTATGTATATACTGTAAGTTTATGGTGATTTATTTTGCCATCTGGATGCTGAACACTTAATAAAGCACTGATCAAAAATGCATGTGTAATTTCTGACTTGAATTCTTGAATTTCTGCCAGGGGCATACTGTACCATGTCAGACCGTATCAGATGATAATTATTTTGCAAGTAGTAAATCATTGACATTCATTTCAGCTGCTAAACTGGGCAGAAGATCTCGAAAGATGAGGGAAATGATTCAAACTATTGAAGATACCCAAACAGAACAAGCTTTACATGGTTTATTAAGTTTAAATTCAGAAGGAAATAGTCAAGTTTTAAACCAACTAGCTGCTAATCCATTGGTTATAACTGGTCTGAATTTACCACCAGACCCTAATAACCAGACGTCAATGGCAGCTTTATCTATGCTACTAAAATCTAGAAATTCTGCAGGATTGATAGGAGAACCAATGGTATCCACAGACACTGTTCCACAACATACCCAGCAAATACCATCTCCTAATAATGATAATTATAATGGTGATAATGAAGACCTCAGACCTGAACCAGTGATATATAAACATGAATTGAAGGATCAAAGACATAGTCTGGACCAAAATGTTGCTCAGAACTTGAGTATAATGAGAGAACCAGCTAGCAGTAGTCAACCTGACCGAGTCCCATTACCTTTAATAACAACCTATCAAAGCGCTAGCCCTAAAACTAATACTTCAAACATTTATGTCAGAACATCCCAGGATTCCACTTATATGGTCCCTCATTCAACTGTTAAAAATGAGTATGGTGAGCAAGAAAGAATGTTGCCATCACCTACTGTTTCAATGACTTATCTTCCTGAGTCTTTACACCAACAATATCAACAGCAACAACAACAACAACAACAACAACAACAACAACAACAACAACAACAACAACAATCTGTGATCGTTCAAAACCTAACATTAGATCTACGCAAAAAGTCTGAAGAAGAAATCAGCCGCAGTCCGATAAAAAAACGACCATATATACCAAATGATGATACCAATGAAAATCATTCAGACAAAGAAATTGTCTCAAGACATCAACAGATAGATCATCCTTCAAATCATTTTCACTCTAGTAATAAGAAACGTATAACTGATAATTTAGCATTGAGAGCTAGTTTAAATGCTCATCGTGAAGCAATAGCCAGACAAGAATATGAGACTCATTCTTTATCTCGTGAATCTTCTAGCGAACATTTAGCTGTGGTTTCACCTATTATGAAAAATAGAACAAATTGTGTTAGTCGGCGAGAGGAGGAACCTAAATTAACTATACCATCAATGATTGGCAAAATTCATGAATCTTATAATGTGACCTTTACATTTTTGAAAGTAAGAATGGGAGAAATGTGTGAAAAATTGCTAGAATTGAAGAAACGAAATAGTGTGGAATCCATGATAGGAAGAATTGTAACACAGCAATTACAGAGGGTAAATTATGGCTATATTAATTAAATAATGAAATAGTTTATAGAAATGTGCAGATGACGAAAAAAGTTGATTTAAGATATTTTCAATAGAATTTGTAAAAAGCCACAAATCAAATTAGAACTCATAAGCACTGACAACATTCCATTGTAATGATCGAAAGAATATGAATGAAAGGACTAATGAAAATTGAAAATTCTTTTCAGCAAAATGATGAAGACTTGACACCAGGAGAAAGAGCTTGGGATGTCTTTCAGTTACGTATGCATAAAACTATTCAAGATGTTGTTATATTTGCTAAAAAGATTCCTGGTTTTACTGGTTTAGACCAAGATGATCAGATTAGTTTGATAAAAGGTGGATGTTTTGAAGTAAGTGTTTTTTTTTTTTATTAATTCCACAAATATTTTGTCTTTGTATTCCAATAGTGAGTTTTCCTTGAATTTGCTTTTGACCGACAGAATCTTGTGATTCTCAGACATTTGAGTTGTCCTGCTAGCCATATCCGGAAAATAAAGCCAAATCACAGCCCTGGAATCAAGTAGCCTGTGAAGCAACACATGCGTCAGTTTTTATAGTTAACAATGTATGTAACTCTAACAACTGTTTCAAATGGATACCAAGTGGAACACATAACTTACTGTCTGCTCTTTCAGAACATTATGTTAGTAGTTTCTATTAAGATATTATTGAGTTAACAGCTTTAATATTACACATATTGTGGATATTAAATTCATCATCAATACAACTGATATGGACATATGATGAGTGCTATCAACTTTTTACTGTTATTCCAATTTTTCCCCATATTTCACAAACAAATATTACAGTCAAAATCATAAGGCTATTTTTTTTACATTACAGTTACAAAAACGGCCCTTTTTTATACCTACAACAGAAGTACATTTTGAGAAGTGTAATTTGCGATGCAAATGGGGAGTTGTTTAATTTTAGATAATGATTAAATTTAATGTTAATCAATATGTATATGATGTAATTGTAGGTAGCATGTGTTGTTTGTGCACCATTTGTAGATAATGACAGTAATACTATTTATTTATTGGGGAATGGAACTTTAATAACTCGAGAAGAAATGAAGATTGGCTTTCCTCTAGGAGAACATTTTGTGGAACTACTATTTAATTTATGTAATCGTTTTAATGCATTTCATCTCTTGGATTCAGAAAAGGCATTATTTAGTGCTCTAGTTATGATATCACCAGGTTAGTATGAGTATATTTCGCTATTAAAGAAAGTTTGTAGTGCAGATTTTGAATCATTACATGCTGTGGTTTCTTTTAAAAAATCAATCAAATGGTGGTCTGGGGTATGGCTGGTCAATTATGGTTCATGTGCATATCACGATATAAATCATTGATATATCACAATATGGGTATAAATCACAATATTTCTTAAGGGGGTAAATTTTACTGGTTATTCAAAACAAAATGAAAATATATTGTTCCAATATTAAGAAACTTGTCAAAATTGGGTACTACTCTTCATCATAATATGGCGATATTTCGGTATTTTTTAATCATAGTGTTATGTTCTTATCTCGGTCAGCTTGTGAAAGTCAAGTGAATAAAATAAGAAATCTTTCCTCATTGCTCCATTTGACCCAGCTTTACATGGGTGCAGATAATCCAGGAAAGAACAATGTTTGGTCAAGGACCATTTGGTAGATAGGATCTTTTGTGAGCCTAAGTAGTTATCCTTGTAAAAATGGTTCTTTATTTCTTTCTTAGATTGAAAAGGATTCCATTTGTAAAATTTGAAAAATAGACATCAAATTGATGTGATTCCTCTGTAATAGTTGGAGAGTCCACATAGCTAATAACACTTACATGCGTAAATATTTTACTGAGAAATTGATAACATGGCTGGTGCTTTAAATAATCAGTCAGGTGTTGGAATAAAACCAACATAATAATCTTAAAACTTATTCTGGATTAATCTGGTATTGTTTTATATTATTATTATTATTATTATTATAGATCGTCCTGGTTTGAAAAATAGAGACAAAGTTTGTAAGTTACAAGAAATGTTGATTCAAGCATTACAGTTTGAAATATCAGATTGTCACCCAGATGAAGTTGGTTTGTTTCCTCGTTTATTAATGAGTATATCCAGTTTACGTGAACTTGGCGTTGAACATCGACGAATGTTAGAATCACTTAAGGGTCAAATGAGTTTTCCTCATGACCTATATGCTGAAACATTTGATCTAGTGCCATAAAAAGTTGTTATGTTATGTTGTTAAAATGACTCTCCCGGTGAACCAATCAAAATCTGTATTTTTGTTTGTTATTCAAATACTCCTTATTATTTATTAAAGGGAACATCTTGGTTGGTTATATTTTTTCTCACTTTATTTTTTTTGTTTTGTGTTTGCCTCAATGTATCCGGTGTGTACAATTAATAGAATACATGTGCTTTATAGATATTTGCCTTAAATCTTGAAATATTATATATTATGATTATGTGTATATTTAGATTTTAAATGAAACTGCTCATTTATATTATTACACTTTGGGAGCTTTAGCATACTTTAACTAAGATTTGGTTAGCTACATTTTTATCAAGTTTTTGTGGAAAGAATAGAAATTTAGGAATATGAATCCATTTGATTATGTTCTTACGAAAAGAAAAAATTGCAAAAAAGAAAAAAAAAACTGTTATTATTTGATACCGGTTAAGGTTTGGTGTAATTTGGACTATCTTTAGCTTGCTATTAACGTTCAATATTACCAAAAATAGAATATATATAAGAATTGTCTGAAGCTCCCTTCTACATGCCCTGTTGTTACTACACATTTATATCTTGGTGTTATAGTCACACTGTGTTCAATGAACATTACACAATAACTAAATTTTAAACCTGATGTAAACAATGATTCTGTACAACATTTCTCTTTAGTTAGTCTTCCATTTGATATTTAGAATGTTCTAGTCATATGTTCAACTTGATATAAAACAACTAGTTTTAACAGGGCCAATTTTTAATGAAGGCAGCAATCCTTTTCCTTTTTTTATTTTGGATTAAAAGCTTTAGACGAACATTTGTTCAAGGTGCCATCAACTTTTCTTAATGTATGCTTTATGTGTTTAGATATTCTTAAAAAACCTGGATGTATCTAGTTTTAAATCCGTTGAATTGTATCATGTATTGAAATTGACTTGTGATAGATATATACCTTAACACTTGAATTGGTAATTAAAGGAATGGCTCCACATTGACTCATATAGTTGTTTAAGTATTGGCTTTACCAGCAGATACCAGGTCAATTTAAGCTAACCATAATGCTTTTCTGAATTTAATTCAACATAAATGTACAGTGAAAGTCTGGCATTTTCCAGATGTTAAATTTTAAAAAGTGTTGTGGTAAGCTTAAAATAAGCTCTACAGATAGGTACGAAGTTAGAGAAAAGTTAAGGTATATATCTATGAACTAATAGATACCTATGCCATATCAATTGTTGTATATAATATAAATTAGATTTTTATTATTCAATAACTATGCCAATATATTTAACCAGTTTATGATCTATATATCTATATAATGTTATTGTGTTCAATAAGTGTCAACATCCGGTGAATTCGACCAATCAGTACCTGATGAGAAAGTTTATTTTTTATCATTATTTGTTGTACTCGGTGATGTCAAATTGTCTGTACCATCTTGAATTTATTTACATGTATCATGAACCATGCCGGTGGATTTTTTGGTCATCTTCATTATTACGATCTACATGCGGCCAATTTTTAGTTACTTTGAGATGCTTAAGGGGAGCTGAAATTAATAGAAATATATGATTCTGTGCTATTTAGGGTTGAGATGGAATTTCCTTTTCCATATGATACATTTGTTTTGTTAGAAATAGACATAGGCTTTGTTTTATACACAGAGCTAACTAATACTTGTTGATATTAAGTCTAAATGAGAGAAGCTTTAACTGTTGAAAGAGAAATTCATATAAAACCTCTTTTCAAAACCAGCTAAAAAAATAAATTAATATAAATATTAAGGGATATGGTTATCGTTGTATTGCTTCACCAGCTGAGAGAGCACAGTTTCAGATCTCCTTAAAACATCTGAGAAATAAGATCTGACCCCCAGTTGTAGTGTTTTATTTCTGAAAAGTGATATGATGAATTGAAAGTAAACTAACAGTTGGAAATATCAAGATAAGTAGATCCTTTTAATTGGTAAACTTTGTGTTTTACTGTTGAATAGTGCTCAATGCTTTTAGAAGTGATGTTAATAAAGGTATTTCACCAATGTACTACATAGTAGCCCCCCTTACATCAGTGATAGCAATACATGTATTATCATCTAGATTTGTTTCACATACATTAACTTAGCAAAGTTTGATAAAAATTGGATATTACAGATATCTATGGACAAGTCTATGAACACCTTATACCAGTGCTTTGATTTAATATATTATTATTTATGTTAATATTATTAAAATGATACATTGTACTCAATTGATAAATTTAAAGTATTAAATATATACTCTGTGGACAAAGTTTTCAACTGTTCAATGAACTAAGCAGATCAATATGGATTAATGTACATATATATCAATTAATAAACCTGATATTCAAAACAAAGAGCAATGTATCATTTTAATATTTGTTTATTAATTATTAGTTATTCAAATCGTGTATATTATATTCTATTTATTTTGATATATTTTATTAGTTTGTTTGTTGTACATTATATTTTAGACACAAAAAGGGCAGTAAATCCACTTTCAAGGGAGAATTCTACATTGAAAAATTGCATTTTATTTTAACAAGGGGAGATAAGGTAGACTGATAATTCTGAATAACTAGATGTGAAGAGATTAAAATACTATGAGACTACACAGAGATTATATTACTGTCATGCTAAGATTTTTTTATTTTCTTATTAGCTGCTCATGATTGTTTCTAACTATCCAATATAATTTTGAGAATTTTTTTTATGAGAAAAAAATTACAGTAGATCAAGCTGAAAAAACGTTTCCATTGTTAAGAATATTGAATTACATTTAAAATGAATACCTCACACATTTAGGTATAAAAAATAAGTTAAGCTTAATATCATTTTTGGACATACTGGCTTGGCTATAATGTTAGCTTTTAAGTTTCATATCTCAACCATAAATGTGGATTTATATTGTCATTGAAACCATCTGTAAACATGAATATATGAATGAATTCAATTTGTGAATGTGATACTAGTTTTAGTATAAAGCAGGTCTCCTTAGTAATAAGGTCAAATCTTTAGGTTCAATTTCATGATTTTTTAGAAACATTCTCTGAGGTTATCCTTTGACTTGGAGAAAATTCTTTCAAGTTTACAGCAACACCATGGAATTTAAGGTTATACATTTGATCAACATTTTCAAGATTTTTCAAGATTATAAATGTTCAATGATTCTTTTTCAAAAAGAGGTCATGTGTGGACTGTTCATTTAGGGTTACTACATTACTATATATTGTCATTTATCCTTCATTCCTTAAAACAGTTATGTGTGCCACAGAAAACGAAAATAACAACCAGTATTATATTAAGAATATGAGTAGATTATTTAGCACAGTCCATACTTAATAGATTGAAGCATTTATTTCTTTTACATTACTTTATTCTATAATGATTCAAAAATTAGTTTGCTGAAAAAACAAAATGTAGATTATGATATAAGCCATGAATTTATAGTAGGTCCAGTCTAACTAAAATTAGACCAAACTTTCGTTCCTTTTTTTGATTAGCTTTTATTTTTAATATAGCCACTTCAGTATAACAATAGCCCTCTTGAACATTTGTCAAATTAACATTTGGACCTAACCTGATAAACACAAAATGATAGCGCTTGAGAGGGCAGAGATTTGATTGGTTAAAGCAGATGTCATCGAGTTTGGTGGAAAGGTTAATTTGACGAATGTTCAAGAGAGCTGGGCTGTCGTTAGAATCTAACTGAAGTGGCTATATAAAAAATTAAACTGGACTCACATTTGTGCACATTTTGGTAGGACTAAAAATGTAAACACAAGCAGTGCGCTTGTTTGTTAAGTAGTACATATTAAAATAAAAGTATGGTTTACGTAATGTCAATAGATATATATTGTATCTAACAATAACTAGAACTTTAGGTTCTGAATTGTTTCCATGCATAAATATCTGTGCTTTATTTTAAAATCCAGATTGAGAAAAATATTATTGAACAAATTTCTTTTTTCCATGGGAAAGTGGCAAAAAATTAAAGTTTTAGAGGCATTGGATGTTGTAGAAAATGCTTAGAATATATGACCTAAATATAGGTGGTGTTTAATTATTTTTTAGAAATAACCAATGATCATTGATGTTAATAGGCACTATTATTATTATTAATGTGTTATATAGATTATATATATAAGTATATATTGTGGCTTAATGTAGAGAGAGAGAGAAGATCAAAGATTTTAACATTCCATCTAGTGCCATCCTTATCATGCAATTATTGTATGTAAATTGTAGTGCGATTTTTTAAGAACTCTCCCGGTGTTAGTAAACCAGTGAAAAATCATAAAGATTGTAAAACCATTCAACTGGCAGTATTTATTCACAATTTATGCAGATCTATAGTTTTTAGGATTCACTTTGTGGTGCAAATATTTTAAGTGAATCTCTTTATATTTTTCTGTGTTTGCTATTGAAATAATAAATCTTTGTCTCCTTCAGTACGTTTGTTTTGTAGTTTGTGAAGGATTGTAAAGACGTTTTCTTTTCTTTTTTGTATATAAGGGAATATTTTATTGAACAAAGCATTTCATTGGTTAAAACATTTAACCTAGCACATGAGTTGCATAACAATATCATCAGATCCTGGAGGTAAGTGGATTTCACTTGGAGTCCACAACAGAATAACATGAAACAGAATATCTAAATATTCATTTTGAATAGATTGTGTATTTCCACAGAAAATATCCTCATTACAATTTATACATATGTTGATAAAAATTCTCAAATTTGAGATTGTGTCACAATTGGAAGAGGTTTACTGCTGAAATGGATAAATCATTAATATAATGAATAAATATATTACATGAATAATAATGTCAATAACAATAATAATGTATCACTTTGTATGACAAAATGCCAGCTTTAGCGCTTATACAGGTTTTATAAGCCTAAAGAATTACAGTATGTGCCATTTTAGTCGTGTACATTTTCCTGAACAAAGAATAGAGTGCAATTCCATCTATACACAACACTTAAAATCACATGCCAGCTTCTCATCCAATTCGAATTCTATGTACAAAAAATATACCTAGCCAATAAGACTATCTCCATTTCCAGTAGGTCATTAACCTCCGCACGTGCAGTTATATTAATTACTTGTATATTATTATATATTATTATGATTGAAAGTTACAATATATAATTATCAGACTTCTACATCAGCTGATCGGCATGCGAAAATACTGGGTGTTGCTGGGAAGATCGTGGCCCGATCGTCGTCCTCAACCGCATCACACACCACCTGCTCGATAACATGGTATCAAGAACAACAGAGGTACCATCATGTTTCTTTAATAGCAACGATCCGATGATAGTGTTAAATGTGAATAATCTTCGTACCGTTGCTAAATGAACATGGCGTATCATTTACATGGTCTTTGACTTAGTCAAATCTAGAAAAAGTGCCAGGAACAAAACTAAAAACATCTGCATTCTCTTTGAGGACCTGACGAAAGCCTTCGATAGGGTCATTTCTATTGGCCATCTTATCCAAGTTCGGCTGTCCCCTAATATTTATCGACTAGTCATTTAACTAAGGCATGATGGCACGAGTGGTGGAAAGTGATCAGCAGACCTCTTTACTGTTTCAAATGTTGTAAAGCAAGACCTCATGCTGCATGTTCGCCACAATGCTCTTTTCAGCACTCTTAAGCCGCGCCCTCACTGAGAGAAGCAGACTTAACAGCTAGCACAATTGGCTGTTAACAGCTCAAAGAGAAAATTTGGACCATGAGTGTGCGGAAAACAGAAGTGCTGCTCTATCCTGATTCAGGTCTCATTTCCTCAGACACACCGAAAAAGGAGGAACCAGGATGAGCAATGTGGAAAGCTTCCCATGCCTTGGTAGCACTATATTTATCACCTCAATGGGCGAACACGGCAAGACCAAGATAGCAGTCTACAGAGCATCGTATTGACATCCATGTGGTATGGTTGCGAAACATAGACAGAATGTATAGGAAACAGCTGAAGAAACTCGATCAGTTCCACCTCCGATGCCTGTGCAAAATCAAGGGAGGATAGAGTTCCGAACGCAGATGTAATCCAAAGAGCTAATATGCCTGGGGTAGTTCAATCCCTTATCTTCAACTTTGTTCTTTCTCATCTGAATACATGGGTAGGCCTATTTTAATTAAGTGATTTATGGAGGCATAACATGGGCCTAACTACTTATATATAAAAAATAAATTATATACGAATCGAATCAGATAGACTGTACGCTATTATAGTCAGATTGTTGATTTGTAGTAGGGGATGACTTTATATTGTGCTTTGCTGGTTGGCTAATTGTAGGCCTAACAATTTCTTTCACACTCAAATCTTGGCCCAGTCCTTGGTAGCTAAGTTATTTGAGGCTAAGTTTGAAACAAAAGAAATGGTTGCCAAGTTATTTAAGCTGGTACATTGACCAATGGCTTTCTTGTCTTTCAGGTCAATGTAAAGGGAACACTTATAATTTCCAGTTTCTCGTCTGGCGTCAAGGCTCATAGCTACAGGGTTAGGCTTCCGAAAGAATGGATCGTTCCCTTGAAAAGATTCTGACAACCGACCAATTACATTGGCTACACCACCATCTATAGATAGTCTCTACTTAACCTTTTACAATCAAGTCTGACTACGGCTACGGGCATGCTGACGATTCTTTGACAATCTTTGAATTTTAGCCTACGAAATAATGCCAGTAACCACAAAGGCTACAAAAACAAAAGTCTTGATCAGGTGTGTATATGAGCAGTCTCCAATTTTTTAGGCTATATATTTTAATGGGATATTAATATCAAAACTTAAGTACACTTTCAAAGTTCAAAATGCCAATGGTAGGATGTTTGTTGTGAATTAAGAATCTTTTATAAGCAGATTGGATTTTTAGAATCATTATTCCTAGAGAATTATTTTCAACCATTACCGCCCTTTTTTATTTATCTCGCACGCCTACCGTGAAAAATCTGCAAAGCAGGGATATACACGTCACGTGATCTCCGAGCATGCGCAAACTAGCGGCATTTTACGAGAAGCCAGTCGAAAAGATGAAACTGCTGCCTAACTCGGCCTCAACAAGGGCCCGTTAGTTCAGCCGTGAAACGATATATTTTGTGTATTTGGGCAATAAAATGTCTCGGTACCGGTGCTATGTAAAAACATTAATTGATTAACTAATTGTGTGTTTATTCCTCAAGCAGCTTCTGTGATACAAGTGCAATCTTTCCAGGGTAGGAAACTCGTGCGGTTGAATTCCTTTTTATAAAAAAAAAGGTAAGGAACGGCTTGATAATATTTGCACAATCGCATTGTTTACTGTTTTGATTCCTAATTAGTTAATTAGATTAAGATTACATCTTAATGGTCTAAATTTTGGGATTAATCGGTTGATAAATACATTCATTTCTGTACACCACTCAACCGAAACACAACATTGAGCTTACAGCCATGTTGGGCGAAGAACGAATCGAAACACAGTTTGATAAAGATGACAAATATCCAATTAAATTGTCTTTTGTGGTAACTCTTTGCTAAATTAATAATCATTTCACTTAGGAAATATTTCTGCCTTCAAATGCAGCATTTTTATGAGAGAAATGTAGAGAAAATGCGTTGACAACACGAAGATTGTTGTAGTGTATGAAAGTGACGCTTTGCTGTAATACAATAGTCGCCATTTTATGTCGGCCATCTTCTCTACTCTCTACACTGAGTTAATTGAATATTCAAGATGGAGGCAAAAAATGTAAGACCTTGGGTAGACGGTAGCTGGTTGTTGCAATTTGCAATGAGTGCCCTTTTCTAGCATTTGTTTAATTGGTCCTACTCTACCTTTATAAGCGTTCGGAGGTAATATTTCTTGGAAAATGTAATAATAAAGCTAAATGAGGCTTAAACATTAGTCATATAAGCTATTCATATGTAGTGGGCTATTACATACAAGTAGGCCTATGTTAGGCTTAGAAATAGATTTGCATGTCCCTGGAATGCTGGTGTGAATTGATAGATCGTAAAATATCTGTGTAGATATGGTCTTATTAGATCTGATACGTCATAAAATATATGATGAAAGTAAGTTGCATGTTTATAGGATATCACCCTGTTGCTGATAGTTATTTATGCTTAGATCTACTATAAATTGGCCAGATCTAATCATTATTTAATTGAATAGATAGGTAAAATTTGAACTCATCTCCTATGACTCTGGCAGCAATCTCGATGTGAATCAGTCAAAACATTAGCATGATGTTGTCTTGAATTTATCAAAAATATAACATGAAAGAAAACAATTTCTCTGGAAATTTGTGTCTAACATAATAATAGGCCTATCCTATTGAATTTATCTACAATTATATATAGATAGACAAAGATATGATTTAAACCTATATTTATATTTGTTTATTGGGCTAAGCTTACTTAAGCCGAATATAGATCTGAATCAATCCATACATTAGCACCTGTGATTCCATTAAAATTGAAAAAGAACACATTCTCTACCACAATTCCATTCCATTAAATTTTGCTTATAAGATTCTTCATTTTGAAGAATGATGTGTTTACTTCAGTTGCCTGGGGGTCAGATGATATAATTAGCTGACTGTTAATTGTCATTGCATAAATATTCATATTGAGACCCTTAGATATTGATATAGATATAAATCTTATCAAGATTATTTGTATTTTGTAGCTAATAATCCAAAGATCTTTCATCTTGCCTTGCAGTATAATCAACATTACCCTTAATATAAGGTGAGAAATATTTTACATGCACCTTAAAGGGGACACAATGTTGTCAAATTCTTATTGTCAAAGAAACCTGGTAATCTAATGCATAAGACTTTCACTTTTCTTTTTTTTCTTAGATGAACAGTTTATTTAGCATCAATTAAATGCATGGCTACCTTTTGGTCATTCCACATTTCTTGTAGTCACGTCATAGAGGCTTGATCCAATCTTTGTGAAACTTGGTATGCATGCATTATTGATGATACACTGGTCAATTTCCATTTTGCCAATTATCGTACTATCGGTTTTTGGGTTATACAAAAGCACTGTGTAATCTATCATCAAATGCTGTGTGGTAGTACAGCAAAAAGTTTTCACTTTTAACGACATTCATGGGGAACTGGTCCAAACTAGGTCAAATCTTCTTCAGTACTCATTTGCAGTTTAGTTGGTTTTTAAATCTTGGGTAATTAAATGGGATTAATTGGGTACCCATACCGTAACTAAAGGATGTAAAAATCAATGACTGTTTGAACACTAGACAGCTGCTGTGAGCATGTTACCTAGTCTGCCAAACTAAAGCTATTTCTAAATATTTTTTTCAGCTACCAGTATTACTTTTGATAAAACAAATAATTTTAAATGTATGCTTGTGAACATGATGGAGGTTACAGTTTTCTGGATTTGAGAATCCTATACACATTTTTTACATTTGCCAAATATGAAAATGCCAGATTTAGACTTCAAACTTAACATCGATTAGCGGCAATATATCGTTAGGCATTTCTGAGTGATAATCGTTAAATATAATATTGATATTGACTAAATAAAATAGGGAGACAACTAAAGTGAAAAATAAAGTGAAAGTAATGATACCTGTATTCAATTAATTATATATACATATATAATATAACAAATGTTTGTACTAATTTATTTGGGTATGAGAAAATTCTTATTGATGATTGTTATGATCATATACAATCCATGAAATGGAAGAACATACAAGAATAAAGACTTAAGTTTAGTCTTAGTAGAGTTTATTCTGCAGTATGTGACTGCCTAAAAAATGTTTTTATTATGGTCCCAGGGAGCACTTAACAGAATTAGCAGAGGTTATCTTATTATTATGATAATCGATCGATTTTGAAATGAACTATCGATTATCGTTATTGGTACATGACATAACAGTAATAATCGATTTTTCGATAATCCAATTTAGTTATTTATAGTGCTGAAAACCCAAACCCTTGAGGTTTTAACCATGATAATCAGACCTAAATATTTCACAATATATGTTGAGCTTTTTCACAGGCAAACGTCAAAAAAATATTGAGATCCAATTTGATGGAAAAGTAAGAAATGTGTATGGAATCCTCTAGTATTAAGTTCGCTTTTTCAAATTTATGTTCTTCTATAATGTGGATAAAGAATGTTTATGTTTTCCTTGTGCCATATTTTTTAGTCAAGATATATTCAAATTGCCCTGTGAATGCTAGTTGTACATTCGTACATATTCATTTTAATTTCAGGTTTTAATTTCCATTGCCAAATCTTAGTTGAATCACTGCCTTTCATATCAAATCTCAAGTAAGTGTCTCTGTTATATGAATGTTTTGTGACATGATACGCTCTCTAATGAATTGAGTTAAATATTGATTTGTTTAGTGGATCACATTGGAGCTATACTTTCCAAATATGTATGAGTGTCTTATTATTAATTTACAGTACCGGTATCGCACCTTTTAATGATCATTGTTGAGGAAATAGATTTAGTTTTGAAAAAGTGATTCTCCGGTGAATAATTGTTTTCTTTTATGTTTCCAGATTAAATCAAGTCATTCATGAGGTAAGTTCTCAAACCATATTTTATTCGACTTAAACTGTAATTGTTTCAAATCAAACAAAGGAACATAGTTTCACAGTGATTCTGTCTTATGGATGTTGTTTTATATACCTTGTTTCAATGGATGGCGCAGTTATGAAATTCTGGACCTGTCTAATTGGTGTCATGTGAGAAAATTCATAATTGATCTATACAATTTATGTTAACAGATCTCAAGGGTCCATGCCACATTCTTTCAAGTATTTCCTAGTGATTAGAGTAAGTATTGGTCACTTATATCTATCACTATTCAGAGAAGACTTGAAATTTAAAAGTTCTGCTTTTCATTTAACACCAAAATATAACAGATCCTGAACTGTGTTATCTTTTATCTGACAGTGAACAATTTTGCAAAGCCTCTCCATTACATTTTGTTTATAATGCCAGATAGCTTTCTGAAAAGTTTTAATAGTATTTTAATTGCTGGTTATATAGATTATTACTCAAAATTTAAATAGTAAAGTAATTGTGTTTTTCAGGTAGTATCTATAGATGTTTGATTAATGCAAATATAATATATATCTTAATTATTGGTTGTGTGTTTGTAAGGTATGTATTTTGAATTTTATTATTTATATCTGAATTCTTTTTTAAAAATTTGTGAAAAGATGAGATTATGTTTTAATTTAAGGCATACAATTTCTTTGACTTTCGCTTAAAATTTTTTACATTTATTACCAATTTTATGGTCATTGGTCAGTCTATTTTATATTGACTGAATTTTTTATGTTTCAGATTGCATTCCAAAGAAAGGCAATTCAATTTACGGCTGATCATAATTTTAAAGTGCCTGAGCTCTCAGGAAATGGGAGTCATTTATTCCTTCCAAATCAAGGGAGGTAAAGCATTATTAAAGCTGGTAAGTAGGGACCTAGACCCTATTATCTTCAGATTTCTTTTAATGATTTTAATAATTATATTTTGTCATTACTTCTAATGAATAATGTTAAGTCCAAGCCCTTTATTTTAAACACTGAGTCCTTTTAAAGGTGTGTAAAATGTGTTCTCATTTTGTTGATTTTGGGAATATATGTCATAACAATAGCATAAACAAATCTTGATCTCACTTTTGTACTTTTACAATTATCTTAAAGTTATCAAATGTTTATGAAGTTTTGTATTTCTCAATATTTAATTCCACCCTCATGACAAAATGTTTTATCTTACGATCAATAAGCTTTTCTTACTGTGTTATGAGTAAAATTTTTTTTTTTCAGAATTGAACAAATCTAGTGATCAATTGCAAGTAGAGTAATTGGCTACTTGCTAAAGCAACGAAATTTCTATTGAACGAGAGTATTTTTAAATTTTAAAGTGTAGATAATGCAACAGGGTAAGTTTGATAGTTTTGCTAAATTAGGGGCATGACATTCTTATTTTCTCTCTTCCATTAACAGGCAGTATCTAGGATCATAGTTGTATTTGATGTGCTTGCTTCTCTTATTGTTTTTGTTCATGTTCTTGTGTCATGCAATTACAATGAAACATGAGAGTTGAGAATTTTAACTTGCAAAGAGTCTACATACTTCCAGATAATAAAGGGAGCCACGGTGGCTCAGTGAGTAAGACACTTGCTCTCTAACCTGAAGGTCAAGGGTTCAATCATGGCATAGGTCGTTAATATCTTCAAATTTTTCAACCCAGATTCCCCCTGTCAGTGATGCACGTAAGAGGGGCTGACATGGAAAAAGCGTCTAGTCGTTCAATCGAGGCCCCGTGTGCTACAGGCTGTGCATGTTTAAGATCTCTTGACAGTTGGAAATCGAAAAAGAGCAGGCTAATGCCGCTGTCCTCAAATTCCCTCATGGCACCCTGCATGGCGTTGCCCGTCTTCATTAGACACAAGGTGCAGAAAAGTAGGACGTAAAACTCGATCCATTTCGTTTTTTCTAAACAATAAACATATCAGTTAAAAGCAAACTTCCCTTACCGAGTTATGGTAATGTTCACTAGAAATCGAAATGGTTGTAAATTTGTTAGTGTTTAGATTGGAACTTTTAACAATGCAAATATATAAGGTACTTTGTTTGCAGGATTAGTGAACAGTAGAAAATAGAAGAAACAAATCAACTTCTACCATTTTCAACTTTATCAGTTATCCTGCTTGTCTATATGCTCCTTAAAACTTGTCTTTGCTCATTGTAATTGCTTTTTCTGTAGCTGAAAAATTTCTGTTTGTAGCTGGATCAACAGTAGATAGTCATTGGGCAGCAGGTGGAGGTGATAATCATAACAGTTGGGGAGAAGATGGTGGGTGGAGTCAGGGACCAAAGGTTACGGGTAGTGGCTGGACAGACACAGGTGTGTAACTTTTATTTCTTTGCATACTTTATTTGGCTAGTGTCACATATGTACCTTAATTATCTCTGAAAAAAAATATCCCAGAAATGAAAGTCATTGTCAATTGAAAACATGACTAACAAACTTTTAACAGGGCAATTGTTCATTTCCTTTTTCACTGGTATCTACAGATTGTTTCAAAGATTGTGCATTCAGAAAGATCATTAAGACTACTGAATGACCTCTTCTAAACAAATCGAATTATCTGTTGTAGGTCCATCTGAAAACGGCCAGGATATAGGCACTTGGCACAACCCACAACGTTCTGATCAGAATTGGAGTCAAACTACTAACAGTGTTATTGTTGATTCTACTGATAAAGAAGCTTGGCCATCAATTAGGCCAGGTGAAACTGTCTCAGACTCGTGTGATGATATTTCTTCAGCTAATCAATCCACTGTGATAACCAGCTCAACTAATCAAGGGCAAAATATTAACCTTTCAAACGTGTCTAGTGCCATGCAGAGTCAAAGTGCTTCCAGTCCATGGGGCGCACCATCCACATTCAGTGGTATTGAATCAAATCCTTGGGGGTCAGGAAACTCCCCTAGTCCCTCCGCATCCAACCAAAATTCCTTAGGTTGGACCTCATCTAATCCGCATCCAAGTCTTTCTGTGAACAACCAAGGACATAATATGCAAACTGGTACCAGTTCTGCTGGTAGTGATAATATATCAATTAGTAAAAACTTAAACCCATCGTTATCATTAGGATGGGCATCCACCACCCAAGGGCAGGGTGTACATCGACCACAGAATTCCATGCAATTACCAACCTCAAACGGCAACAGTGTGCATGGTATGTTGCCTAGCATAAGTGGTGCTCAACAAAGTGGACCTGCAGTAGGCTCAAGCAGAAGTACTTCAAATCCATGGCCAAGTAGCTCATTTGGAGAACTCTCCAACTTTTCTAAGTCAAATGATTCTGGTTGGAGTACTTCTAATGCTGTAATGAATAATGGGGCAAGTGCTGGAAAGGACAGTCGTGGCAATAATGAACCCAATACTGATTCAGGATCAAGTGTTTGGGGTAAATCTAGCGGTTTTGGTGCCTCTGGTTGGGATCAAAATCCTAGCAACAATAAACCACCAGTATCAGGATCTCAATGGGAGAATGGTAATACAAAGTCACAGTGGGGTGAAAACCCAAGTGGTGCTGCAAAAAGTCAGGGAACAGGCAATAATCCAGAGCAGCTGTCATGGGCTCAAGCTGCATGTAAAGGCCTTCCACCAACTAGTAATTCAGGTAATGATAAAATTATCCCAGAGCAACCAGTTTCTCAGCAAACATTGGAAATGGCACGTGTCATAGATTGTCATGATGGCTGGGGAAGAAAACCTGTGTGCCAGAATTCGTCCTGGGATTTAGAAGTTGCTAAATCTTCTCAGACACCTAGAGTAGATGATGGTGGGGCAGCTAATGTATGGGATAATAATAATGGAACAGCGATATGGGAATCTTCAAGAGATAATCAGAATAGAGTTCCTGGAGGTTGGAATGGGGCAACAAGTGGTCCCCAGTGGAACAAAGACAAAGAATCAAATCAATGGAGTGGTCCTGGTGGTGGGGGATCAGAAAATAATCCGATGAGCGGAGGAGGTGGTTCTGAAGGATCAATTGGGAATTGGAATGTTCCAGACACTACAAATCCAAATGTATGGGGAGGCAAGACAGAGACTGGTTCGTGGAAAGATACCTCCTCTTGGGAAGATACTAGACAGCAAGATGGCACAGCTCATTGGGCTGGAGGTGAAATGGTGAAACCTAAGTCATGGAGTAGTACACCAAGTACTCCTTCTACACCTATTACACCTGGTATTATACAGAAAGAAGACTGGAATAAGGGTGTCAATCAAGTGAATGCACCGGGCAGCCGACCTGGTGGATGGGGTAATCCCTCTAATAGTGACAGAGTTGATGATGGTACCAGTATTTGGGCTGGTAATGCTCAACACCAGGTAAACAAATCACTGGTAATTAATCTTGCTTCTGATTTTTCAATTATTCACAAATCTGATTTCGTCAAATTTTTTACTGAATTATGCAAAATATATAGATATTGAAATGCTTACTGATGTCTTAATGATGATTAGTGTGTGACTTCAATTGTCTTAGTCTGTTCTTTTATTATTTTATAGGCAAGAGCTAGTGGATGGGGTGATACTGGTAGTCAATGGAATCCAACTGTTGGTGCTAAAAGTAAAAGTAGTTGGGATGAAGGAGACAGTTGGAATTCTGCTAACAGAAAGGTTTGTTTGCACTCTGTGTTTTTCATGCTTGTGTTATGGGTTATGTGTAATGCAATGCTCCTGGTTTGGTTGCTGCTTTCTCACATTATTGTCTTGTGAAATTTCTTGGGTTGTCTTTTAAAAAATTTGAGTTTTCCCTTTTCTATTAATGTTACTTTCGTTAGATATGTTTCTTTATTTCTTTTCTACAGACTCACAGTACTTCTCTAACCTAAAAATAAAAATCAACTTTGGTCCGAGACCATAATAGTTTTTCAAGCAAAACTAGAGATTGTTTCTGTACTGTTATTTCTAGGTGATACCCTATTATAAAGACTAAATTGAAGGCAAATATTGAATTAGAACTCTTACTATATTCAACCATTTTTTATAAGAAAGTAATTTTTATTTTACTTGAACTTTGTTGTTTACTTCTTTATTCAGGATTAAGCTACTTTTGCATGCCAAATCTAATATTCAATCAATACTTACTTCTTTATTTCTTTATATTGATAATACAATTCTTGGTCATGAAAGTGACTTCACATTGTATTTTATCATGAAAGAAAATTTTTTTCTTTAACTTTCTCAGAAACCTAATTGTTGAATTGTCTGTCCTCTTGATGAAATGTCTAAATGAATGATGGAAACTTCTAGTCATAATAACTAACTTTACCTAATAGTAACATGTAATATAATAAGATAAGCACTGTGTGTCTGTAGAATTAGAATGTTACGTTATTATTACATTATTTGTATGTGTGATTGAGAGTGACCCGACCTATGTTTACAGCCAGACTGGACTGATGATAGAGGTGGCTGGGGGTGTGTAGATGTAGGCTATTGGAATGATGTTCCAAATGAAAATAGTACATGGAGTAGTGCATCAGGCTGGAAAAACAAACAAGCGGTGAAGGTATTATCAGCGTTCAAAATGATGCTGGCACTTGATTTCAATGTTTTACCCATTCACTTTGTTGGTCAATTTCCATTGTTGTAATGTTTACATGTAACCAACTGAATTATTATATACTTTATTTTATTTCAATTGCACTGTACACAAATTAAATGCTTTGTTGGCTTATATTAATGTCTGAATATAGTTGTAGAAACACCTAATTGATTTGAATGCATTTTACTAATTATTAGATTTAGAGAGTTATAAATGTTATAGTACCAATTGTTATATACAGGGGCTTGTCTTTTAGTTAGTACAATGAGTAATTGAACTTAAACTGCAAGTTTTCAGGTTAAGTTTTTCATAATCAATCGAATTGAATGAAGTTGTAAGAGATATCAGTTTTTAGGAATGGGTATTTTTTTTGTTTGTTAACTTTGTTAAAATTCATTTAGTTATGAAATGTATTTACCTGTGTAAATTTGACTTAAATTCTATTTGATATATTATTATGATAATTCTCTATAAATATTAACGATTATATAATTTCAGATGCCTGCCAATAAATTTCCCCCATCAGTTGGATTTCATCCAAACAATCAAATGCGAGTTCGATTATTAGAACAACTTGTATCAATGGGCTTTAAAGTAAGTTTCTAAACATTTTTTAATCATAGTATTTAGTAGCAAATAAACTCCATTCAATTCATTTTGTTTAACATGGAACTATATGCTAGAATTTTGCAGGTATTAGACAACTGAAAACTTCTTAAACATCTAGTTACAGAGGTTTATGAAAAGAACTCAACTCTATAAGGTACAATAAATACCTCTACTTTTGTTTTAATCAAAGATTATATCTTATTATTTCAGAAAGAAGATGCCCAAAATGCTCTGATTAGCAATAATATGAACTATGAAGGAGCGCTAGGTATGATCTGTCTTCAGTTTTAATCATCATTTACTACAATCTAATAATGTTGATTTAGTACAGTTTAGTTTCTATGGTAGTTTTTCTACCCTTTAAGTACGATAAGATATCAAAAGCCTTATTAGTATGTTAATTTACATCAATTGGTAAACTTACATTCTCCCATATATCAATGACAACTGATATGCTCTCATTGAAATATATTTTTGTTTATTTCAGCTGAACTAGCAAATACTGCTAAGAAAGATAATGATATGGATGTGTTTCACGCCAAAACCAAACCTGGAATATTACCTGATAGTGGGCTCAACAACATATCAGAGAATCATTTGGAGAGCAATCCACATGTGCCTAACTTTCCCGTGCAAAATACTCCTTTTCAAAATGCTCAAGTACCAAATCAGCCATTTATGTCCATGTATGATCAGTCCAAACTTGGTAATACATTGCCAACGTCTAGTCCAAATCCAATGAACTCCAGTATTAATCCTGCATTACAACCAAAATTCATGCCACAACAGAAGTTACCACAGCTTCAACAAGCACCGTCTTTAAGTCCCACCCAGGGCCCTATGACACGTAGTCAAGCACCTGATCTTAATTCCACACACTTTCAGATGTTCAGACAACAGTTGTTAAAACAATTGAATATGGCAGTACAGTCAGGCCTAATAAGTCCTCAATTACTAGTCGCCCAACCATTACCCCGTAATATACTTCAACTCTTACAACAACTACTAGAATGTCAAAACTTCCTACAACAACTTATCAAACAACAAGTTATGGTGCAGAAAAACAAAGGGATGCAACCAAATCAACAACTTAATACACCTATGATAGCAAAGATCAAACAACAAATACTGAACATTCAAAAACAGATCTCACAGGCTGAAGCCCAAATTAAACCTTCACAGCCACAAAACCAAGATGTAGTGTCCATGATACAAACTGAGTTGAACAGTTTATCCATAAATAATTCAACAATGACTCCTCCACAACCTCAATCTAGATTAAACCAATGGAAGACTGGAAATGGTGACAATGATGCTGATAACCTCAATAAAGCTGTTGGTAGTAAACCAATGCATCAATCTCAATCATCTCCTAACCTGGGTCGATTTGATGAGCTCAGTGGTTTAAATATATCAGGTGATACGACTTGGTCAACACATGCTTCATCCACCTCGCAGAATTGGCCATCCACCTCAGAGGGAACCACAATTCAAGCGGATTCAAAACCTAGCATGGATAACAAAGAATCTCTTAATTTAGCTACTTTAACTGACGTTATTCCAGAATTTATTCCAGGCAAACCATGGCAAGGTTTCAGTAACAAGAATGTTGAAGATGATCCACATATTACTCCAGGAAGTTTTCAACGCTCATTCAGTGTTAATGTTGTTAAAGATGATGCTTTAGACAACTTATCTGCTCAAAAGAATATGACTTCATCAGATTGGAGTAAGAGCACCAATTCCAAGAACTGGTCAATTGGAGAAGTAGGTGGAACTGATTGGAATAGTGGAATACATGGTACCAGTGGTAGACAACCTCCTGGCTTATCTTTACAAGGCAATAAAACCAACAACTGGCAACGTCAAAACTCATGGGCTGGTCGCACAGATAACTCAGCCTTTACACCAGGTAGGTTATTGACCACTGAAACTTTTCAGATCTTATCTATTCTATTGAAATTCAGATCAAATATGTTGACATGTAGGTTTTTGCTTCAAAGTTGCATTGTTTTGGTTTTATCATCATACTATAATTACTGTGTAAAGTATTGTATAGTTATTAGTAATGATCCAATACTAAAGAAGTATATGTTATGTTATTAAATTTCAGTTGGTAATTGGGATAAGAAAGCGCACAGAATAATTATCAAGAATATATCCCAACAAGTAAGTTATTGTCTATATTGGTTATTACTGCTATTTGCTTCATTATCTCCCTGGAAATTGGAAACATCAATAAATTTAAATGATTCAAGTCAATGTGCCCTGAAACATTTTTTTACAGGACAATAATGTGGACATACAATGTCCAAAGATGTTCTGCATTGTGTCTATAGACATTAGTTTCAAACTTTATAGGCAATCGTACCTTGACATGCCTATGAGAATAATGATATTGCATGTAATCCATGACAGAAAGTCCTAAGAGAAACATATTGAGATCTGAATAACCGTAAACTTAGTTTTCAAGTAATGGCAGTCTCTCTCTGTTTCAGACTGATGGAAATTTACTAAGAACATTGTGCCTACAACATGGTTCATTAACTGGTTTTCAACCAATACCACAAATAGGATGTGTAATTGTTTCCTACTCAACTAAAGAAGATGCTATGAAGGCTCAAAGAGCTTTGAATTCTCTACCTATCAACAATTCAACATTATATGCTGATTTTATTAGTGAAGAAGATGTTGAACGACTTGCTAGCAATTCAACAATTTCAATGAATTTATCAACTACTAGTCAGTGGTCACAAAATCACCATCAACAGCCACAGCAGCAACAACTTAATGTTGGTGGTAATTCTAGTTCAACCTGGTCCACAACCCCAACCCCTTACTTACCTACATCTGGTAGTGGTAATATGTGGAGTTCAGGTTTATGGGGTGCAACAGCAGATGATCACAACTCCAACCCTCTCAATATTCTAGGAGGACAATCTATGTAATCAGCATAGGTAACTCCATAACTTATGATCTCTTATTATGTATTACTAACTTATATCTTTTGATTGCTACAAGAAATAGAGACAAAATGGCTTGTTTTCTTTTCTTTCTTCAAGTATACTTATTAGATTTCAAAGAACCTCCAAAAAAAAATTGAATCAGTATTTATAAATTATTTTTTACGTAAAAAAAAATTGAGGTTCTTTAAAATCTTGTTATCGTTTTGTTTATTGTTATGTGCCAAAGTTGATTGGAGTAAGTTTTAATGAAACATGCTATTTACAGTAGCTTTATAGCATGAAGTGTTGTTAGATCTTAATTTAATATATAAAATCAAAGAAAAATATATATCAAAGGTGCCTCTATTTCTTCAAGCAATTAAATGATATTAGTTTGGAAAACCTTTATGGGTTTATTAGATGTGCTTAATATAAATGTGTTCCAAAGACGATATTAGCACGAAAAAGACTGGTCAACTACCCAAAGTGCATGCAAATTTGGTGCTCAATGCTTCTAAGAAGTATAGCACTGATTTTTATTTTTTTATACTTCCACATGAAGTATTCAGTCTTTCAGATGTCAAATTGTCTTGTCAGATGGGTCGACCAGTTTTACTGTGTAGAATGTCCATTTTGGAAAAGGTATTTGAGCCTTGATACAATTAAACCTCATAAGTGAAAAGTGAGAAATATGAAAAAAGAAAAAAAAAATCACATAGAAATATATATAGATATTATTATATATTAATATTACAAATTGTATAGTCTATTCATGACTAATTTCCAAATAATTAATATTTGTATTGCAGGAAATATTGCAAAAATTGTTTTCCTTTTTTTGTTTATTATGGTCATATATGACAATGAATCATGGTGTAATATGTTTTTGTTCTCACGTTTAATATTGGAATCTGTTGAATATTAGGACAATCCTCTGTGATAATGAAATTTCTCATTTTGTGTGTATGTTGTCCAATGTGTGAATCAGGTTATAGAAGTGCATTCTAGTGCTGTTCAATAATTAATTCTTCCAAGAAATAAAATAGTAAAAAAAAAGAGGAGCATTCTAATACTGTTGTATAGATGAAATGAATGGTTAGATTGCCCCCACCCTGTCGATTTATTAACTGCTGTATTGTCTGTAATAGTATTTTTCCCGCCCAGATTTGGACTTGATGCTAACCTCTTCTATGCTGTTGTGATCGGTGTCAATTTACAAAATTGTGTCGTAAATTTTAATCATTTGTTGTTCCATTGTCTGGGCTGTGAAATTTTTGATTAATGGCGCTATAAACCTCATGATGGCCATTTCATATTTTAATCTTTCCTAAAAATGCAGTATAGTGCAAGATTAAAGCATTCTGTGATGTTTTTTATTATAAGCAGGGCACAAAGTGTTCTAATAGTGCTGCTATTACAGACAGTATAGATTAATATATTAATTATTATTATAAATATATAACTATGCCTCTGTGTTTTCCACACTCAGTACTTACTGCATTTGTTTGTAACCAAAATGAGATAATAGAGCCATCACAATCTGCCAAAGCACCATTTATTCTAGGATTGGGCAGCCTTTTATCAGTAAAGTGATAGATTTTTTTTTGACATGACATATGTATATTGTACTTGTAGCTTGCTTTGAATTGTATTCTGAATAAAGTCTTTATTCATTCAAATTGTGACTTTCCTTTCTGGCATTTAGAAATTTCTGAACCATTTGAAGAGACCGATCACTAAAATCTCACTATATTTCATAGATGTAGATAAGCATGGTATACAGGGACTGCACATTTATTTGTAGTTAAAAAGCCTTATGGCCAAATTAAGGTGTATCCAGCAACATTGCCTTCTTCAACTGACACATTGATCTACAAGAGTCATCTCAAGGCATAAAAATAAATCAACTTGACGTGCTAGTGAATAGAATGTTTTAAAGGGATTGTAAAGAGGTTTTCTTAATTTTTGTGTTTCTGGGAAACGGATAGCATCAATAGCACAAATTCAGAAGTGTGAATTTTTTGTGATGTTTTATGACATCACAAAGAGCCTTATGTGTTCAAGCATTGGTGGCATTATCAAACACTTAGTTTGTGGTGGATTTGCAGGAACCACAGATGTTTGTTTGAAAATTGAAATGGTGCAAATTGATGCTATCAGTGTCCCTGATAAGCATAACTTTTTTTAGAAAACCTCTTTACAATCCCTTTAATGTGCCAGTCTATATTCTACGAAGTCATGAAATGGGTATAATGTCAATCTGCATCTTTCATGACTCATATCAGGCTAGTCAACACAGTACATTCAGGAGAGAATCAATAAGATTATTTCAAGAATAATATATTTTTAACAACATCTGTTAAACTATTCATTAGAAAACAAAACATATTACTTATAATCAAAACTAGAACCTAAATAAATACAAAATAGAATCTCTCTAGAACACTAAACATCATAGTCACTTCAGTTTAAATATAGTGTTACATATTTGTTATTTAATTAAGCAAGTCAAATTAAATTTTACCAGACATGCAACACAAATTATACTATAAGAATTTTCTTTAAATGCAATCATAACTTTCTTTTGATATTTTTAACACTACATTCTATGTAGACACTAACAACAACAAAATATTAATTCTAAACTAAAAAAGTATACCAGTCTTTCATATTAAGAACAGCTTAAAATTATAGCAATCAATTCAAAAACATCTTCACTAAAACATATAGTAAATACAAACCATTCAAAGAGCATAAAAACAAAGACTTTTTAAATATAGAGGAAGAACAGATACAATACTGCAAATATGGCAATTTGTTTTATCATTTGCGACAGAAATCAAAATATTTTTGTTTTAATTCTCTTGTCCACACTTTAATAATGACAACTTAAAAGAAAGAAAACTTAACAGGCAGGGTAGCATTTAGCCTACACTGCAGAAAAAAGCACAATCAATAAATTCATTACATTATGATTATTTTTTCTTATCACTATCAAAATATCATACAGTTCTTGTTCTTATGTACGTTTCTCAATTTTATCATCCACTCTTGTCCTATGACAGAAATATCAACCTGCAGAAGTCTCTGACAAGAAACTTTCAAAAGTTTAGTCATGCAAATATGATTGAAGAACACAAATAGTTCAACAAATGACGATCTTTAGATTGTTCAATGATGGGTAATTAGGCCTTGTTCCAAAAAAAATCTTATGATTAATTTTGTCATAAGTATGGCATTTCTCAATGCAACATTCGACACTAAAACAAATTCTCATCTTAAGAATTTTTGTGGAACAGGGGCCAGGTCCAATTTTCTATCATAAGTTATTGTGCACACATATTTATACAAGCAACTCACAAAACAACAAATCACTCAATATATCACATTGAATACCGGTAATCATTGGCAACTAAAATAGCACTATTACAATAATTAGCATTATGACATAATTGGGCCTAGATAATTAAGGCAACGAGGCATTCCATGTAAGGAAAGAACAACAGTTATTTCTCTAAATGAGAAAACTGCACAACAATTATAATATTTAATAGGTTAAATTATTCTCATTCCTTTCTTATATTTTCAATTTGTTTAAGATATTAATACATTTATTCAGTAATTCATTCTCTAGCAATGATTGTTACAGAAAGGAGTCAGATTTAAAGAGATTATAAGAAAGGTTTTCTAAACTTTGTATGTTAATAGGGTACACTTATAGGTTTCATAGTCATCAACTTGACTTCATTGACGAGATTATGACATGACTATCATCAATTACTATAGTGACGCAATATTTGACTGTTGTCAAAACTGGATATTAGATTGGTTAAATCGAAGCTATAGGTGTACCCAATACTCAATACAAATACTAGAGAACCTCTTAGTAATCCCTTTAAAGGTGTCTTTAACATTCCATCGAATTTAAATTGGTACAAAACATAATTCCTATGTATTGATTAATATGGTAAAATTTATACTGCTGTACTACTCTGTGAATGTGGTATATCTGGTATAACATCACTTGGTATTCCTGGTAATAATATAGGTATAACCAAATCATCCATATTGGGCATCACAAAAACACGCTGAAATATCAAATTATTGATTGAATATAAAACAACAAAATTTTATCAACCTTTAAATAACAGCACCTGGATAAGTCACTGCTACCTCTTTCATACATTTGATCAAAAATACAACTTTGATTATATACTTATCACACGAAAATACTATAAATGTCCAATTCGTCATTGTTAATAGATCATAACTTAAATATATTATTATTGTTACCTGAAATTCTGTAGATAATTTTTTTTCAATCCATTCTGTTATGTGTGATATATTTACTTGTCTTTCTCCTACTTTTGGTTTAGCAGATAATGATAATATTGGATTTCCACGGAATCCATACCTACACAAAAAACATATCTCTGTCAGAAAAACTTTAAGAAAATATACCAAACTAGGTTAACATGCTCTTTACTAAGAATTTAGCCCCTTTACTGAAAGAAAGACAATATTTATGGTAAAATGCTGAGAAAATCTCCCTTTTCTTGGGAAAATGCTGTCCTTAAGTCTAAAATCAATGTCAGATATTTGGATATTCAATTAGACAAGTAATATCAAAAGTCTTTTACTGTAAAATTAAAGAAATAAAAACATTTTTATGATACGAGATCCATGTTACTGGAAAAAATCTAAACCTGAACTAAACTAACCATAGTCTATCTGTTGGTGGTGGTGGTATATTTAAGGCTAGACGACCTGTTAAATTATTGAGTTCCACAGTTAATTCTAAAGGTGTATTAGACACTCCTTCCATAGCTTTCTTTATATATTTATACTCATAAGCTTGTTGAAAATACTTTGAATTAGCTATCTTATCAATATATTTTAGTACTTTTTTACCAGCTCCCCCTGATGACCTGTGAAAAGAGAATTGTTTAGAAAACCTACTTGAAATAAGGAGAAAAAGAAAACAAGACATTCTTGTTTTTAACAAAAATATAATTGATACTCTAACAGATATTTGTTGAATGTTATTTTATATCACAAGATGTGCATACATCATTCTTAAACTCCTTATATTCTTTGAAGATTGAGAGTAACAATTTATATATAAAAAAAATTGAAAAAATTACCCATCATTAGCTGTATCTTGACTTTCTTCATCTTCATCTGTAGATGATTCAGCACTATCTTCTTCATTAGAATCTGTTACAGGTGAATGATAAGTACTGAAGTAAAATAACATACAACTATTATTGGAAATTTAAAAAAATGGATCAATGGATCAGTGTGAAGCTCATGTGTAAAAACATTAAAATATATTTAGATGACTATATAATGCCTTTCAATTCATACAAAATACTTTACACATTATGCAATTCATTTTCAAAGGGCTATATTATTTACCCAGAATCATCTTTATGTAATTTTTCATCAGATTTCTTCTGTAATTTCATCAAGTTTATTTTTGTTTCCATTGTCATGTAAAAACCTCCATTATAGACAATATCTAGATCTATCCACAAACCCTGCTCATCAATATAGGGTTTACCAGCTCTTCTAATACTAGGTACTTCATATCCCATTTCTGTATGTGTGACCTTCAATTCTTCTATAAAATATGGCACCTACATAACAAAAAGGAAAAATCATTAAGGTTTCACAATGATGTTTACATGTATGTAAGTGAAGTTTAGAGTTTAGTAAAGATATTTGACATCCTGAGACAATTCAAAACACAAATATGAGATTTTAACCATCCAACTTTAAGGTAGCATCAGCAAAAATTAACATAAAATATGTGTGGTTTGTGTAATTTCTTTTTTTTCGTCTTTTTTGGCAAGCTCAACTTACATGAATTTTACTTAGTTTCTTCTGCAATTTCTCTCTTATTTTTTCAGACCACCACTCATCTTGTAACAAATCCCAAAAACATCTTCCAACTAACGAATTCAACCAAATCAACTGAGGATCACAGACAAGGGAACCAGTGACTTGTCTGATATCACTTGAATCGTGCTTAAAATGGCTAGATTTGGATGTGGCTGACTCCTTTAGTTCTTTTTCAGATGGCATTAATCTCCCCATATATTCAGCGAAAGCTTGAAGATTGACTGGATTGTCATCACTGGTTGTATTAGAAGTAGTTGTCTGTGAAGGACTAGGTGGTTGATCAGGTTGAGACGAAATGGAAGAAATAGAATCATTTGAACTCTGTCTTTTATGTTTTAAACTAGAAGTGGAAGGATTTCGAGACATTCTGGAGGTTATACTTAGAGCCTTATAAATATCTAATATATGATTTTGTAATGGTTTACCATGCGAGGCAGCTTGAAGCCTCTTAAACCATACCTCTTTCTCCCAACCAGTTCTCGCAAATAAATATAAAATATTAGATGAACACTTGTCTTCTGTGATAATTTCAAAATCAGAATCATCATCAGTACTTTTCTTACTATCATTACTCTTGGTTTTTACAACAGGTAATTTCTCCTGGTCTAAGGCTATACAAATTGGATATTTTTTACTCCAAACTCTTTTTTTGACAAGGCCTGGTGGCATTAGAAAAATACGGCTACTTTTTAATTCTAGATGACGTTGGTGTATAAATTTAGGAGGAGGTAATATCTCGTCCCACAGAGCACGTCTAGGCATATTAGTTTTAGGTCTTTGTAAACGTAAATGAGTTCCTTCTAAGACAACATATACAGAATGTGTTTGATTGAGATGATAGTCATCAGGATTATACTCTAATATCTCATTCATCCAACCCTAAAAAAAAAAAATAATAAAACTATAAGGCATGATTAAAGCTTCAACTTCGTTGAATCATATAACAAACAAAGAAGATAAAAAGTTCAAAGATCAAAAACGTTGTAAATATATATCCCTGAAAATATTTCTAAAATATGCTATTTATATCTATGTATCTACTCAAACTTATTTTATTTTAAAAGGGTTAATTAAAAATGGAGAATACTATAACTAATTTTCAATTGAACAGTTTGACCTAGTTTTGGTGACTTTATAATGTCCCAATATTAATAGTCAAATACTTTAGAATATGTACAATATGACATATTTCTCCACAATTAAAATTTTTATTATACTAAAATCTGTTTAATTTTTTGGATTTTTTTATTTTACTTAAATCTGTTTAATTTTTTGGATTTTTTTATTTTACTTAAATCTGTTTAATTTTTTGGATTTTTTTATTTTACTTAAATCTGTTTAATTTTTTGGATTTTTTTATTTTACTTAAATCTGTTTAATTTTTTGGGATTTTTTGCAACTTTCAGACGCGTTGAGGGACACATTTTTGGTTTTTAGTTTTCACAAATTTGAACAAAACAATTTTTCGACCTAAAAAAAAAATTTCTCTTTAAGATACTTCATTTTGACAAAGGATAAAGGGTTAAAAATTCTTTTACTCTAATAGTTTCTTATGTGGTTTTTGGAGAGGTAATAAAACAATATACCTTATAAACACCACTTTCTTTAGTTGGTTCTTTCATACGAGGTATTTCCATTGGTGGTAATTTATGTATTGGTGTCAATTCTACTGTTTCTTTTGGTAATGGTGCTTGTATTACCCATAAATATGCACTCCAACCACCAAAAGATAAAATAACTCCAATCACTAGTCCACTTACAAATGATGGCATTGGTAAAATTAAAAATGCTACTAAAACAATGCCTATAGAAATAATTTTCTGCCATGGCACCCTTATGTCTTGACTATTTTGTCTAGATAATTTATTATTAGCACTAGATGATTTTGTACCATTATTATCTTCATCTGATATAATCTTCTTTTCCATATTTGATGATGAAAACTCCCTTTGTACCTCTTCCTCTTCTTCTGGTGTTGATATTAACTTAGACATTGAAACTGTGGCTGATGATTTAGGTTTATTCTTTTTACCCAGTTTTTTGGACTTGGTATGAGCTGCTGTACCACGAAGACAAATACCAACATCTCCTGAGATATCTTCCAGCGTCTCATCACCAAAATAACTTTCAACAACCTCAATTCCATCATCCTCATACTCCTTTCCAACTGTTTCTGCTAATGCAGCAGGAGCAGATTGAACTCTTTCATAATGTTCATTCTGGAATTCTTCTTCTTGAGACTTATTTAGCTTTTCTACTATGGAATCATCTAAAGGATGATTAATAGGGGCATCTAGAATTATCCGACTACTATTTTCACAAGATGGACTAGAATCATTGGATAATTCTTCTAATTTCTTATTTATTGATCCAGTTATCTTAACTTTGGTATCTGTTATCTTTTCCTTTAACCCTGAAATAAGTTCTTTATATTCAAACACTGACGATTTACCCTTTTTTGATGGTGACATCAACTCATCATCCAGTGAGAGTGAAGAAGTTCGTAATTTCTGAATTTTAGTATCTGATGACCTTGGTGGTGAAGATCGTTGAACACCTGGGAAAATTTCTCCAACAGATTTATTTCTATGACTATCATCAAGTAACTTATCAAATTTACCAGTAAATGATGTCAAGTCATCTTTATCCTCTTCCTCTTCAAGTGCTTTAAAACTAAAGCCTGATAAATTTGATTTTTTACTACCATCTTTACTCATTTCAAATTACTTTTTTATCTGAAATAAAAACACAGTATCAAGTTATTCAGTTGAAGCATAACTATAGGCCAATAAATCAACTAAATATTTGTCTCACTCAAAAAATGTGTATGATCCTGATTTTTTTTTTTTGTATACAAATAGAGCATTGTTTTTGCACCAGATTATACAACATCATATATATTTACCATATAATATACATCAAAGGTGATATCAATTCTCTTAAAATAATTGATAAAGTTTGATATACCAACAAATAATTGCAAAGGTAATAGTAGTGTTTTATATTATTAGAGATTTTAACAGCTCATAAAAGCATGACTATGATTTTTTTCAAATCAAGCCACAATTTTGCTAAATTTTATTACTTGAAATCAGAAAACATGTTGGTGTTTTCACCAGTATGCCTAATTTCTTTTAATGAAAGTCTTCTCATTGAGTTTATACAGCTTTCCCATTATACTGGATTTTCAATAATATATAAAATTTCTAGGCTGAATATTTTCAATGAAAGTCTTCTCATTGAGTATATGTTTTTTTTTACAGCTTCCCCATTATACTGAACAATATAAAATTTCTAGAAAACTTATCTTTCTTAATTAAAACTAAAAAAAACTACACATTCACATGTTTTTGAATCAAAATGTTTTCAGGTTCGCAGACCCATTGTGTCAGAGAGAAATAAAGCTTAAATCTATCAGACGGGTCATGTAGAAATTATAAGGTCGAGTAGATCTATATATTATTGCTTGTGCAGCTAATAATAGCCCTACAGTTTATTCTTAGAAAAATAATCCACATGTCACATGTGTCTGTGGCTATTTCTATAATCTAATGAGGTTTTATCTACAATGTATGCATACATGGCATTTGAGCATATAATTTATAAACACAATTCTATCATACAAAATGAATAACATTGTAATGTAGGAACAGGTTGGTGGAAAACTAAAACTAGCACCAGAAATTAGTAGCACGTAGTAGAATTGGCAAGCCGTAGATTCAGATCTAATTTAGTAATTGCAAAATTATAAATTTTCAACTTTCAAGACAACCATCATGTACACAGAGAAGTCCATTCCCAAGGCAATGTTCAGATGGGCATTTTAACTCTTTCCAAATAAATAAGTGACAGACACCTTTTACTTTTACGCAGATGTTTGGGTTCCTGCCAGAATTATTAACGACATATTTTTTTTCTTATCTAGGGGCACTTGACCTGACACCCATTTTCTTCCTGTTTACACATCACGAAGCGAATATTTTCGTCCAATGCAGAAAAACTACGTTGGTGTATTTGAAGACAAAAATTTGACTTCTACAAAAGATTGTACGTGCAACTGATGCTTCTAAATTTCTTTGTAAAAATATTGTTTTATGATCAATTTGATTTATTTTATTCTTATTAGCCAATCAATATTTCAATATTTTGATTGAACATTTTTCACCGAGACTGTAATCAAAATCATAACAAACATGGCGGACCAGAGTGAATGGGAGAAAGGTCAATGTGTTTTCTCATGAATATTACTTATTTAATATAAAATGTAATTTGCGCGTATCTCCACAGATTAATGTCAATATGCTTCTGAAGAAATCTAATTTCTTTTTTACTATTTTGTGGTCTGTATTCTGGTTTCAATTGCTTGTCAGTGCAACTCAGGTAAAACTTCTAATTTACTTCATATCCTCATTCTTCATAGAATCTACCTACCTACCTAAGTGTTTCCAAACGCAGGAGATCAGTTTTCTCCTCTCTATTTGGCTCATTTTCATCATCACTAATTTCATGTTTGTTACTTCCGGTATTACTATATGTATAATCCATGTTAAAGTCATATATCAGGCCAGGGGATGGTTTTCCAATATCTGTCTAAACGACGCTCAAATGTTTTTACGTTCTTAGCTGAAACAACACTGTCAGGTAGGCTATTCCACACTTTAACTATTCTGTTGGTAAAGTAATATTTCCTGATGTCAAGTCTGCTTCTGTTTTTAACTAGTTTGAGCGAATTTCCTCTTGTTGTTGAACTGACATGTAGTATTGACACTAACAAATTCAGATTAATCCAGCCCTGGATCTAGTCCGAAACATCTGCCTCTATTCCAGCATCTGAAAGATATTTTGACAGTTGTCGGTCATCAGAAAAATATACCCTGCTAATTGGGGATTTTTCATTGTTCGTGATAATATCTGAACTTGAAGATGCATTTTTTCTGACATGATATTAATTATCTTTACAATGACTGTTAGTGGTTGAAAGGTATAAAGTTACCATCCAACAGAAGGCACTGGCACAGGGTTAAAGCAATGTTCATGAAAGTTAAGGTTAATATGTTAAAATGGAAATTGGTACTCGTAGTCCAAAGACCAAAAGACTATAATAATATATTATTAAAAAAACTGATATTATAAATCGATGATTTAATAAAAAAAAAAAAAAACATAAATTTTACGAAAGACAAAGTCAATTAAGGCAATCGACATCACTTTTCAGATGACAACAGTCTTATAACTGACTGTGATTCTTTCAAAATCACAATTTTTTGGTTGTGAGCTAATACACTTCTTGATAACTTTGACAGCACTCTCCAAATGTCTGTAGGTCAATTAAAATTGCAAAGAAATTTTAAGACATAAATCTCACCAACCTGACATGACATTCGGCCGTTTTTTTGCTAGGATGAAAAATTTCTCCTTTCTTCTTTCTGGTGTAATATGGGACAATTTGACCAGGAGAAATCTCAGTCTGAATAAGGCTAAACAAAGAGAATGTTACCCAGACTCCTACTCAGTGAGAGAATTTAAGAATTTTATTCTATGCATAGATTTCATTATAAGCTTGAATGCATCACCTTTGAATATGTTTATAGGTGAATGAACTTACTTTGCAAGAGTCCATGGTATTTATATCAACATTGAGTGGTTCATTTTATGCAATTGGTAAACACAGTGGGAAAAATTTGTGGACGCTAAAAGAAGGTATGATTTATTCATTACACCAAGTCAATATGTTCATATGTTCACGCCAAGAACATATAATAATGAAAAATATTTCTGGCCAGATTTGAACATAACTAGGTTAAATTCTTGTTAGTAATCACTTCAGGATGAAACCTAACAAAAACACAATAAAATAGTAAATATGAATTATTCTCTTAGTCATCAAAATGCTTAAAGTCCTAATTAAACAAAGATGGTTACCTGACATATCAGGAATTGATTTTTTTTTATATTGATTTTCAGATCCTGTGATAAAGGTTCCTCTTGATTTGACGTCTGGGTAAGTTTACATGATTTATAACTTTTTTCTGAAAAAGAAAACCAAAATAATGGTAAACGTAATCACTTTTTCACAGCACACAACATAAAATGATGATTTGTATTATTTTTTAGACCAAATTTTCTGCCTGATCCAAAAGATGGAAGTTTATATGCTATAAGTTCTGGTTTAGAAGGAATTAAAAAATTGCCATTTACTATACCTGAGTTAGTGACAGCCTCACCATGTAGAAGTACAGAAGGTATATTATATACTGGTAAGTACATTAACCCCCCTCTTCCTTTTTTAAAAAACCAAAATAAAGTAAATAGTCTTTTCAATGAATTCACAAAAGTTCTAATTATATTCACTATTCAAAAATCACAAAACCACTATTTTAAAGATAAAGCAGTGTGTTTCGTTTTGATGTGACTTGTAATGCTTGTAACTCTTTGCAATATATTACTGTGTACAATAAAGTAAATTCATTTCAGGTCATAAAAGAGATGTATGGATAGCTATAGATTTGTTAACTGGAAGTAAGTTGCAAACATTGACTATGGAAGGCTCAGCCAAAGTTTGTCCATCTTCAAGTGAACATATACTGTATATTGGTAGAACAGGTAATTTATAATTATTTAGATTTATTCAATATACCTTCTTGTTTAATAGTTCCATCCCCTGACTACGACCATTTGTGATATTATGGCGAAAACGTGTTAAAAAGTTCCTTAAAATTCCTCAAAATCAAAGCTGCCAGTGGGCGTATATTACCTTGCCTGGCAAGCTATCTTTGAATAAACATGTATGAGAGAAATTTGTATAAAATCACAGAATTATGATGATAGATCTTCATGTATTAACTGACTTTAATAAATAAAAACATATTTTCTAGAATATTCTATAATGATGTTTGATAGTAAAACAGGAGTTAAAAGATGGAATGCTACGTTTATGGATTATAGTTCTCATGTAGCTCCCGATCCTACAGAATATAGTAAGTTTTATATGTTGATTATGTTCAATCATATAATAATGCAAATGAAATTGAATCTGATGATTCATACACAATATTTGATTGAATTCATTAAGCTGAACTAATTTCACAATGGCTAAAAATCAATATTTTTGTTTTGTTGGCTTTTTCTGAGGAAGACTGTAGTTCAGCTGGTTAGAGAGAGGATTACATCATCTGTTGTGAGGCAAAAATCTTTTGACTTAAATGAATCTTTTCTATCCCCTTGGTTAAAACTTATCGAGTCTGAATTGTTATTGTTTTCTTTTCTTTTTTAAAGATCTGCGTCATTTTGTTGGAAGTTCCAATGGACAAGCAGTAACATTAGATAATGAATCAGGTAATGGTTTTCTAAGAAGTAATCTATATCTATCTTAGTATTCCATGAATCAAGTTATTAACATACGCAAAAATTTGATACGCTAGGTGCCACAAAGATCATGCAGAAATAAGCATGCATGAAGCCAGCAAACAATAAGATAATGGGTTGATTTGACAATGTAAAATACTGAATTTGTGCCTTGAATCTTGTAGATATTACAATATGAAATTTGTGACATGTCAATAAGAATATAGTTAAGCTTTATATAGCTTTCTGCTGATCTTTCATTGTTAAAATGTCATATTTATTATAGGTGAAATTCTGTGGTCTCGACAGTTTGATTCACCAATAGTAGCCATGTATAAATTACATCAAGATGGTTTACAAAAGATACCATTTCTTAGTTTTGCTCCTGAAACACTAGATCATTTAACTGGCCAATTATCATCAAATGTCTGGAGAACCAGGTTTTTAAATCAGGGAAAACATCAGTTATTTTAGTATGTATTTTACTTAGGATTCTCTATATTGAGGAATTCCTCTATTTTTTGGCTGGTGGTATTTTTTTGTATTTCGAATAAAACCATTAAAAATAATTTGGTGTGAAGGATGAAAAGATTTCAATATAGGAAATGACTTCCAAAGTATCATATAATGGTAAAATCTCCTCTTGTAGGCCACAAATGTGAGCCAGTGGTCCCCTTTCTATAACTTACTGCAATCCCTATTAGTCCCATTTGAACATTTTTATTTCAGTAAAAATAGCTCTGATAGGTGTCTTTTTATACGCCCACACATAAGATGGGCATATATTGTAATCACCTTGTTGGTCCGTGCGTTCTTTGGTTCGTGCTCACTCTACAGGCTACAATTCTTTACAGATTCTTTTGATTTTGTGTGTCAATATCATTATGAAGATGATCCCTATCGATTTTCGTGATGATCGGATAATTTTTCATCGAAATATCGTGTCTGACTTGACGTTTTTCTCTATTAGCTATATTGTGCAACTCGTGCTCACTCTACAGGCTACAATTCTTTACAGATTCTTTTAATTTTTATTTTGTGTGTCAATTTCATTATGAAGAAGATCCCTAATATGATAAATAACTGGCAGTAAATATACATATTGAATTCAAACTATTAAAATTTATTTAATATGAGAAAATTCATACTTTAGTCACAAAATACTGTTTTATCATTTCTGACAGCTGCCAGGGGCGTATGTTACCTTGCCTGGCAAGCTATCTTTAGAATTTTCCCATCCCTCAAGAACACCAGGCTACTCGGCTACTGAGTTTATCGTTTAGCAACCCTATTACAAATGTTTAATGTATTGTGTTAACTGTATAATATGTTTTCAGTCCTACTTTATATGTTGGAGAATATGAACATGGACCATATGCCTTGGCTTCTATGGTAGATGAAAGAACAGTTACTATATCAGTAAGTTTAACCTGATTCAAAACATGATCATTGTTGGATATGCACAAATATCTTTGTTCATTTGGACCAAATTGGCTTAGTGTCTAAGTACATGTATCTGAAAAAAGTCTAAGAGGCAAGGCTCTATTTTGAATTTACATTAGACCTGTATAATATGAAACTTGATGCAGAATGTTACATTATTGTACTTTGTTGTAGCCAAGAAACTTTGGACCATTATTGATAGAGGGACCACCTAATCCTACAGATCATGCTCAAATCAACATAGATCATTCCAAACAAACTCATGAAGAAAGAATCACAGCATCAACAATTAGAAGGGGTTCCCCTTTTCTCATGATTGGTAAGCTAAATACTTTTTTTTTTCTTTGGGTCAACATTGTGATACTGTTATTTTTGTGTCTGGCCTTAAAGGGATAATTTTGTACTACAAGTGATAAGTCACTAGTTGCAGTTACGATATTTGTGTGTTAGCTCATTGTGTAACGTCAATAGATTTGGCACCTTGCAATCATTCGTCATGCAGATTGTGATTCTTAAAAATTAGGTAGCAATTGAAAACTTTGCATTAGTTAACCTTCAAAAAGATCTGGCCAATGATGTAAGTTGCTTAAGGCTATAGAGTTGCTGTATATTTCTAGATTTGGCAAAAAATAATCATGAAAAAAATACAATTTGATTTGCAGATTGCAGATAAATTTTAGTTTTGGAGCGCAAAATTCATATTGAATCTCAAATTGCGATGCGATACTGCTTGAATTAAACCCTGTCATCAAGAACATTATAATTCATGTATTCTATTACGATTTTGTGTTTTGTAGGTTATCATGAAGTCCCTGATGTATCTATCTCAAGAATATCACCAGCTTTTCACATAACTGATAGAACTAGTAATACTCATAATGTTATATCTGTGGATAAAAATCATAATTCTGATAGAAATAATAATCAAACTAAAGATGATGGTGGTTTATCATGGTTTTCAATATCTGATATCAAATTTATTACAACTGTATCGTTGTTGATAGGAACTTTCATTGCTGTAGTTTACTACTTTCCTAGAGTAAGTATTTAATGCCTTAAGACTTTCTACTTTTAATGAAATTGTAATCATAATTCACTTTTCTCAGAAATTTATTTAAATTGTCATTTAATGATTTTTCAAAAAGATTTGTTTTTCCTGCAGAAAACAGAAGAGTCAATCAAGTTAATGTTAAAAAAACAAATGGAAGAACACAGATTGGAGCAAGCAGCACAAAAATCACTTCCAACACCTAATAAAACAATTTCTCAACAAGGTAAACACCTATAATTAACATTGAAGTCTACATATTGAACCAAACAGAATATCTGAAAACGAATAGAGTTTTGAGGTGAAATAATTTTTCAACCTAATGTTTTAATAGTTATGTTTGATTTTTTTATACAAAGTTAAAATTTTTCTTTTAGATATTCCAAATGGCCATATTCAAGTTGGTAAAATTCTTTTTGATCCTAAAAATGTCTTAGGTCATGGTTGTGAAGGAACATTTGTTTATCAGTAAGTTTTGGCACAGTTCTAATTTAATAATTTGATCATTGAAACAGTAACAATCTTTCAATTATTCACTAACTGCATAATAGTTTCCTAGTAATGAAATCTGTCGTGAAATTATTGTGAAAATGATAAACCATCAACTGTTTAAGTAAATCAGGCCGTGGTCACTTCCTATGAAAAAATATTTTTTATATTGAATAAATATAAAAACTCAGGTCATCTGGGCTTTAAATAAACTCTGGATAATTGGATAGCAGATGCAGAAAGTTATACGTAATAATTTGTCTTGTCATTGAATATATATAATACATAATTGAAAATTAAAACTGTACACTGTGAAAAAACCATGTCTATTATTTCTAGAGGTAAATTTGATAATCGGGATGTAGCTGTAAAAAGATTGTTACCAGAATGTTTTAGTTTTGCTGATAGAGAAGTAGAATTATTGAGAGAATCTGATCAACATTCAAATGTTATTAGATATTTTTGTATGGTATGTACGATTTTGAAAACTTTTCCTTTATGAAAATAAATTCCAAGTGTTAGAGAAAAATTCTTATGGAGTGGTTATTAAAAGTATAGTTTACTAATAGAGCTCAATTTTAGATATTCATAACACTTAAGTAATTAAAAAATTTAAACTGCTATGGTAAATTTCAAGTGAATTGCAGGTGAACCAAACTATTCATGACTGAATCCTATCAGCCTGTTAAGCAGATGTTTATATATATTATAATATATTTAACCAAAATTTGCATATTGCTTCACTTATTATTTGTCAAAAAGATAGCTCTGTGAGAAAACTAAGTTAGTGAAAATCTAAAGATTTCTGTATGGAAACTTCTATATATACATACGAGTATATACCTAATAAATGATTTGTTATAAATTTATTACAGGAAGCTGACAGCCAGTTTCGTTATATAGCATTAGAATTGTGTGCAGCTACTATACAAGTTTATGTTGAGAAGAAATCTCCTTATGAAAATTTAGATTGTAAAACACTGTTGTTTCAAGCTATGTCTGGGTTAGCTCATCTTCATTCATTAGATATAGGTAAATATAATAAACTACAAGTTATTTTTCTATTCCACTTGATTACAACATCTGTATGTATCTGTATCTGTTATCAAGCTTAACAAGTGTGAAATTAACATTCTTTTTAATTTAACAACAGCTGTTGATCAAATTACATTATACTTTTATTGTTAGTTAATGTAATAATCTTTTTTATACAAGTGATATGTCATACTGGTAATATTTCAATTGTAGATATATAATTATTTAGTTTTTCCTTTATTTTAGAAAGAGATTAAGAACAAATTTTCTCAAAATCTGAATAGACCATAATCATATCAACAGGGAGCCATAGTTGCTGCAGGTTCAAGCTGTTCATGTGAACAATCAACTGACAGTTGGAATTTGAAAATAATAGACTTATGCTGCTGTCCCTCATCGCACACTGCATGATGTTGCCTATCTTCATTAGTCCAACTAGGGACAGAAAACTCGATGTCACTTCTACTCTATATTTTATCTATATTTTCAGTACACAGAGATATAAAACCACAGAATGTGTTATTATCTTATCCTAATTCTAAAGGAGAAGTGAGAGCTATGATATCAGATTTTGGTTTATGTAAAAAACTAGCAGCAGGTCGTATGTCATTTTCACAACGATCTGGTGCAGCAGGTACAGAAGGATGGATTGCTCCTGAAATGTTAGATGAAGATCAGAGAACGGTATAAAAATAGTATTTTTATATGCCCACATTATAATGTGGTTGTATATTGTCCGTCTTTCCAACCACGTTTGTGAACGCAATAGAGACAACAGTTTTTATCTGATTTGAATGAAATTTGTTGTGATCATTTATATTAATGAGATTTTGGACAAGTTTGAATTTCTTTCGATAACATTTTTTGAGCTATTGCCCTTGATTGAGGAAAAACGCGTCTAATCTGTTTGTGAACACAATAGAGACCACAATTTTCATCCGATTTAAATGAATTTTGGTGTGATCAATTATAATGATGAGATCTTAGATAAGGTCGAATTTGACGATCTGTCGATGAATGGTTTTTGAGTTATTGCCCTTGATTTATGAAAAAGATGTCAAAATTTGTGTGTGAACACAATAGTGAGTTCAGTTTTCATCCAATTTAAATAAAATTTGGTCTGATCAATTATGATGATGAAATCTTAGTTCAAGTTCAAATATGACAATCTTTCGATGTGCATTTTTGAGATATTGCTATTGATTTATGAAAAACGCGTCAAAATTTGTTTGTGAACATAATAGAGAGTACAGTTTTCTTCCAATTTAAATGAAATTTGGTATGATCATTTACAATGATGAAATCTTAGTCAAGATTGAATTTGACAATTTTCGATCTACAGAATTTGAGTTATTGCCCTTGACTTAGTAAAAAACCCATCAAAATTTGTTGGTGATAGAGGTGACAGTTTATGTCAGAATTTTATTAAATAATGGGTGTTTGTTTAAATCAACAATAGCTTGCACAAATTAGATTTTTGGTATGATTTGACACAGATAGGTGACTGCCCTTGATATACTGAAAATGTATCAGGAAAGTGGGCGTATCTTGCTAGGCAACCATTTGTATTTTTTTGCGACTCCTAAAGGTAAATGAGAAGTACATAAATACAATGCTGATTCGAAGTTTTAAAGAAGTTAAACTAGGGAGATTAACAACTGATTCTTGTTATTACAAGAAAACAATTAGTTCATTTTCATAGTATTAGGATATTTGTGATAATACTATTTAAACAGACTCTTCTATTTAAAAATATAGTGAAATTGGTCTGGTAAAACATAATTAGAGTTACATAATGGACAAAAACATAATTATTTAAATTAATACTGGTTCTATTTAGGATGTAAACTTTGAAAGAAAATCAGAATTAGGACCATGCAATTCAAATATTTTCAGGATAATAATAACTTTATGATTGGCCCTCAAGTTTTTTGTGGTGTGTGTTATCACCCTGAGCAATCTTGAATCTTGAATATGTAATATTCATATGTATGCATATTTTTTATTACCATTATAGACGTGTGCTGTTGATATATTTTCTGCTGGCTGTGTGATATATTATGTTATGTCTGGTGGTAAACATCCGTTTGGTGAAAGTTTAAGACGTCAAGCTAATATATTAGGTGGTGAATCATCTCTTGTACATATTCATGGCGATGGTAAGTTACAGGAAATTTGGTGACTAGGTGAAAACATCATTTCTACTACCTCTTGCTCTCAATAAAACAACAAAAAAAGCATGGAATTTTGTAGATTGTTTCCTTGATATTGAGACAATTGAGGATAGGTTTAAAAATTTCTGAAATGCAGACATTTGTTATAGAGGTAAATTCTATTCTTCTACCCCAATATCATCAATCATTTACTAATAACTATTTGTAGATTATGTTGTATTAAGATCAGTGGTTGAATCTATGATAAAATTTAACCCTGATGAAAGACCAAGTGCTAAAGCTGTATTAAAACATCCATTTTTCTGGAGTAGAGAAAAACAACTGATGTTTTTTCAGGTAGAGTAAAAACTTCGATTAACACCAATTTATGATATATCAAATCAACTTCATTAGCAATGTGTACTTGCTGACAAACCTTAGTGTTTTCATTTTATCATGTCATGTCTACCTGGCCAAAATTCTTATTGAATTAAATTCATTTAGTACATCTGGAAACAGTCAGAAATGGATTTTGAAAACTCATGGTAACAGATGAATTTTTTTGTATGGAAAATTGGATTTCAAATGATAAATAAAGCCAGTATTCATTTATCATGAAGTCCTTTATACATCATTATTATTCTTATATGTATGTAGCAATAATAATCTAGAGCCATTGTCCTTATTTACCAACTTATTGTTACAGCCTTATTATCATTGATATTAATCTTTCTCCAATCAAATATTTTAATCAGAATAAAAGAGGTTTAGCAGTTTTGTCATTATATTATATTATTTGGTAGGATGTAAGTGATAGAATAGAAAAAGAAACAGAAGATAATCTGGTGGTACAAAGGTTAGAAACAGATGCATATATGATAGTTAAATATGATTGGAGGAAAAATATTGGTCCAGAACTACAAGAAGGTAATTAGCATATCTTATTATCTGTTATTCATCATTTGATACTTGTAAGCCTCAACTTTTATGGGCCATGATTGCCATTTTCAAGGGTTGATTTGGGTCTTGAATATGTGTCTTCAAAACTACTAAAACTGCACGAAAACTTCCTCCCAATATAGTTCAAACTAGAAATTTTACTTTTCTATGTATGGTTGGTTTCAAGTATGAAACGCAGATAATTATGTACACACATGGATTTGAAGGCTCAAATTTCCACAGTGAACTGTGATAGCATAGCTTTGAAATTCCTGTTTCTGAGACTATGTTCCCTAAGTTTCTTTTATTTTGTTGTTGTAGATCTGAGGAAATTCCGTAGTTATAAAGGAAAATCAGTTCGTGATTTATTGAGGGCCATGAGAAATAAGGTAAGGTTTTAATATAGGGTCTTGAAATAATAAGCATATGTTGATTAAAAATTAAATGAGGCCTTAGAAAATATTAGAATCCCAGAGAGAAACTTAAATAAATACCCGTTCAGAATAACTCTAGTTGTTGTCCATATCTATTTTAGTTTAGGCTGTTGAGGAAGGGGGATTTAATCTAAAATATCAAGTATATGTTACAATCTTACTAAAAATGTAAAAATCATAGAAAACCATGTTTGGTTATTATGAAAATTTGTATAATTACAGAAACATCATTATAGAGAATTACCAGAACCAGTTAAATTATCTTTAGGATCAGTTCCAGATCAATTTGTGTATTATTTTACTTCACGTTTTCCACACCTATTAATGCATTCTTATGAAGCTATAAGATGCTGTGAAAATGAAAGACTATTTCAAGCGTATTATGACAGTGAACACACGTAGTATCAAGTTTTATTATTTTATACAGACATTGTGCAATGACATATTGTTTTATTCAACATTCCTGCCATAAATTATATTGGATTTTCTCCCAGATATTTAAAATAAAATTTGAAATTTTAGATTTTTTGGAGCTAGCATTCTCATCTATTAATTGCATTGATGATTATTTTAATAGCAGAAAGGTTATTTTGATATGATTTAATTGTCCACATAATATATTTTGATAAGAGACAAGTGAAAAGTTTGCCAGTATGTATGTTGTTTTAATTGTCAATAATTTTTAGGTTGTCTGTAAGATCTCCTAAATATAATACACAAATCAAACCACCCACATTTACAAAATATTTTTTTTTTGTTATTAGTTAATGCTAGGTGATTTAAGGAGGTCATACACGCTCAAACTCTTTCATCAAAAGTATTAATCTCAATAATTATATTGCCAGTCTGCCTTATACATTCTGTGCAATATTTAGCTTGTTCCTAACTATTAAAATCTACGTGCCTTATTTTTTTGGCCCAACCATATTACCACGAGAAGTTAAAGACCATGAGCTGGAAGATCATAAAAGAAATTTAATACTCGAGTTGAATTTGAGTAACACCTCTTTTTGCTATATCACCCTTCCATAAACTCTGATATCGGCAATGGAGAAAATTTGGAGACCTCTGATATTGATGCACATGCATTCAAATTTGTTCATGCTTTGCACAGAAATATCGACTGATAACAGTTCTATCAATATACATTGTTTAAATTCTACTTTAGATCTACGATTTAAAATGTCACTTACTGTTGTACAACCTAAACTAAATTTCATAGATAAATGTTTCTGTTTAGGGCACTTTTTCATAATCACCAATGGTCAGTGATTAATCAGTAGAATTCAGAGTTCAGCGATCTATTGTTTTCATGTGATTTGATGTTGGATTATCAATTATACAAGCGATTATCTAATGTCGGATTAAACAACTTTTTCTGCCTGTCGGGACCACTGATTAGTGTTGTAATTCATAAAACACTGAGTGTCGGAGTATATTTTTAAAATATCAACCCTACACCATCAATACTATTTGTGAAAAAGTTACAGAACGTGTGTATTATTAAGATTGTACAAAAAGATTTATTTTGTGGGAAAGGTTTTATTTCACATTACTTATAGATCAAAATTTTTACCAGTGCTAGATTGTTCTGTTCTGAAGGAAGAATCTTTTAAAGCCAATACATGTACTTTTTCAATCATTGGCTTTTTTCTTCCATATGCCTAACATTTTGAGGGACATAGGCATGTAAATTGTTGTTTTACTAGATGACTGAGCTATTTCAGGTATTATTTAAGGTATATTTAAGATAAGGTTTATTTTCCCATGAGTCATTGGTGGTAGCTTCATGGAAAGTGTTTATAAGGAAACATAGACATTAGACAGTCATAACTAGTGTTATTATGATTTGAAAAACAAATTATCAATTGAAAATGGTAATCTACATCTTATATTTTGAGCTCTAACAACATGTAAAAAAAAGTTTAATGTTCCTAACCATGACAGATTATTTCATCTACTAGTAAAAAATTAAACTTGGGTTTTCCATTGATTTAATGAAGACAAATTAAAATGATAAAAGTGATAAATCTGCTGGTAGTCATTGTTTCTCATAGATGAAATTTCTATCATGTTGCTAATATAAAGATGTATAAAATGTTCAAAAATTTATCAATTATTTTACAATATAAAATTTGTCATATTTTGTATATACATATTAACTATTAGTGCTTAAAAATACTTGACAATGAAAAATATACTTCTAGATAAAGTAGATTTAGGCCATGGTATATATCTGTTATGTGTCGTTATTTGTTTTTATTTTAAGATGTTTCAAAATATTAATTATTATTGTTGGGTTTATAGAATTTGTATATATTTGGCTATAAATAAGGAGAGATTGGTGGTGTTATATAGTGCTTTGATGATGTTAAGTACTTTTAGCACTATTACCAATTTATACATTTTTTATATATTCTTCATTATAGCTATTTATTTTTTGACACCCATCAATTTGAGCTGAAATTTTACTACCTGAATTATTTTTAAATTTGATATTTGATATAGAGTTATCTGCAGCTAAAGGTAGTATATCCATTAAAACCCCATTAGGGATGCTATCACATTTGCACTATTATGATTAACATTTGGGTTACAATGACCTTGGGGAACATTCAATTTTCATTTTGTTTAGGACATGGTTGTTGACAATACATGTATATGTCTATATAGGGAGATGTGGATGTATAAAAGTTATGATTTCACGAGTGGCAATACCTTACCAAACATTCATACCAAATTTTGTCAAAATCCATCAAGAAACCAACTCTCTATCATGTCCCAAAACATTTGTGGATAGACAGACAGACAGGAGGGGCAACAAACTATATAAGCCCACATTAATGTGTGGACGTATAAAAAATAATACAGATAGCTGAGCTCAGACAGCTAAAAACGTGTATATTTAGTTAAAATTGATATTTGTTAGCTTATGAAGTGCCTTCAATTTGGGCACCAAAGAAATAATATCTTTAAAAGATGACATCTTAGTATAGTTATCCAATATATCCCATGTTTCATTGTTCTGTTTTGACAAATTTCACCACTATTCTGTGGTTAAATTTCATATTTTATCACTGTCATAAGAGAAAATATGTTGTATTTGTTAAAGTCTAACATATAAATATATTTTATAAATCTTCAAGATTCACTTGTTATTATACCATTTACATCAGGCTTTTTTACTGTTTACGTACATTTTAAAATCTGTCATGTCTTATGTAAAAGAAATACATACAGGGCCGTAACTACATCAAGGCAAATGCCTCCTGCAGAATTTACAAACAATAAATTTTGTTTTTAAAAATAAGATATGAATATGATATCAGCTAAATATATCGTCTATTTTATGTCTACAGTTAAGGTGGTTACCGTAAAGTGTACTGAAAGCGTTGTGATGACAGACATAACTGACTTTAAAGAAAACAGGATTTTTGCCTCATAAAAAAAATACTCTAGTTACAACCCTGACATAAGAACATGATATAGGGCTGATATATTGGAAGATTTTTTATCCAAGCTAGTTCTGAAAAATCCATGACATAAGCATAAGTTTAATACCATTTGAATACAGTGTACAACAATCAGCACAACTTTGATAACAGTAATCCCTTTCATGATATGTAGGCAATGCTGATAATCGCCAGAGATAAGCTAGGAGCAGCTGAACTTTTAATTCTGTCAGTTCTCAGAAAGTGGAATGTTTGTGTTTATGTTCTTAATCGGACCAAGATATGCATAAATATTTTTGCTTGACTTTATTATAGTAAGAATAAACAAAGATGGAAATACATATATATATATATTAGGCATACAAATTCATGAATTGAACATTTAATCTTATTGATCAACTACCAGAACTTTATTTTATGTTTCATGAACAATCAATCAGGTAACTATAAATTGATTTTTAAGTTAGACAGTAACTTTTAAATTTTGTTTTTGAAAGAAATGTATATTATAATTTTAAGAACAAATTGTAATAAAATCTAAATGACCATAATGAGTACATTTTCATTTTCATTTTTCCTTTCTATGGCATGATCAGCCATTAGATATTTGTGCACATCCAAATTCTACCTGGTTGTATATGAATATATCTGCTTGCCTACAAATATTTATATCTAAATGTTTTAAATGCCATGCCATCAAAATCTTTAAATTCACTATTTTGACAAAACATTTTTCCTATATTACACTCGGAAGGGATTACTCGAAGGCTAAGTTATAAATGCTAAGAACCCAAGAACAGAGGAATTCAGAAGAAGTCCATCATTTTACTAAAGAAGAGAATATTTTATAGTCCAAATAATTTAGTTTCCGCTTTTTATGACTTCACTCTTTGAAACGTATGACTTATATTATACTAAGAGACTGCATAAGTGAAAAATAATTGATAGTTCAATATATATTTACATTGTCTTCGAGACCTAAAAAATTGACTGAAAGTAATCTCATTTTTTTTTGAGGTGGTGCATCAATATGTTGTTTCATTTTCCAAGATTGCTCAATTTACAACATATAACAGTGAGTTAGACACTTGCTCTTTAACCTGAAGGTCAAGGATACAATCCCGGCATAGGTTGAGATATCTTCAGATTTTTCAACCCGGTTTCCCCTTGTCAGTGATGCAGGTCAGAAGTGCTGACATGGCGAAAGCGTCTAGTTGTTCGGGTGGGACAATAAACCGAGGCCTAGCTGTGTATGTTAAAGATCCCTCAACAGTTGGATATTGAAAAAGAGTAGGCTAATGCCCCTTAATATATGGTGTTCATTAGCCCATAAGGTGCAGAAAAGTAGGACTTAAAACTCCATTCAATTCATTTTTTATTTACAACACATAACAAAAGCAGTGCTATTAATAGCACCAATAACATTATCCAATTATATATATTTAGGTATTATACAATTTAGAAAAGGTAAGAATCAGACAGAACAAACCATTCACAGCCATGTTAATACAAAGGAAAGAATGAGCATATTATACTGGATAAGGACACAGAAATATCTTTATTACCTCTGTCAATACCTTATCAGATATCATAAGAATAAAACTTGCACATTCATCTTTCTCTAATTATTAGGTACGGTACAGCACTCATTGAGTAATAAATGACACATAACATCTAGATCATCCTACAGAACAAAAATTCCATGATTTTGTGAGTTCAGGTTTAAAAGAAAACTTGCACACGATTATTCAACTGAAAATCAACAATATTTAACTAGTTGAATCACAGTCAAATTTTTATGACCTTTAGTTCAGTCTTGTTAATGAAAGGTAATTCTTGAGACTAGATGGTAATGGTAACCTATCAATATGTTTTGCAAAATAAATTCCAGAACACTTCACTGCCACATAATTACGAATGATCCTTTTACAGTAATGTTGTAATAAAGGCGGTGTTCTAGAGTCATTATCTAACAGAGTTAATATATCACCTTCTATATCACTGTTCATTAGGGCCATTTTCACTGCTCTTATCTGAGCCAATGGAACTCCAGCTGTTAAAACTAATCTCACTATTTCAATATTGCCTCTTTTAGCAGCCCAGAATAAAGCACAATGTTCAATAGGTGAATGTGAATTGAAAGCTCCCAGGTTACTCCCATTTATAATCAACATTTTAACTATAATAGAACTAACATGATACATTAATGATGCAAGAAGTGGAGAATATAAAAATTTGTTTACTTTATTTACACTAGCTCCATTCATAATTAGATAATCTACTAAATCTGGCATCTGACGTCTGGCAGCAACCCACAGTGCTGTATGTCCTAAATTATCTATAGCATTAATATCTGCTCCAGCACCAACTAAAATGAATACACCTTCTAAAAAATGCATTCTACACGCAGTTATAATGGGAGGTTCTACTCTTCCCAATGTGTCTTTACTACTAACATCTAAATCCACTCGTCTGGTCTTTTCTTGGTGTCTTATTAACATATTGAATATATCAAAATGTCTTTTATATAAAGCCAGTGATAATGGAGTTACATCTCGAATGTGAAAATTAAGATCCAAATCGGGTCTTGATAATAACACATTTCTGACTAATGTCAAAGAACCGTTCTCAACAGCTTGAAACACATCATACGCCAAGTTTGATTGCACATACCTATTTGATGTTTCAAATGTAGTTAGTACACTATTGTTAGTCGAGGAGTTGTTTGGAGAACGACAAGGCATCTCCTTCTGATGTGTTAATACCTTATAAACAGGTATTTCAACCGGAGACATGCACCATATTTCAATAACAGATAACTTAAAAAACTTCCTCCAATACGGTAACTTCCTGAAAAAATACAGACATTATCAAATAAATATTGGAATATTATATACTCACTAAGAAGTCGATACAAATATTATGGTTAGATCTACTTGGCTATTACTAGGCTACATACTAACATAGTACAGTACAGAATTTAATTTTACAGTCCCTAGGTTTTTAAAATCTTAAAATTTACTGTTTTATTATACCATATGAATGTATAAAATTCAAGCACTAATGTTAAAATCCACAAAAAGAAGACAAAGTTATGTTTCGTTAATCCAAGTTAACAATCCAGAAATGCAAAGCTCCAGTCTGTGAGTGACTTCACTTGGTATACAGTACTCTCTCATGTCTACAGACGCTTATTCCGTCATTCCTTTACTTCAGTGTGACAAAGTATATCCATAGTTCAAGAATAGAAACATAATACTTCACTTAACATTTCAACACAACAACTAAAATCATATGATGTAATTAAATCTACAAACCGTCTTGTTTTTATTTTTAATTCCTGGTAATCACAGGGATTCGACAAGAACTTAAGGCATTGGTTATTGTTGACATCAACTTGCCGTTCAGTGGACATGCAAGCATTTTGAAATAAATTTTATAATTTAAAATAATTCTGCTAGGTAATCGATTTGTTCAAATAATGATATGTCAGGAAAATACCTTTTGAATAAAGCCATGCAGAAAATTTAAAATCAAGTACTCATATTGTTTACCACTAGGCCCTATGTAATGATTTGACCTTCACATTGAATGTATTTTGACCAATCGGCAATCGTAACGACCTTCCGTCCGTATTATGACAACATTTTTGTTGTAGTTTCTTAGAGAGTCGTTTTCGATTCTCTTTTATTAAAAAAAAACTTCATAGCCGATCTCAATAAAATGCCTGCTGTCATACGAGCAAAGTGTATTGTAGTCGGTTAGTACAATTAACTGACGCAGAAAGTAATACCAGCTTCCTTTCAGGCACAATGTCATTAAAAAACTTACAGCGGCTTACGTGGTGCGACTAATCTTGCAAATAAATGCATGAAAACAATATACACAAATTCCCATTTTTCTATTGCAGGAGATGCTGGTGTAGGTAAAAGTTCCATGTGCCAGTTATTTTCCAGTGATGGAGCACATTTTCCCAAAAATTATACAATGGTAAGTAAACAGATTCTGGTTAATAAATAGAATTACTGCAGACCATTGCTGGTGTTGGCAATGTTGTTGCACTGGCATTATTATCATTTAACACATTTTAGTTTAAGTTTATAATATTTTTTGATTATACAATTTTCAGACTATAGGAGCAGAATTTATGATAAAACCAGTAGTTATACCTGACACTCAAGATACAGTGGTAATGTATTGCTATTTAATTTTAAGTTTAAAAAGAATTCAGGTACCGGTACTATGAGAATGATATTGCACTGATGTATATGTTAAATGTAAACATGTAAAACCTTCCAGTACATTTTGAAACTAACTGATAAGGTTATTCCAATTCACTCAAAATTAATCTGTAAATTTATATTCTGTAAAAAGTGCAAAGATAGAATCTGTTATTTACATCAATACAAATTAAAAAAATTCTTATGTTCATGCTTTATTTAATGTCTTTCATAACTATGTGTCAACTAAATCAATTTTTTGAGAATATTTGTGTTTATTCATCTCCTGTAATTTACAGGCTGTAAAATATGACTATTGTTTTAAGCATAATCATTTGTTGGATATTATTTTCAGGAACTGTATATATATGATTCTGCTGGAAAAGAAATTTTTTCTGATATGGTAATAAAATTTGTAAGTATATGAGCTCTTTTCTTGGTTATGTGCCCTCAATTTTTCCCTTAAATTGTTCTGACCATGGCCACAAGATAAAACATCTCCAGTCGGTCATATGTTGATAATCATGTGATCATGCAATTAAAAGGAAGATGAATTTGATTGGCAGATAAAGCTCTGTCATGCAGACAATAAAACAATTTGTAGTCGAATTGGTTTGATATTATTATCTTGTAACAAGAACAAGATTTGCATCAACGACAAAAATTGGTGACAAAAACTTTTTTGTGTGCCCGCACAATAAGCCGTCTGCATTCAGTGATATATAAGACACTCTAAATGTTCCCTGACCTATTGTCATTTAGTTATCATGATGTAAGAATTTAATACTATCTTTTGATGGATAATATTTGTAAGAATTACCAATTTGCTTTATTCATTTATTTTCAATACAGTGGGATCATCCATCTATGGTCATTGTTGTGTATGATGTCACAAATGAATCTTCATTTTCAAGTTGTGAAAAATGGTTAGAACGTGTACGGTCTCAAAAGCCAGATGTTCCATTTCCAGGTATTACTTGTATTCTGGTATTCAATATTTTTGATGTTTGATTTAAGTATGGATAAAATCACTGCAATCAAACATTGTCAAATCCAGAACTTTTAAATTGATTACTTAAAAATATTAAGCTTATGATTACAGGTGTATTAGTAGCAAATAAAATTGACTTAGATCAAAGAAGATTAATATCACCTAAAGCTGGAAAAGAATTGGCACATAGAACTGGATTGGATTATTATGAATGTTCTGCAGTGAGTGAAAATCTTTACATATTATTCATAGAATTACGTCTGGTTCTCCCATAAAATCAATAAATAACAGTGTTAATTTGGACATTCAGGCTATGAATATTTTCACATGTCATTGTATTAAGTATATTACTGATGATGTCGTAATACCAACAATGTATGGACATGAGAATAGTATAAAATTTTCTTAAATAATTAATACACTATTGATATATAAACTTTTCTTTTTCAGAAAGAAATGCAGAATGTGGACACACCCTTTTATTTTCTAGCCAGTGAATATTATAAACTTTATCATGAAAAATTAGAAATGTTTAAAGCTTGTGTAGCTTAACACCAGTTTCAACCCAGACTCATAATTCGGATATTTTTCATAAAAGAAAATCATTTGCACCGTATAATAGAATCTTTAAAATAAGAGGACTAAAAGCCAAACATTATCAATGGAACTGACCATTCTGTTTGCTGTATAGTAATCGTTTTAGCCATAAGAGTGAAGACACCCTGGAAAATTTTCAATTTTTTTTACATAATACTGTGATTCACATTGATGACTAAATTAACATTTAATAACTCTTTTTCATTGAATGAAATTGTGTTATCTGTTGTTTATTAAAAAGGTATTCTTTACAATAAATTTCTACCAATTATTGTCTTAATTCATTTATCATTTATTGTATTAAGTTGTTCTTTCTAGGTCATGAGTAATTACATTAAAGGCATATGTTAATATATATTGCTATGAATGTTTGTATATTATATGTTTGTTTTTTATTTAAAAGAAAATTAATTATTTTATGTTACAAATCTGATATTTATGAAGACTTATGGATTTAATAAAATCTCCCAAGTTTAAAAGACCAGATGTTTCGATTGAAAATCAAAATACTTCATTTCATAACTTTACCATAGAATAATTTCACAAAGATTCAAAAACACATCTATGTGTTCATGTAATAGAGCATTAGTGGGTATCAAAGTGATTCAAGAAACATATTGATGCTTAGCCTCCTTAATAGACAATGATGAATAAAATTTAATTTCATAAATCATAGACCTAAAGGCAAAATATGATAGTTCATTTTGAGCAGATATTTATTAAAAACGACATAATTTGTTATTTAATTCTAATAATGTATTAATTTTTCCAATCATCAGCAGCCCAGTAAGGGGCTGAGGCTTTATAACTCCATCCCGGGCCTTCGTATTTATAAGCATGTAAATATAAAATAAGGTCTTTAGGTTCAGGGTTTTTATAGGTGTTCTGACATTCTTCACAGTCGATATCTATAGACAGCTGATCTTTGTCAAACCTATTTTCTTCACTTAGTTTTAATTTCTTTGTTTTAGGTTCAAATTCTCCACTTTCAATATCCTTTGTCAGCTCACAATTTTCTGCACCAGTGACATTTTGATGTTCAGGTGATTTTTCATTTGATAAAGAATGCCCCGTTTCAGTACTTCCTATGTTTGTCATACCACCAAACTTTTCTTTATAAAGTGGATTGTCACCTTTTACCCATTGACCAACATTATGCTCCTGTAGGATTGCAGAAACAACATCCTTTTCATCTCTTTCCATAATTCCACCTTTCCCACGACTTGGTCCCCACGCCTCACTGTTATAGAATGGATCGTTAACAATAGGATAACCTAAATATTGTAAATGGACTCTAATTTGATGAGTTCTACCCGTATGAGGTGTACATCTCACAACACTAGATGTTCCATTGTAACTGATCCTTTCAAAGGAGGTTTGACTTTCTTTTCCGCCTTTTTGAACTCTCCACAATGTTAAATTATGTCTCATACAGGCTAAAGGTTCATCCACTTTAACTATACCATCTGGAAACTTGCCAACTACTCTACTAACATATTCCTTCAGAACTTCACGATTACGAATCTGATCTTCTAATCTTTTAGTTGCTTCAACTGACTTTCCTAAAATTAACACTCCTGACGTCAGCCTATCTAAACGATAAATATTCCTCAAATTAGCATAGCCATACTCCTTACCAAGAATAAATACTATAGAGTTATGTCTATATTTACCACAAGGATGACATGGTATTGAAGATGGTTTATTTATAACTAATACATCATCTGTATCTATAATTATCTCTATTTTACTACCTATTACAGGATTTTCATGACGATGGATCTTGTGACAAATTTCATCTCCATTCTTTAACAGAAGGTCCGCCTTAACTTTTTGACCATTTACTAAAATTTTACCACGTTCGATATGTCTTCGATAATTTTCAGAATTCATGGCAATAAATTCCTTTGAAAACACTTCAATTAAAGATTTATTGAACCACCTCTCTTTGGCATGTGTTGTAAATGTAAAATAGTATGGGTAAACTTTACGAAGGCCATCTTCAAAGTAATACTCTGTTTCAGAAAATATATCTTGCGAATATCCTCTATCTTCCACTTTCCTTTCTTTATCTTTCTTTCGAATTCGCTCAAATCTTTTTAATTTCTTTAATGCACGCTTAGACATGCCAGACACAGCAGATGGATTGGTTTTACTATCACCAGTGGAGGGAAAGTCAGACTCAGGATTTTGTTTTCCTACAGATACTGGCATGTTACTTTCTATTGTACTAGTGTTATTGAGTGTTGCTTTATGGTCATCTGATTCTATCTCATCTTGTTCTAATACCTTTGGAATTTTTTTGTTTTCCTCCATAATTAATGTATTAATTCAGTTTCTGAGATTTCTGGAAAAAAAAAATGATATATCATGATTAAAGGAAAATCTTTACCTCTACCTTCACAAGGCAATATTTCTATTGGAACTAAACACACAAACCTATAAATCCATACAATTTAATTTGTATAATTGCAATTAATTTTTGAGAAACTAGATTAGGTTACTTAGTTTTATTGAACTATACAGGGAATCTGTTGTCTAGTCACTGATGAATATGAAATCATTTTTTGCCAAGTTTGAGAATTTTTATTCATTTTCATTAAAAGAGGTAGTATATTCCTTTCAGTCCAAGTCTTTAGGCTAGCCGTAAGATGGGCAATATACTGAGGCCATGTGTGCTACAGGCTTAAAGTTCCCTTGACAGTTGGAAATCGAAAAAGAGCACACTATTCTAGCTGTCCTGGCAAAATTTCCCTCATTGCACACTGCATGCATGGCATTGCCAGTCTTCATCAAAGGTACAGAAACGTAGGATAGGTTTTATTCCAAGATGTGTAATTCAATATTTAACCAGCCGCATAATATTAATTCATATATTATTTCACAAGCGAATTATTGTCTAAAGTGAGTTCTATTGAGGCAAAATCATATTCATTACTGGTGCATGTAGATCTAACTGTTTATAATTCCAATTAACACTTCGTCACTTCACTCATTCGATACTCTTTTTGCGTTTGTATTCACAGTAAACGAGAGAAATATTTTCTTTGGTGAAGCCTGTGCATGAATCACAAACAAACGGTTTTATTTATGGTTGAAGACGTCACAGCTGCCAAAACGTTGCATCTAAAGGGGTCCATTAACTCACTGTGATCCTCATTTATTCATATATCACATTTTAGAAACCAATGACAAGAATCCATGTTCAAATCAGAGAGCTGATGGACAAGTATTTTTTATCAAATGGGGTCCATTGCGCTGTTTAGACCTAGTAGCCACTACTGCAGAACAAATATGTGACTACATTAACATTATCAAGTTATCGAATGCAACGTTTATATTATGTCCCCCACCCCTACCCCACCTTCACTGGCATTAGACAAGTGGACAAGTGTGGTATGTTGAAGCATTACTTCCATCTAGCTTTTCTCTACTGCTATTGGCATAGTAGCCTAGTGGGAAGGCTGTAAGATTTAACGTGCCGATGTCTTTCATTTGTAACTGAAATTGAAATGTATGAAACGCCGGTGCGACATACTGCCTATAATGCTGATTATGACATGCGAATTGCTAGATAACAAAATAAATGAAATCATTTCAATCTAAAAGCCTATAGTAGGCCTTGGGCCCTTGGCCGGTGTTGCTGTAGAGAGTCAAAAGCTAAAATACAAGTAGGGGTCTGGGAGATCATCCCAGAAGACATTTAAAAAAATAGAAGCCCATTGAGGGCATTTCTGATGATTCTGAGACATAAAAATCCGCATCAAGATTTTTTGTATAAAGCTTTTGTGAACCGCCACACAATTTACCTTTGAAAATTGTCTTCCAGTGCCGAAAAAGGCATTTTCTGTGATTTCAAACACCTTCGATATGCAATTAGAAATTACATGTGTTATGATTTAACTCATGCCGTCATGGGAACCAAAGGTGCGAAATTACAAAGGGAACCTGTGAATTTTGTATTAAGAATACTAAGCCCCGAAGCGCCATTTCCAGAGATCTGAGAATCTGATCTGAGAATTAATTATAATTAGAATTAAAAGCCCTCAAGTGCTATTTTCAGCAATGTTAATCAAATCATTTTCTGATAAAATAAAAACTGCCGAGTGTTTCTGTTCTGGGGTATAATTCACATTTTCTCATCCCCTAATGAGGGTGCTGCTGACTACTAGTTTTTATATTTACAGAAACAGAATCCCATTTCACCAGTTAATAATTATCTGTATGAATTAAGATATCAACTTCAGGCCTGCTGAGAGTATTACACTGGCTTTGACTTTGGTTTGATAAAAAGGCCAATATAATTTAGCCTACTTAAATTATGAAGAATTATTAATTGAAAATTTGATTTTTACAGAGGGGAAATATTTATTTCAAATGTAAAATTTCCAAATCTTAAAGGCCCTAATAGATACTCCTGATCGGAAGATAAATAGCATGCAATTGAAATTCTTTGTCATAAAGGTGAAATTAGCGAAAAATTCAATGCTGAGCTCAATGTAGCCTGAGAGTAGTTGACCCTCAAAATTAGATTCAAAACTGAATGATTATCAAAAGAAAAAAAACACACAATATAAAACAGAAATCAATCATCATATTAAAGAAGAAAATTTCTTTTCGTTTACAGGCTACTAGTATGGTTTGATATATTTTATATATTGAAATGGAAAAGGATAATGATGTTCTTGGACAATATAGGGCAGTGTCCAATAAACTGAAAAAGTAAGTATAACTTAGTCTTAAGGGTTTTGTTTTCTGATATTCAAAATTCAAATAAATTTTCAGGATTTTATAAGATCTAATTTTACCACTTCATACATAACTTCTAAATCCAGTTTCATTATGAAGTGAGGGCATTATTGAAGTGAGGCCTAAGGCTAAGCAGGTATGTAACCTTCCCCACAATTCTGTCCTAAATTTATGAACTTTAATTCTCCCATATTTGCATTCTGTTCAGTCAGGGTTGTTAATCAAAATCAACATTTTATTTGTAGGAGGTTTTTGAAAAAACCAAATTTATCAGAAGGGATAGAGCAGTTTGGTAAGTAATGGTTACCATCTTGATAAGACCTATGAAGTAAAAGAAAACTTCTGTCAAATACTGTTATAGTTCTGTAATAGAAAGGATTTTTTTTAGTGAAGAATATATTAGATTGTTATGAGGCATTAGGGGGTGGTTAAAGGCTAGCACACACGATAGCTCCCAGCTAAGCAAAATTTCATTTGTGTCTCCCAGCTCAGCTCGCAGCTTTCGTCGTTTTCCCCCGCACACGTTAAGCTTAGAACTTTCGTAAACAGGGTGTTGAGTCATAGACGTCTAAAAATAACTAGATCACGTGACCGTGTCACTTTAACAAAATGTCGGACGTCAACAACCCTTCGAATGATTCAGAATATGAAGAAATTTTACTTCTTCTTTTGTTGTTGCATCGTTGCCGACGAAGAATACTTGCATGCTCTCGTAAGCTATGGATACGCCAATGGATACGCCAATGGATTCAAACTCGCATTCACCGATGGGCGCAGCCATTTTTGTTTGATCATGTGCTAGCGCATGGGCCCCAGTTCAAAGTTGAAAGCTAAGAGCTTTCGAGTGCGCATACGGTAAGGTATTTTTAATTCGAGGAAAAAATTATCAAACACGACAGATAATTTCCTTAACGCCTCGAATGAAAAAAAACTTAAGTAAACTCCGCTCTGAGCTGAGAGGCACAAATGAAATTTTGCTCAGCTGGGAGCTCTCATGTGCGCTAGCCCTAAGGGGATAGTTAAAATAGAATTGTTTCTTTTTCTACTTTCTTATTTACTTACTTTGAACCTGATTGTGCTTCAATAAGATTATATCTGTAACTACATATAAATTTCAGATAAGTTATTTGCATTTTTTTGTGCAATCTGAAAATTATCCCAGATCAAGTTATTAGTGATTTTGCAAATTTCAATTTATCTGAATCAGTGACTTTTGTTTAAGATGAAATTAATTTTTCAGGTAGTTTAGCTAAAAATTTAGATCAACAGGAATGTCCACAATATTCTGGGTTTTGCTGTTTAGCTCAGGCTAGGTATATATATATTTACATCTTACCTAAATTAGATGGTGAATTGATATCCTAGGTATCTTCCCCAAAATCCATGAAGTTTGATCCCAATCATTTCTGTGATTTAAGGCACTTTAAGATTATATATCCATGTCAAATAACCACTTCTGCTTTCCTACTTAGTATTCAAGGATGATTAAAATCCATGCCATAGTTCTATGCCAGAAATGTTTTGCGGTATCAATGAATATCTGGGTATAATACTCATATACCCCTAAACCGGTTCTGCAGACTTGTCTACCACCACTGAATGTCATTGCCAATTTTGCTTGTCATGTTAATATGTTTTTATAACTTTCTGTAGATGTGAACATACTCAGACAAATCATGCTGGGGAGGCATTAGCTTTAACCAGTGCAGCAAGATCCTTTCTAAAAGCTGAAATCAAGAATCAACAAATTAAATGTGTCAGTTTTGAAGAACATTTGATAGCTGCAATCAATTGTTATGGTCATGCTATCAGAGTGAGTGTGTTTATTACCTGTTTCACTTCATCTTCTTGTTAGGTAAAGTTGGTAAATATGACCTCATTGCTTATAAAATATAGAAGTGGATTGATGGTTTCCAGAATAATGTTATCTTGGGTGAAATGCAAGAAAGGCAAGCAGTGTGCACAGAAGAAATTTTACCCCTTCTTTTCAACCTCAAGCCTTTAGCACACAGTGCCTTTATTTATGGTACTTTTTGCAAGTGTTTTTTTTTTGTTCTGCAAGAATAAGTAAACCTTTCTCTTACATTTGATCTCAAATATGGATTATAATATTTCATATTTACTTATTTGTTACAGGTCCATATAGAAAACAAACAGATAAGTCTAGCAGCCTCACTTTCTCTTGAACTTGGTCATGCTTTAAAGGTAAGACAATGAAGAACGTTGAACCTATTAATACTAATCAGATTTCAACATTATTTATGAAGACATAATTTTTTGTCATGAATTATCCAAGTAGGCTACTGTTTTATTGTATTACTGGCCTCTTATCGGTCATTATTATATATTGTAGAATTTAGACAAACCAGGTGAAGCTGTTGGACATTTTCAAAGATCTGCAGAACTCTTATCTCAAGTAGGTCTACTTTTCTATATTAGAACTTCCATTTTATTTAGGTGAAGGTCTTCTGAACAATGTTCAATCTTTGGGATTCTAAGGTCATATTCAAACCTTTGGTCAAAGCTGTGTGACTTCAAAGAGAGTGAACTTTCAACAACAGAACAGAAAACTGCAAAAAAAAAACATACTCAGAAATGCCATACATCTTATTGTTTGTTTACATATACAGCGATTTGTATCCTCGCTTTCTTTTGTCATTCCTTTTAAAATTGTTCTTTCAGAGCCCCTTGGACTGTCTAGAAGCTTTAGATTTAGTTTCATCATGTAAAATAGAAACAAGTAAGTAGAGCCTAATATTCATTTGGTGTAGTAAAATTATAGAATCTATATACAACTCAAATTTTGACACAATTGCAATGGAGAATAATTGATCTTCAGTGTAAAGTTACTTGTTCAATATATTTTACAAGTGTTATAATGCATAGCTACATGATTAACACCAAATAGTCCCAACTGTCATTTATTATGTCTACTGAAAACAAATTTATACAAAACCATGTTTGGTTCTTACATAACAAACGAACGTAGTTCACAACCATTTTGAATTTCTTCCTCGACTTATTAGTATGATTTTAATCTTGTGCTTCCTACCTTAGTTTTGAAAAAAACAGTTGAGTACCTCACAAAATACACTAGTATAGCACTTACAAGACATACAATTTTGAATATTGTAGAAGATTATGAAGGAGCATTAGCAGTTTTAACAGAAATGACTTATTTAGCTCAAGAAAGAGGAGGTAAGATTGTGACTATAGACTGCTGTCTCAAGTCAATTCATATAATTTAATCATGACATCATGTATAGATACTCCAAGAGACAAAAGAATTGTGTTTTTAAAAGTAATACAGGTTTATGATCATCTATAATTAAATAGTCTATAGCTTTGTTTGTTTCAATTCAAGGTTCAACGACAACAGGAAAACCACTAGGACCCTATGTTGATATGTTAGTCAAATGTGAAATAGCTAGAGTATTGTTATTGATGCTTTTACAGGTAACCAAATCTTATGTTACTTGATTATATATATTTAAGAAATTGAAAAGCTATCTTTAAAATTCACTTACATGCAAAATTGTGATTATTTGGATAGTTATTATTTAATATATAGAGTACAGTGGTGTAACCTATTTTCGGATATAAAGATTCAACACCGAATTTCGTCAAAGTTAAAAAAACGAAATTTTTTTTTATGTCTTAGATGTTTCCTCAGATATTCCACAAAATTATCAAAATTGGTTTGTTTCGATTTTATTTATTAATCCTTCACTTTGATCCATATTTCATGAGCAACCAACTTGGTAACGGCGGCAGAATGCGTCACCTATTTTCGTGTACAATGTTTGATCTATAAATAAGTCTAGAAAAACACGTTATATGGATACCGGTATAATTAACTTCTCTTAGTATTTATCATTAATATCAATTCATTATAACTAGTGACAATTCCTTCAAAGAACCACGATTTAAAAAAAAAATAGTGGTTGACAAAATAAGATACGTAGCGTGATTTATTGCTAAAAGTCACTGAAACAACATAAGAATATGGTCCACTTTGTGTTTCATAGAAATTTTCTGCTGACACAGAATCCGCTAGTTGATCACATGACTTCATTCGTTGGACTACATTCTAGCAGACGACACTTGGAATTCCGATTACCGCTTGAGATTATAAGGAAATTCGGTGAAAAATGGTGACTTTTGGTAATAACTGAAATCCGCCATTTTGTATTTGTCAAAGTATACATTAATACATTTTACCTTGCTTGAAACTACTGAATTCATTCTACTAGCTGATATTGTAGAGAAAACCCATGTTTATCAAAACAAACTAATGCGGAGGTCGTGCAAGGTCGCTCATGTCAATTATTAATGCTTTCTGGAAATCAACGAAATTAGGTTACTTGATTTTAATAACACTGATTATTTTCAGCCTACTCCACAGCGTATCAGACCAGAACATGCTCAAACATTAGAAAAATATGCTTGGGAAACTACAGAAGATAATTTTTCAGGTAAATATTAGTAACAAATCAAAGAATATGAAATAATGTTAAACCTTTGAGGGATATGTGTAAGTGAAATATTGTTTACAACTGAGGTGTATTTCATAACAAATTTAAGAATATAATCAATTAAGTGTAAGCTTGAATGACTATCTGTGGTAAAAGTTTCATTTTGATTCAAATAACATCTAATATAGAAGTGGTCATTAAATTCAAGTTGCAACTAATACCTGTTTTGTTTTAGAAAAGTGACTCGTTGGATATGTGTGATTTTGATCCACTGCTTTTTATTTTCCATATTTAGCTCAGTATTTAGATGAAGATTTATTTCTCTTATTACAATCAATTGTGGTGAGTACAAATACTATACATATTAAGACTCATATGGATGAGAATTGAAAGGGGTAAATTTAGGTATTAGTGTTGAGCATCAGCTTTGATGGAACCGCAGACATGACATGAATGGTGTAGGGGGATAATGATGGTTTGATTGAACTACAAAAATATCCATCTTTCTGAATATATCTGGCTTTGGTGGAAACCCCTGCATCATTTTTCGCAGCCTACTTTTTCTGACCCTACACCAGCCGACAGCAGTCATAAGTAGCAATCAGAGGCTGGAATAGGGTCAGCAAGTGTTGCACTACCGTTGTGCTTTAAATTTTTCTAGTCACCTCCACACTTCCTAAATGGTTTATATTTTATTTCAGATGGCTTGTCAATCTAGAGATATTGAATCATTACAGGCATTACAAACAGAAATCTGGCCAATGTTATCAGCTGAACAAAATCAAATTCTTCATTTAGTTATACAAGAGATATCTCATCCTACTGGTGAAGGAGTGTAGTTATCAGAACATTCTAGTCATTGTAAAAAGTATCGTATGTGACAATTGAGCTGTTTAATATCTATTACATCTACATTCCTTTTGTTTTAAGAGATATTATACAATTATAAGATTATCAGATTATGAAAGAGGTGAAATTCTATATTGATTTAAATTGTTTAGTGAAAAGACTATTACATGAGTCATACCTGTAACGTATTTATCAATGTTAAAAGGACAGGTTCGCAATCTGTTTGGCCAATGGTACCTTCGTCAGAAACAGGAATTTATCAGCTATCAGTAATGGTGTTATCAGCTCACAATCTAAATTTAAGCCTTTATATTTATGTGTTTCCGGAATTATCTGCGTTTAAAAATAATGACTTGTCTTGACAATAAATCAGAATAATGTTCTGAGGTTTACATGGACAGAAGTAGTAGTCGTCATTCTTAACAAAATATATTTATTATTAAAATATGGCAAATATAAATCAATCAATATTATAAACAATAAATGCTGGGTCTTTACTTTGGCCCAAAGTCTTTGGGTTGGGCATATGTTGATCTTTTTAAGGATTTCTAGCCTTTCATTTGTACTGACATTCAGCTTTTCATGACCAGTAATCAAAAGCCTGTAAGAAAGCTTTGTCCTGATAATGATGTTTGCACAAATACCCAAATGTTTTTTGAGAATAGGAACTGCCTATTTCTGATGCCCATACAAGGTTAAATAATATATATAAAATGCCTCTTTTGTCTCAAGTTCAAGAATATATGGGTTTTGAAGAGACTCAGACAGTGATATCAAAAATAAAAGTATAGCTTTCTAACACAAAATGGTACAATTGTCTCTGACATTCTCCCAATTGACTACCAATTAAATGGCGGTATAGAGTTTCTCATGCATAAGACTGAACTGAGTATTCTATAAGAGAAACACATTACCTCGGTAATCTTTTGATATATTGCTAGGGTGTTTTTGCAGGCCGATTCAATTTGAAAGATTAGCTATTTTGTGCAATTGGGAGCCAGGAAGTATAGCCTAATCGATACATTTGTTAGAATGTCTACCTAAACCAATTAGGCTTAATCCTAATCTTCCCAGGATGTGATTAGATTAGACTTTTAACTAATGGTTGCAGGTCAACAATAGTAATAATAATAATCAAAATAGATGACTTTCTTATGTTGTCAGCGGAGGCAGCTATATTGCCTAATCCACAACATCCAATTTCCATTTGTAGACAACTGCTAATCTAATCGAAATGGAACCAAATTGTACTTGCAAATCAAAACCAAATCAAATCGGCCAACAAAAAAGTTTTTAATATATAGCCTAACTAATTCAGTTTACACGCAGACTAGATAATCTATAAAATAATTTGATTAACTGTTTTTAGACTTTGATTTTGGTTTTGGTTTGATAAAGTTAACAACTGTTCCTAATATAAAAAATAAAAGGGTGAAAACATGGGCTATATAATAAATTGATGACCAATACCGCAATGTTTCTCCAGCTCCTAATAATAGAAATCCCATACACATATAGTCAAATCCACGCATTTTAAAAAACCAACAAGCCCAATCAAATAGTTTTTCTTGTTGAACAGATGTATTGGTTCTAAAAGCTTTAATCATGGCTTGTTCAGCCATCAATATAGGTGGTACTGTCATGAATGATAGGTAATAACCAGGATGTATACCATGCCAATAAGCACTTACTGCCATTGTGACTGATACTCTGAAATCAACAGAATGTTAAAATTTTAAAGAAGAGATTTTTTTGTCACATTTATTGGAGCACAAAGTATCTTGGCAATCCAAAGTAATTTAGCATGATTCACAATTTAAATTTTGTCAAGTTATTGAAAATAAGAAATGAAATAAAAAATAAGGATGTGAGAGGGCTGTACAAAGTTTTGGACAGAATTTCAATTGATTTAATAATGAGGATTCCTAGGCAGGATTGCAGGAAGGTGCTAGGATAATCATAGCTACTTGAATACTTGTATTGCCACGGAATTTTATGAGTTGCGTACATGTAGGTCCTATCAAACCATCAATTATCATGAGCATTGATATATACATCTTTTACTTTCATGTCTATAACATAGTTATACAACTGAATACCTACTTTAAAGATTTAATTGGAACACGTTTATGAACATAAGCTGCTAACCAGTATTGAACTGATTTATTCCAGGCTTTTAATCCATCTTTTGTTTGAGGTGCCAGTTCACATCCATATATGTCTAAATTATAAACTGTATTATGATCATATTCTACCTTCTCTTCTTTTACACTGAAATAAAAAATTTAGATCTATTCCAGTTCAAACAGAATATAATCTTTCCATAAAATTACTACTATTTAATAGATTCAAAATAGGTGATGATGACAAAAGTAAATTGTTGAAACACTGAGTACAATAAAAAATGGTATATAAATAAGTATATAATAAAATTGTGTTTAATGTGATCTCTACCCTTAAATGTCTAACAAGGAGAGAAGTAGGGGTGTCCAAGTTTAGATTTTGGAGCGCCTGTTGGCTGTGGATTGTGATAGGCCCGGGTTGGTGCCCAGTTGTTTGATTATTTAGCAGTCAAGATTTCAACTGGAGTGTCTTGGTAAATGGAGTGAGAGGCGACTGGTGTGTCTCTCTTATGATAGATGTCAGCAAAGTGTTCTTTCAGCCTAATACGGAAGATTCTCTCGCCAACATATTGTTTATGACTTAGATTGAACGTAAGGAGTTAGATGATATTTCTACTGTTGCAAGTTCAGGTTTTGGAACAGTTACATGATATTTTGGTGATGGAGGAAGAAAACGTGTTTTTATTTGTAAGCGTGTTGCAATATTGGCAGTTATGGATAATACATGAGTTATGAAGAGATCTTTAAGAGAAGAGGTTTGTCTGTATGCTGTAAGACAGGGAACGCTCTGTTGCAGTCATTGGAACTGGAAAGGATGTGACAGTTTTCTTTAAGGATCTTGCTGATGTGGACCCAGCTGGGATTGTAGTCAAAACCTTGACGTGAGTGACTCTTCGGTAATTTTTGCTTATTGAAAAGGGATGTCCTTTCAAATGGATAACCATATTAGGTTGTCTGCATGTAGTTTGTAATTAGCTGGTACTAATCTCCTTTATTTTTCTTACCTATCTTCTAAAGCTGTCAAGTCTGTTGGTCCCTGACCACAACGAGATTCAGCCTTTACAGGGAAGGCACCTAATGTTGAAGTCATACACATACATTCAGATAATATCCATGCAATATATAATCTAGTACGAAATATCATAAACATTGGTACCATAAAGAATAATCTATACCAGAATGATCTTTCATAGAACTCATCTGTTTTAGCATACTGTAAAGAAATTATTGTACCATAAGTAAATGATTAATATCAATACAGTAGCCTAAATAATATTTTAACTCAACAACATAATTAAGAAATTATTTAACTGATGTGTCAACTCTCAGAATATCCTACTGAATCTAAATTAGCTTACATATTATAACCACAATCCTAGTCTTAAAAAATGCTAATGTAATATGTTCGAAGAATAATGGACAGAATAGTACTAATTTCAATAAGAAAAATGTACAAACCTGAACATCAAAATAGTAAGATAAAGTATAAAATGTGGTAATTATGATTGGTAGTGGTTTTATTTTATGATATAAAGGTATTAAACTTGGTATTTTATTACTATTATCATTATGTAATAAATATGAATAAACACTATATTTGTAGTATGGACCTGAAATATAATAAATTTACATTAGAACCCTAGTTCCCTGAGGCACTAGTACCCCATTAGTTACATTAGTTAGAAAGAGGTACAAATAGTCCAAAATGTTGGGAACCATACTCATCAGACATACTATGATACTAATAATTGTGATCTTGACCAGTGAGGACTTTGCTTTCTATCTATCACATAAGAAACTCGAGCAAGAATGTTTTTTTTACTGAACATAATACATAGCATACCTGTTAAAAGGCCAATATAACAAAAAGAATAACTAAATGTATGCCATAAGTTATTTCTATCAATAAAAGTATATTTCTTCAATAATATATTTTCTTCTGCATTATCTGTTATCTTATTTACATCATGTATTTCAAATGCCAAACCAATCAGCTATAAAAACATAATAACACATTTTTCCTTTAATACACATAAGCTTATCATTGAAAACTAAATGGCTTTAATTCAGTCCAATGCAGAACCTTATATTGTTGCTGGAAGTTTATATAGAAAGAGCTCTTATTGAGTAATTCATTTCTTGGGCAATTCCATGGTAACGGACGTACATTTCAGACAATTTTCTGTCCTTACCAGTAAAAGTTTTAGGCTGAAATGTTATTTGCAATATTTAAACAATGAATGGTTTATAACAGAGAACCATTATGCCTTTCAGTGGGTAATATTTTTTTCTGGTTCAATTTATTTGATAATTCAAGTTTAGTAACGGACGTACAACCCAAAAGTTGTAAATTATGAAACCGTACGTTTAATACTGAAAGTCTGTGAATTATGGATTTCCAAAAAAAAATCTTCAGGATATATTTCTGTATATATTGAACAGTTATTCAACAATTGGTTTAAAATCTTGATTCATACCTTATCTCAACTGTTATATCATTTATATTAAGGTAACGGACGTACACGTGCAAATATATATTTCAAATACAGCATCTCCCTTCTTTCTGATATACAATAGTGCTCTCTGAGTAGTATAGCGCTGAGAACACATACTTGACAGCTCTCAGAAGGTTCAATCAATTCAAAGCTTTATCATATTCAAAATATGGTTGAAAAGATGAGGTAAGATAGCTTGCCAAGCAAGATAATATTCGCCCACTGTCAGCTTTGATTTTGAATAAAAATATTTAGCAGCACAGTAACAATCACCAGTATGAAATATTCAACCTTCAGTCATACACTTCTTTTGAACTCTTTAGGGCGATACTGAATAATATTGAGTATGAGTTATTGCCCTTGTTCTTGAAAACATGTTCAAATTTTAGCTCATACTAAATATTTTTCGATTTTTCTGATTTTCAATAGGGTTTATTCTGTGGTGATAACAAACTCTCATGCCAAGTTTTCTCAAAATCCGTCAAGAATTGTGCCTTCTAGTGTGTTTACGAGCTAAAAATTAAACATGTTTTCAAGAACAAGGGCAATAACTCATACTTAATATTTTTCGATTCTTCTGATTTTCAACAGGGTTCATCCTTGGGTGATTACGAACACTCACACCAAGTTTTGACAAAATCCGTCAAGAATTGTGTCTTTTAGAGTGTTTACGATGGACGGACGGACATGGGTGACGGCAATATACGCCCCCCATTTCATGAAAGGAAATTAAGGCCTTAAGCTCAGTGTTCTGTCCCTTAGCAAGGCCTACAGGTATGATATTTACCAACACATGCCCATGTATTATATAAATGATTTTGAAAACAACACAAATGCAATAAGATTGCCTTAAATCAAGGTAACAGACGTACAAGGTAACGGACGTACATAAATTTGTAACGGACACACAATTTGAAATAGGGCCTTAACTTTGAAATTTTAAACATTTTCAAGGCAGCTGCTTTATGAGCATACTATGGGCAATTAGTTAGCTTTGATTATAGAACCCTATATTTTTACATGTGTTAATAAATGTTTGACAGTGAAAAATAGCCCCATATGGTAACGGACGTACTATTTTGTACCGCTGACTTAAAAATGGTATGTTGTTAAAAAAGTTAAGCAAAAGAATTTCAATTTTTCATTCTTTAGAAGAAAAATGTTTCTTATCTTACATGTGTATCTAAATAGAACTAATTTCAATAGTGATTTGAATGTTTTACAAGCCCTTTAAGATAAATAAACAAAATTGATATAATTTCATAAAATTACTGATACACAAGATATTCCTCCAAAAATTCGTCAAAATAATATTTTTAAATATTTCATTTATTTTATTTCATAATAAATTTCCCAAAATAATTAAGTATAATATATTCTTATTGAAATAAAAAAAGTTTCTAAACTTTCTGATTTATTCTAAATTTCATAAATCAGTATCATTTACCATGGAATTGCCCTCTTGTCAATATCATCAGAGTCAGATTATGAGTTAACAAGCTACTTTTAATATTCATTTAAGTCAGTTTTCCCTTTTCTTGATCAGTTGATAAACAAATGGATGCCTAGAAAGATATGCCCACTTTCCTGATATACTGAAAGTATAGACACCAATCTGTGTGTCAAATCATACTAAAAATCTAATTTGTGCAACATATTGTTGATTTAATCAAACACACTAAATTCTGATATAAGCTGTCACCTCTATTGCGTTCACAAGCCAACAAATTTTGATGCATTTTTACTAGGTCAAGGACCATTCCTTTGATCAAATAAATCGTCAAATTCAAACTTGACTAAGATCTCATCATTACAAATTATCACACCAAATTTCATTTAAATGGATGAAAACTTTAGTCTAGATTGTGTACACGCAATAACTCAAAAAACATTTATCGAAGGATTTGTCAAATTCGAACTTGTCCAAGATCTCATCATTATAAATGATCACACCAAATTTCATTAAAAGCTGATGAAAACTGTAGTCTCTATTGTGTTCACAAGCCAATTGTGGACGGACAGACCACATTATAATGTGGGCGTATAAGAAAAACAATGTCATTAAAAATATGGTTTTTTTTTTTTGTTTATCATAAAAATAAGCTAATTATCAAATATTCTTTAAAAAAAACTTACCCGTAAGGTGATAAATAGTTGGACAGCATTGGATAATGGTGGAGCAGTTGGCAATCCAAAATAATGAATAGTTCTAAATAATGCTAAATAACCAAATGCCCAAACATAGCTAACAAGATGTACATATCTAAAATTTAAAACAAAGGTAAACTCCTAGCACTATCTAAAAGTAGAACTGTTTTTAACAGATATTTAAAGGAACAAGTTCGACTTTTTTTATTATGAACAATCTTACATTAGTCTCAGAAACGGGAATTTTTTATGCTTAGTCAATCAGTAGTGTTCACAGCTCAAAGCCGAAATGTGAGCCTTCTAATCCATGTGTGTCCAGAATTATCTGTATTTGAAAGTTAAAAAGACAAATCTTTTTTTCTTGAGACACTGCCATACAGTCAAGTAACCTAATTTCGTGCTAACCTATTTTTCGTTCATTTCCAGAAATGATTAATAATTCACAGGTGCGACCTCGTGGCACCTCCGTATTTGCTTGTTTTGATAAACATGGGTTGTCTGCACACTGTCAACTAGCAGAATGAATCCAGTAGTTTCAAGCAAGGTAAAATGTATTAATGTATACTTTGACATAAACAAAATGGTGGATTTCAATTATTACCAAATATCACAAATTTTTATCGGCTGAATTTTCCTTATAATCCTAAGCTTTAATCGGAATTCCAAGTGTCGTCTGCTTGAATATATTCCAACGACAAACTAGCAGGTTCCGTGTCAGCAGAAAAATTCTATGGAACCCAATGTGGGACATGTTCTTATGTAGTTTCAATGACTTTTAGCAATAAATCACTTGTTTTACTTATCTAATTTTGTCAGTCACATTTTTTTTCCTATATCATTTATCATTGAAGGAATTGTCATTAGTTATAATAAAATATTATTAATGATAAATCCATACCACATTTTTTTTTTCAACTTATTTATAGATCAAACATTGTACACGAAAATAGGTGATGCAGTTTGCCGCTATTGTCGAGACGGTCACACATGAAATATGGGCCAAAATGGAAGATTCATAAAAAAAATCGAAACAAACCAATTTTAATTATTTTATGAAATATCTGAGGAAACTTCTTAGACATAGAAAAAAAGGTTTCCGTTTTTTAAATCTGAAGAAATTCGGTATTGAATATTTATATGCACGAAAATAGGTTACACAAGTATAATTATAAGGGCATCTATAGAAATAAAAAAAGAAACTCCTAGCTTGAAATATTTGTGAAGGAATTAAGTTATTTTTGTACTGTATTTTCTTATACTTCTGAAGATTATGTACATATATTCAAAACTAAAATCAACCCCAAAAAATCGTGCATATCCCTTTAATGACACTTTTTAAATAAACAAAAAATACATCAGACAACAGTTACTGAATACCGGAGGCAGAGGGGTCCCAGTTAGATAATACATGCTTGTGTGAATGACAACACTTTTTGTGCACTAAGTAAAACTCACGGCAAGGATTTATATAATTATATATGGTGGAAGAAGACTGTTTATATTTATTAGCAATTTAGATTAAATTAAGGTACCAAGTTACCAACCTACAACTAACAAATTTCAAGAGGAGACAATTCACCAAAACAGCAATTAACGAATGAAGACAATGAAACTTGCAAATGATAACGACTAGAATGACTCCAACCAAGCATGTAACAAATCTTTTTACGTTTGCGCCTCTAATATACTTAATAAAACTACCAAAAAGTACTGAAAAAATAAGAAGGCCGGCATAAACTGTGTCATCGGAGGCCATTTTGCAATACAATTTTTACCTCCTTAGCTGGAGAGCATTGTAAAATGCATGTCACATGATGAGAATAGTTATGTCACATGACTTTACAGTTTAGGTGGAAAGAGGCGAAGACAGTTCACAAGTTGGTGAGTTATTTTTACTCAAAATGTACATTATTTACTCCACTAACTATTGCCTCATTTGGTTGGTAATTGCTGTTCACTATGTTATCAACATAAATGTTGCGATCTCAAAAGGCTAAACTGTTAAATGTTTAAAACTTCCGACTTTGTTCTTTACTTATTATTTCATTTTTATAATAAGTCATCTGACTTGTCATTTATTAGTTGACAGTGACTTGTAAGTTAAACTTCAGAACTGCATCTCAATCTGATATTTTCGCACATTAATAGATTGACAGAGTTTATCAGGATAGAAAAGATTTCATTTTCCAAATAATTTCAAAACAACATTTATAGCCTTAGATATGTCACAACCTAAAATTACTAAAATATCATGTCAATATCTTATCTTCTATTTCTAATAGATAAAACCTGATGCCTAGGACTAAATGACTGTTTTATGACATTGAGCGTAATGAATCTTTACTAGGCTACATTATACAGAATATTTGTGGGAGTGTGTGTTCATGGAACTGTATCTACCGTAAGGGTTGTAATTTTAGATTTGACATAAATACTCTTTTCTCCTAGAAATTACACATAAAATAAAATGACCCACATTTTGGATTGAAAATACCTGTCGGTAAAAATTTGCCACCTTAGAAAAATGATTTGCAAACAGTTTCCAATTTGTACTCCTACCGTACCTTATTTTTTAACATTAAAAAAAAAATGATTTTACATGTTTTGCCCCAATATCTGTCAGAATGCACCAAATAAATTCAGTTTTGAAAATTTTCTGGGACCCTCTCCTAAAAACTATAATTATTATAATGGATCGTATATCTAAATGATTGAAAATTCTAATGTAGCTAAGAATTTATCATGTAAAATAAATACATTAACTATGTCATCTAGCTGTGTTTATTTCTACACTGTATTCTGTGTATATGTGATATTGATTTTACCTGAGTTTTGATAACAATTTTGATAAGCCAGTAGATTCAATGACTTTAGTAGAAGATTAGGGTTGAATTTTTTCATGGTTTTTAAAAGTTAATATATAAGCTTAAAGCTGTGCTGTAGGAATTTTTCAAGCGCTTGATTTCTTCATCCAGGCTACTGAAATAGATTTGGAAGAAAGTCTTATCCCTTGATTCTAAACTAGGTTTGTTTTTGTATTGCTTTTGTGTGCACTCTTGTCCATATATCTATAACTTGTCCATTTGGTTTTTGCTTTTCTTCTGATTTCATTACCCATAACAAGCAAATGGTATTGAAAAACAAAAGATATCTATTATTATTACTACATAATTACAGACTAGATCTAATATCCTCAGAAAATTATCATTAAATGATACATATCTGTTATTATTTTGTGTAAAAAGACAGATATTAACACAGATTCAAGTTACTAACAACAATTTTAGAGCAGATTAGTTAGAATTATAAACTGAAAATGTTAAAACTGAAGCCTTAAAAATTTGCAAAAGTATGAAGTTTATTTCCTGGTCACATCCTGTGACTGTATAGTATAATACAAATATTGTAAATGTGTATAATATGTATTATGTCTGATTATAACCATATGATATCACAAAAAATATGAGTCAGTTTCCTTTATTCATTCTGCCTTTTTAAGTTACATCTTTTTAACTTCTTATTTAATCTAACATTGTATTTCTTTAATTTAATCCATCTGTATTGAAACTTGTTTGACTAGTTGTTAAACAAACATTTTGTCAGTATAATACTTATTACTGGAAATAGCTAATAATGTTTCACATTGTAGAAAATAATCCATAAAATGATCTAGTCTAGTTCACAAATTCAAGAGGAAATATGCAAAAATTTTGTTATTAAAAGCATTGTAAATTATACACAAAGAATTTCAACCTAAATTTGTTTTAAAATGGGTGATTAAAAACAGAGTTTACAGATTGATAGTTAATTAATCAGTTTGATCTATCACGGTATTTTTGGTGTGGTGGGACCTTATTAATGGCTCGATATTTTAGTCTTAACATTCAGAATAAGTAGGAGATATATTTTTATACTATTGATATTTCTAAAATTCATACATTAGTTTTCCAACCTATAAACATATCAATGTTAAAATGTTTAATTTAACCTTTTAACCAGTTTTGGCGTTCTTCAACTGTATGAATCTAACATGAATCCTTCTACAAATAGTGTTAACAATTTGAAATGACAATTACTAGGAAGTTTTATTGTTAAATTAGTGACTCAATGTTTTGATAACAGTGATATAAAAATATATACTTTTCAGTGTTTCATGAATTATTGAAAACTCTATAATCCTTTTTGTCCTTTTTTCAGTTAAGTTGATTGATATAACAAAACAAGATGGGCTCCTTGTTCAGGAGTGAAGAAATGACCTTGTGTCAATTATTTCTTCAAACAGAAGCTTCATATGCCTGTGTATCAGAATTAGGAGAACTTGGTATCTTCCAGTTTAAAGATGTAAATATCCATTAGTTATTATATATAGATGAATAACTGAAATATATCATAGAAAAATGAAATTTTCTTTCAGTGATGTTACCCATGCCCTTTAATGCCATGATTTCTGTTTGTTGATACTGTTTGTTACTGAGAGGTAAAAAAAACCAAAAAAAAAACCCTTAGTGCCCTAATTGAAAAAAAAATGTGTCAAAATGAATTTTTTTTTTTATTTTGCAGTTAAATCAGAATGTAAATGCTTTTCAAAAGAAGTTTGTTAATGAAGTCAGAAGATGTGAAGAAATGGAAAGAAAGCTTAGTAAGTTATGCTTGATAATTTCAGTGATGTAAAATTTCAAAGGCAAGCCTGATGTGTTATTTTACATGTAATTCAAGCTAAACTTGGACAGAATATCTTTATTTGAAATATGAAGCATATTTATTGTCATTAGCATTGAAGTACTTAAAAACATTTGCCTTATTTTAATTATTAGGATATATTGAAAAGGAAATAAAGAAAGATGAACTTAAGATTCCTGATTTTGGTGAAAATCCAAAAGCTCCAGCTCCCAAAGAAATGGTTGACCTGGAGGTAATGGTATAATTTCAATGTTATGAATTGTCGATAATAAAATACTATAAAATCAGGTTCTACCCTATTACAGGTGATATTTCAACTAGATTTCTCTAGTCTTCATCGGGGAGCTGCAATGGCTCAGTCAGTTAGACGTTTGTTCACTTACCTATTTCGTTTGAGGTCATACCTTTGGATTTCTCAACCCTATTTCCCCCTGTCAGTGATTCAGGTCGAAGGGACTAGCATGGAAGATTCTTTAACAGTTGCAAATCAAAAAAGAACAAGCTAATCCTGCTGTCCTGTAAAAAAATTCCCTCATTGCACACTGCATGATGTTGCCCATCATCATTAGCCCAAATGGTGCAGAAAGTTAGGATGTAAAATTCCATTCATTTCATTTCATTTCTATTCTTCATCAGCCATAAACCTGTATAGAATCTTCATTTTACAAAAATATAATTTTTTGAAATTTATGGGTGAAAGACAGGGTAATAGTTTGTGCAGACCTGATTTTATATAGAATGAAATAATAAATAGATAGTAAAATGATGTTATAGCAGGTGATTAAGCAAAATGTCTTAAAACTGTGTAATAATGATAAAATTGTATTTAATTATTTTAGGCACAGTTTGAAAAGAATGAAAGTGAACTAAGAGAAGTTAATACTAATGCTGAAGCATTGAAGAGAAATTTCTTAGAATTGACAGAATTGAGAGAAGTTTTAAAGAAGACACAAACATTCTTTTCAGTTGTAAGTGAAAATTTATTGAAAGTAATTTGATTTATGTATGGGAAAATGGTCTTTGCCACTTGTTACACTATACAAGATAGGCCTAAGCAAATAGACATATCACACAATAAAGAGCTTCTTTTACACCATTTAAAATTTAACCAGGGTGTTCTTTGTCAATGATGTCAAAATATGGCATTTGAAATGTTTAGTAGTTTTGATGGTGTATAATACCAATCCAGATTGGGAAAATACAGGACATCAAACTAATTCAAAAACTTTTTCATTTCAGCATGGACAAGATTTACCCAATATAGTTGGTGAAGCCCAACATGCTTTAGTAATAGAGGAATCTGGACCTGCACAAGCTGTTCAATTAGGGTAATTATATTCATATATTTTATTCATTCATTCTATAATAGTTGAAATTACTAATGGTTCCAGGGAAGTTTTAGGTATAGTATTGGCATACAGACTGCAGCCCATTTGATTAATTTCTTTCATTTATTGGCCTATATTGATATTTTCATATATATTGTCGAATAGATTTATTGCTGGTGTCATACCAAGAGAGAAAGTTCCACCATTTGAGAGAATGTTATGGTTTGCCTGTCGTGGTAATGTATTCTTAAGATATGAAGAAATTCAACAACCATTAGAAGATCCTCACACTGTAAGTTCTTTACTCTCATAATTCTTTAGATTGAATTCTAAAATATCTATATCTTTGGACTGCTAAAGAAGTTTTGTCATTTTGATGTTGATTTTGATCTTTTTATGCTAGAATTTTGAGGCAGCCTTTATTGTTTTGTAGGGAGAAGCTAAGCATAAAGCTGTGTTTATGATATTTTTCCAAGGAGAACAATTGAAGGCCCGTGTAAAGAAGATTTGTGAAGGGTAGGATCTACAATTCTGCTTTTTTTGCTTACTGCATCTGCACCAGAAAATTGTTCTATTTTGTGTAAAATGTAACTGCTCCAATCCTATGTAGACATTACAATATACTGAAGATTAAGCCATGTTTATGCTGTATTGAGAGGAAGTACGCTTGTAGGTTTTGGTGTCAGAAATCAGCTGATTGAACATTTTGTACAAGTGCTTATTACAGCAGGGTTAAATGTTAAACTTATTCCTGATTTCATAATGGGCACAATTGAGCATTTAGCGATTTTAAACAACACAGAGATATTCTATTTATAGATTTAGAGCTGCTCTGTATCCATGTCCTGAGTCTACCCAAGAAAGACAAGAGATGTTACGTGGTGTAACAACAAGACTAGAAGATTTAAAAATGGTCGGTTCCTTTCTGTCTTCAATTTTAAAACACTTATTTCGAACTTATGTATTTTCTGTTTAACTTTTGTACTTCACCAGGAAATTTACTCAAATTTATAAATTATAATTTTAAAGGTTTTGAATCAAACTGAGGACCACAGAAGAAGAGTGTTGGTAGGTGCTCAAAAAGAAATTCGCAACTGGATAATTAAAGTTGAAAAGATTAAAGCTATCTATCATACATTGAATATGTTCAGTTTTGATATATCCCACAATAGTTTGATTGCGGAAGGTTGGTGTCCTGTACAATCATTGGAAGAAGTTAGAAGAGTTCTCAAGGAAGGGGAGGTAAGCTAAAAATTTAATTTCAATCAATCTCATTATGTGAACTGTAAAAATATTTCACTTACAATACTTCTCATAGTCCTAGTTCATAAAAGTAATGGCCTTGATACTCAATGTTTTTATTTTCTTATATAGAAACTAAGTGGAAGTACTATACCCAGTATTTTACATCCTTTAAAAACCAAGGAAGTACCACCAACTTTCTTTAAGACTAGCCGATTTACACAGGGTTTCCAGAATATTGTTGATGCTTATGGTGTAGCCACTTATCAAGAAGTCAATCCAAGTATGTAGTCTTTCTTCTATTTGGATACAAGTATATTTTATTGTAGTTGTCAACAGTTTTCTAATTTAAATTTTTTAAACCAAATGAAAATATTAGAATACCATCTAAAAAAAAAAACTCAACAGTGCTCAATGTAATGAATATTTGTTTATTTTCAGTGCCTTACACCATTATCACATTTCCATTCTTATTTTCTGTGATGTTTGGTGATGCTGGTCATGGAACCTTGATGTTTTTATTTGGATTGTGGATGGTTATTAAAGAAAAGAGTCTTTTGTCTCAAAAATCTAACAATGAGGTTATTAGATTGCTTATTCTGATATTTCAATTCTTAACTTTATGACAATTTTTCAAAACCATAGTCATAATTGTTAATGAAAAGAGATTGGGACTTGTTCAACAATAGAATACACCCAAATCTTTGTTACTGTATATATTTAGGTAGATTAATTTTGTATGTTAGTTTATAGAATCACTAAGCCTTGTAATGATAGTATCTTATTCTTATCTTAGATATGGAATACATTTTTTGGTGGAAGATATATAATAATGTTGATGGGATTATTTTCTATCTATACTGGAATGATATATAATGATGCCTTCTCTAAATCATTTAATATATTTGGTAGTGCTTGGCATTCCACATACACGTAATTATACTTTACATCTTACCTCATACCTAATTTTCCAAAAAAATTTCCTGTTCATGTATAAAGCTAGTAAAGTCTTTACTATCAATTTGTTTGTTTGGTTTATTTGTTGTAATTATATTGTAAAATGTAGACGTTATATCATGTGACTTCCAAGATTAGACTTAATTGAAGAAAATATTATTAGGTATTAAAGCTTATTTCTGATTATTTTCAATCAAATTTTTCCTGATTTTTAATCACATTTCATTTGACAGTGATGGTGATTTACAAGGTGATGGTGAAACAGCTACATTAGTTTTAGATCCAGGACCATTTTATCGTAATGGTACACCTTATCCGTTTGGTATTGATCCTGTAAGTATCTGATCAATTTTTGAGTTTTTACTTCTGATTTGTCAGTGAGGGTGTTTTAAAAGTAAAGTTTGTGTGTTAGTAGGAAACTGTTCTGATTGTTTAAAGCACAGACTATATAGTATAAGATATATATATTATAACAACAAATCCTTAGCAGATGACATTGTCATTATTATTCGTGATATATGCTGATGAGAGGAAATTCCTCAATAAAAGTAAATATTTATAATAAGTTTATTGGTTTGTATCATGTATCTGTGTAGATTTGTTCAGTTGACAAACTGACTATAAAAATAAGATTGTTTCTTTTTGTATCTTTTAGATATGGCAGTCGGCTAAGAACAAAATCACTTTCTTAAACTCGTTTAAAATGAAAATGGCTGTGATATTGGGAATAAGTCAGATGGTATTTGGTGTATGTTTGAGTATATTTAACCATCTGTAAGTAACCTTATTAAAGTTTAATATATATCTGCTTTTATGTTGTTTATCGATTTAGATGCATGCTTAAAATAGTTCAAATGCTTTGAATTTAAGGGATTGTAAAAAGATTTTGGCAAGATCATTGAAAGTTTTGTGGCTTCTCCATACAATATTTAATTCTCACACCAAACTTCATAATGAAACGTTATGGTAAAATTTGTTGTATTGGGAAGTGACAAGATAATTTATAATGTAATAACATCAGACATCTTTTTTTACAATTCTTTTATGTATGTTATTTGCATGAGTAAAAGTAAGAATTTTGTTAATATATAGAACAATGAAAACTGGGTATTTATGTTAATATATAGAACAATGAAAACTAGATATATATGTTAATATATAGAACAATGAGAACTGGGTAATTTTGTTCATATATAGAACAATGAAAACTGGGTATTTTTGTTAATATATAGAACAATGAAAACTAGATATTCATGTTAATATATAGAACAATGAAAACTAGATATATATGTTAATATATAGAACAATGAAAACTAGGTATTTTTGTTAATATATAGAACAATGAAAACTAGGTATTTTTGTTAATATATAGAACAATGAAAACTAGGTATTTTTGTTAATATATAGAACAATGAAAACTAGGTATTTTTGTTAATATATAGAACAATGAAAACTAGGTATTTTTGTTAATATATAGAACAATGAAAACTAGGTATGTATTATGTTAATATATAGAACAATGAAAACTGGGTATTTATGTTAATATATAGAACAATGAAAACTAGGTATTTTTGTTAATATATAGAACAATGAATACTAGGTAATTATGTTAATATATAGAACAATGAAAACTAGGTATTTTTGTTAATATATAGAACAATGAAAACTAGGTAATTATGTTAATATATAGAACAATGAAAACTAGGTATTTTTGTTAATATATAGAATAATGTATATTTTGTAGACATTTTAAAATGATTGTATGTTTATTCTGTGAGTTTCTACCTGAGTTGATATTTTTACTGGCTTTATTTGGGTATTTGATTTTTATGGTGTATTATAAATGGTTAGTGTTTGATGTAACTGAGTCGGGATGTGCTCCAGCTCTTCTCATTCGTAAGTATATTAATAACCATAGGAAGATTTGAGCTGATGTCACTTCAAGGTGTTTCTCAGTCTTAAAATAGTCAGTCAGTGAACGGTCATTGTTGACTATTGTAAGTTGCTGGTTGCATTTATTGACAGCCAGCCAGTGTGATTACGCCAAAATGAGTCATAAATCCTCCTAATGAATGCTTAAAATTCAATATGTGGTATGTTTGCTCCTGGGTTATATCTGTATAATGGTTGAATTGTTTGATGCTTTCTTTATGTGAGAAAAAAAGACATATCTCATAACTTTCCATTAATATCACATAATTTATATAACTTATAGAAGTTTTCAATTCTTTTATAAATTCTTTTAAATAGGTGTGTATCAATAATCAAAAGAGTGCTAGATGCTAGTGTTCAGTCTTTTTGAGAGTGTTTTTTCAGTGTTAACCAGTATATGATATGGTGATAATACTATAGCAATAATTTTTGTTTTGATATATACATATTAGTGAAATTCTCTTTCCAGAATATATAAACATGTTTATGTTTAAATATGAAGATGCTTCAGAGAAAACAGACTGTGATGTTCAGGCTACATTCTATGAAAACCAGGTACTTAGTTCTATTTTAGTGAGCATTGAAAAAATAGTTGTGAGATGGTCTGTTCAACCCGGTCTTAGGGTCATCTTAAGCAAAAACTAATTTGTCATCTTGTGAGAAAAACAATGTTGTATTCACATTTATGTAGTATTTAAACACATTTATTTATAAAAAAAAATTTGATGAATTTCAGCAAACAATACAAACTATATTTGTTATTATGGCTGTATTGTCTGTACCAGTTTTATTACTAGTAAAACCATTCTATTTACGTTCTTTACATAATGCTAAAGTAAAGGTAAGTATTGAATATTCTCATAAAACTCTTATTCTTACTGTTTCCTTATTTATTTAGATTGGGTTTCTCTTTTTAAAATGTAAGTTATAGTTTTAAATTGTGAATTTCTCAACAAGTGTGCTAGAGACTTGTGTATGGTAGATAGAACTCTTTCAAAAGGAATATCTGGAACTCTCCAGATTTCAAACACTATGTCAAATCAAGACTATTTAACTAGTGAATAAGATATGATTAATATTTGACAGGGTAGAAATATACAAGGTGCATTATCTACTGATGCTTTGATACCTAATGAACATACAGCAGAACAAGTAGGTTATAGTCATTATTATTTTATTATTCTGAACCATAGTTTACTGTCAACTTGAGAAACAATTAGAGAAAGTTTAGATATAACCAATAAAATAATCTCAATATTTTGAAATAGATATGGTGTAATAACTAAGCTTTGGAAGGTCAAAAGCCATAGATCAGTATGAATGATAGAGCAGCTCCAAATATCAATGAATGGCATTGCTCTTAGATTTGATATGGTCAACAATATTTTAGATGATCAGTATTATTAATGTTTCGAGGACTTTCATTTCTTTCTTAAAATTTAAATCTCAAATTGACATAAAACTAGTGTTGGATTTTGATTTTGCTTCTCTGTACTGTGTTGCTTCAAATATGTTCCGTGTGGCAAAGGAAGTTTCATTTTTGTTCAGTATCTTATAATTTTTATACCTACATATTTCTGAATCTTATATTATTTATATTAATAAAAGCCCTTATTCTTTAATTTATTTATCAATTTATTTGTATATCATAATATAAAATATTTACGTATGTTTATATGTAATATTGTATTTCTCTTATTTAATATGTTATTTTCTGAACCTTTTTTTGTTCTAATTATCGCATTTTTAACACCTGTGTTAACATGACTACTAAAAACTAAAAGTATAAGATTAGAATAGAAAACTAAATAACATAATATTATAGTGTTTGATCTCCATTTCCACTTAAGTGGTGCTTTAACTTGATAAGTACTCATGATTCTGTGACCGAACTATCACAAATTCTTTACCATATCATGATACAGTGGAATGAAATTCTCCTACTGAGTTGAATTTATCTCTTGAAATGTCTGCTCATGACAATGTACAAATTTAACTCTTTATTATCAAAAATAGACACTACATCGGTTTTGAACTAACTAAGATGGCCCTTTATGTACATTAGATACACAAAATTTGATAAATGGATAACTGAAGGTAGCCATAGACAGGATTTTTGAAAAGAACAATACAGTACTAAATATGGCCAGTAACTTACTAAATATGACAATTGAAAGTGTACATACATGTAAGACACCACAAAAATAATTATACAAAATATGACAAATTAGGCAAAATGTCATAATAGACGCACAATACCTGTTCAGACTGAAAATGAAATGACCTTAAGGACAGCGTGCCTGTAAGTATTGACCTATAAGTGATAAAAAGAATGACAAATAGGCTAATCCAGTAAGGTGAGGCTAGTTGCTTCTAGAACAATGTTAAAAATGTTCAGAAAAATAGTTTGACTTAAGACGTAGAAGCGTAAAGAGTGTATTTTCTTTAAACAAGGCAGGAAACTGTCAATATGACAATCTGCTGAATTCAGGCACATTACCATGGTGAAGGTTGTAGCATGTAATATGTTTAGTTCTTTATTTTTAATTTGTTGTTGTGTAGTCTACTAGTACTAGTAAAAATGTTGTCCCAGTACAGAGAGAATCTGTGAGTGGAGAGGGTCCCTCTGAAATTGAGATGGGGGTAAGTGTGTAACTATGTCTATATTAGATGAGTTCCTATCCCATGTATATCGAGTATTTATACGGTGTATATTATTGGTTGTGGTTTGTTATGTTGTAATTACTGTTTGCAATTTTTCACTCTGTTTCCGCTCTACTATTATTATATCTAGCTGGATGTCAGAGATTGGAGAGAATGTTGTTTCCTTGATTTTCAGATTTTCAGATGACCTATTAATTATAACAATTAATTTTCAGAATGTTAATTAACTAATTCCACCTCATTATGAATATTTTAACTGAATGATTCATATAATAATGTACTACCTGATGCATGATGACAAGCTTGGAATGTTGTGTGAAATTGTTGGGTTTATTTCAATATATTGAGAGAATAATTTTCTATCACCTGTAGTTTCTTATAGTGATTTCAATCTTAAAAATCTTTTCCAATCTGAAATAGTTCTTAAAAGAAAGTTTTGATTAGTTTTAGAATTTACTGTATGTATTTTACTCTGATGCAAAAATTGTCATAAAAAGCCCACATTGGGCGATTTTCAACATTTAAAATGAGCATAATTTCTTTTAAATTCATGGAGGTATACTGCATTTATATAAAAAAAAAAAAGAACTTCCAGGACAACAACAGAGTGAAAATACATACTAACATATATTAATTTGATAGTGATAGCATATATCCCAAGCTAAATATACCTAGCTTGCCTGTTGAAATCTGTTTATAGTATATAGAAATCAGAGTATAGAAATGTAGAGTGTATATTCAACATGTAGATAACAAGTTGGATAAATGATTTTATTTGGTATCCAACTGGTTTTATAAAAGCTTATTAAGAATATAAAACCTAATATTTATGTGTACCAGTATATAATATTAGAATTATTTATTAGGGTAGTTATAGTGAAATTAATAATGTTGTATTAGAAGGAGATAGTGAGGAGGAAGAATTGGTAGGTTTATCATCAAACAGCATGTTGAATCCTCATTCCAATGATAGGTGTAGGACATCCAAAACAATGAACACCATTATATAGTGTGAACTCATTCATACAGATCTTTATTTATCCTCCATTGTATTATTTAGATCAGATAGTGGAAATGTCTTTCAGTTCCATTTTCTGTATTAAGATCTGTTCTGTATTAAAAGGCACAATTTCTTACCTCAAATATAATCAGTTTTTTGAAAACTTGCTATTTCATATTTTTTCTTGATTGACCAGCATGATCCCCACATTTCCTTCAAAGTTGATTTACGATATATATTTTAACACATTATCATTTCATTAACTAATCTTCTAGGAGACTTTAGTATATACACAGCATCATTACACGGCATATTATTATTAAATTAACAATTTTAACATTAAGACAGTGCATGTTAAAGTCTACTAATTTGTTCATGTTCAGTTAAAATTCACACAACCTGTCACAAAGTGGTCACCATTTGGATTAAGATTTCTATTGAGTTGCTTGAAATTATAAGTTGATATTCTTCCATAGACACACCCCCCTAAGGTGGAGAAAGATACAAGTAAATCAGTTAATGGCAAATCAAAACCAGTTGGTGAAGATGTTAAAGTGAGTTGTAGAAACTTTGCCCAGCTTCTTCAGTAGCAATGCTAGAATGGTGAAAGCTAGTCACATCTTTATTTCAGTTGCTTACATTATCTGCTTTCAGAATCTCATGACAACATTTTTATAATCAGTTTCATCCTTTGTCCTATTCAAATCCTTCATCTCTTAACCCAAAATTTGTCAACAGAAATGGCTAGGTATTGGTCAACAGTGAGTCAAATATACTTTTTTGAAAATGTTCAAGATCCTAATAAGAGACTTTAATTGTACATGTTAAGACCTTTTCATCAGCTATATAGACATGCATGAAGTAACTTTGTGAAAAGATACGCCTACCATCAATATTAACATTGTTGAATAAATGCTAGTTCCCCAGTAGTAGTACTGTGTCTTTTGTCCCCTATGTTTACTACTATTTCGTATCTAACTAGAATTTCTATGATATTCCAGGATAATGAACATAATAGTGTAGGTTCTGTATTCTTTATCTCTGGATTTTAAAATATTAACATTATTTGTTGCATTTTCCTTTCTTTAAATTTTAACATTATAATGCACCTAACTCTAATCTTTTCTTAATAAGCTTTATATCCGATCTTATTGGCGGTTGTGAAATATTTAAACAAAAAGGACTTTGCTTGAAAAACGCAGCTTATTTCTTACATATACAAATCTCATCTTTCTTAACATAAACCATTATCAACATGATCATGCTATTTTCATATGAACATCTGCAATCATTGTATTAATCAGTTTGACTAATAACATATTTATATTTTATATAAAAATTTATTTTGACTAGTATACTAATTTTCACAACTTATTCCCTTATATTCAATCATAGTACTATATTATAACCATACTAATACTAAACTTTTCAAAAAAATATTTTCTTGTAATCAAAATCCATAAATGAACTAATTTTAACATTCATAGTAAAATCTACTGTAGCATGTAACTTTCTAATGAAAATCTAACTTGTCTCGGGGGGTATAGAACAGTACAATATTAAAGTATGGCATACCATATATCAGTGTTTTAATATACTTATAGGATATACATCTATCAGTTAATCAAGATGAACCAGATGGTCATGCTTTAATCAACCATGGTGAAGATGAGGAAGAAGTAAGTTCTTTTTTGTAAATTCAACTTCTTGAAGCTTTTTAATCAGTGAAGAATGCTTATAGTGCTTATGTCATGAAAGTTATTAAATCCGTTGCCGGATCAAATAATTCTCTCATGAGAAGCATGAAAGGTATCAAATCTGGCTACTCATTTCAGAAATTTCATATGACACAAGCCCTTGTTTAAAGTCCTGTATTTATTGACTCTGTAGAATTAGGTCGATAGAGATACACACCATGGGGAAATGACATTAATGTAAATATTCAGTTCAGGCTGCTAACAGAACATTTTCTTGATACTTCCCAACAATGCTGTGAATAATCAATAATACAAGTGGTACTTTTGTGATATTCACCCTTAAAACCTGTTGACGTGTATTTTTTTTCTATATGTTTCAGTTTGAATTTAGTGAAATATTTATTGAACAGGCTATTCATACAATAGAATTTTGTTTAGGATGTATATCACATACTGCTTCCTATCTTCGATTGTGGGCCTTGAGTTTAGCTCATGCACGTAAGTATATTGCTTTTAAAGTCAATGAAGATTTGCTATGTATTATTTTGTTACCAGAAATTACTCTTTTAGTTAAAATGTTTTCAAATGTTATCCCTGTAAATCCTTTATGATGTTATTTTGTTTCCATTGGTTTGATCTTCCTTCAGAATTATCTGAGGTATTATGGACTATGGTACTTCATATTGGACTGTCTATGGATATGCAGTATCTAGGTGGTTTGATTATATTTGTGGTTTGGATGTTTTGGGCTAATCTTACTATTGCTGTATTGTTAGTCATGGAAGGATTGTCTGCTTTCCTGCACACCCTCCGATTACATTGGTAAGAAAAGAAATTTTGTTTTTATTAAAAATTATAGAAGAAACCTACTTTAAAATTGAAAGTGGTTAAGCCTCAAGTCACATACCCTAATAAAATACTAGAGGGCCTTGAATGTTAGAATAAAAATCTGACAACCAGTTCTTCTACAATTAAATAAGTGAGATTGATCGACATCAGGGTAAGATGAGCATGTTAAAGAGTTATAGTTTACAATATTTTGAAGTGTCAAAATTAGATTGTTTGTATGATAAAAGCTGCAGTCATCAACTTTGATGAAACTTGATATTTTTATATAGATTGTTGAGGTCTCAAACAATTTTGAATAAAGATTTGATCAAAAGTCAGTTACTCTATTATGTTTATTATTTCTTTATTGCTGCTATCTTCATGAGAATATTTTTTAAGTTGACAAACCAGTCTTTAGATTTTCACTTAAGGTACAAAATAGTATTCTCCATTTGATCCTGAGATTAGGCTGATAATTGTGATCAACAACTATGACTTTAAACAATGATATATCAATTTATTACAGGGTGGAATTCCAGAGTAAATTTTACAGTGGAAATGGATATTTATTTCAACCATTTGGATTTAAACATATTTTAGACATTGATTCTTTACAAGAAATAAAGTAATAATTTGAACACACAATATATCAACGATTTTCTTTTAATTTAGTCTATATCTTAGAGCTTTAGTTTATGTAACCTTATATGTTTTTTCTTTTCTATAAGTTCCATTTTTTGATGAAATTTGATTTTCTTTTGGACCAATATAAAGTATAATATCTTTTTTTTTTTTTATCTCTTTATGAAAATGCTTTATATGAATATGAATACTCTTTACAATGATGATGCATTCCCTACCCTAGCAATAATTATTTGTTCCCTATCGAAGTGATGCAAGGTTTGAATTCAAAATGTGCCTTTAAAATATAAACAAATAAAGTATACTATATCTTGCAAATATCTTGTCTATATTTGGCTATTTATGTACAAGGCAGTTATCCATCTGCTACTAGGAAACCTAGAATATGAATTAATAGCTATTGCTATTGCCAAATGAATTATGATTTATATTGTTAGTTATCATCTGATTAAAGAAAACCAAAATATCATGATATATGCTACAGACTGTGCACATTAAAGATCCCTTAACATTTGGAAAACAAAAAAAGTAGACTAATGCCACCTCGTTGCTCACTGCATGGCATTGTCTGTCGTCATTTGCCTAATGGGGTGGAGGAAATTTCATGAGATGATGCACATGTAGCACTCGTTCTGACCTTTCCAAATTTGAATGACAGCATGTGACATTAGAACAGAGTGAATTGAAAACCCCATGGCAAAATCCAACTCTGTTGGTAAGGTGTGTTCAAAGTGCATGTAATTTGATTTAGAAACAAACTTTAAAAGAGACAGAAGAGAACTGCTGCAATATAAGTTGTTATCCAAGTAAAAAAAAAAACAACTATTACCAATACTGATAAAATATTTTTATCAACAAAAGATAGAAACCATACTTGTAATCAGCATGGTTAGAAAAGCTGAAATCTTCACATATACAAATATATATACAATGTACAATTCATTCATAATGATTTTAACTCTTCTAAAACATCTGCCAAGACTTTCAATAGGATTAGGCAAACATAATAACAAACCTACAAAGCAAGATGTTTAATTACAGTATAAATGAGAAAACAATTAAACTTTGTCTAAGTGGGTAAATAAGCAATAGGTGACACAAATACAAACTTATTTAACTGGCATTATAAGATTATCACTAAATAATTAACCTTTCATTTCAAATTGATTCATCAAGATATATTCGAGATATTTTAAGATTATTTTGTGATGCATGTTCCTTAAGCAATGGTCTATTTTATCCAGATAGATATAGATAATATCTAACGTTGCTACAGGAACATGATTGTGATGTGGTATATCTATATACTAGTTTGAGCTAAATTCTATTAACAACATTATATTGTAAAATAAGAAAAGTAACAGTAGCCTATATATCTACATGGCATTTGAACATATTTCATAACAATAGGTCAGGCTATGGCATGAAGGAAAAGATCCTTGTAAATGAAGGAAGAATAGTCAACAATGTTTCTGGGTAATAAAAATGGTAATTAAAACTATAGAAGCCATACCCATACAGTGATTATTGTCACTACTACCACGCTCCATACCTCTCGTGTTTACAGGGTCAATGTTGTGAATTTCTGTTCCATATTTGGTTTTCATTTCACTCTTACACTTCTTTTGAACTTTTTGGGGCAATACTGAATAATATTACCAGGTTTTTGTCAAAATCTGACAAGGATGGTGCCATCTAGAGTGTTGATGTGCTAAAAATTTAACGAGTTTTCAAGAACAAGGGCAATAACTGCAATTTTCAATAGGGTTCATCCTTTGGTTATCAATAATTGAACCTTCTATAGTGTTTTTGAGTTAGAAATTGAAAATGTTTTTAAGAACAAGGGCAATAATTCATACTGAACATATTTAGATTTTTCTGTATTTTTTACGGTTCATCCTTGGGTGATAACCAACACTCACACCAATTAAGAATTGCATCTTCTAGAGTGCTTACATGCATTTCAAGAACAAGGGCTCATACTAAATATTTTTCTGATTTTCAATAGGGTTCATCTTTGGGTGACTACAAACAATCATACCTAGTTTCGTCAAAATCAGTCCAGAATTTTGCTTTCTACAGTGTTTACGAGTGACAACAATGTATGCCCACCTCTTCATGTGATGTTATTCCCAACTTCTACACCTTGACCCCATGCAAAAATAGCAGGAACTTCAAATTTGGTTCTTCTTTGTTGATGATGATCAATAAAAGTTGATAAAGAGCTTGGAATTGGAATATAAGATTATATTAACACTTCTAACCATAGTTATGAAGTTGCGAACGGTGTCCACTTTTACGCATGAGTTTTGGATTTGCAAGAAAGTTGTAAATGTTATTTTCACAGCAGGTATTGAACGCAGCATGAAATTACCTGAATAAATAGTGGACAGTTTGGTTTGTATGTTCATAAAATTCTTTGCCAACAATACAGAACATACCAAGACCAACAACATAAAGTGAGTTAAGCACTAAAATTAGTGCTCCTTCTGCTCTAGAAGCACAAACTTTATATTTGATTTTGCAAACAATGTAAAAGTTAATATATCAATTGAAAAGTCCAATATTGCTTCATGGCACAGGTATCAAATAATGATAAAAATTTGGTGTTAATATAAACTTGTTAAAGACCGTAAAGCATCTAAATTCAACAAGAAAATACCCTTCATATAATTGCAGCTAATAAATAGCTTTTGCAGTTTGGATCATTTTTTTTATCTTACATGTATTAAATAAGAGTGGAAACCTATCTTCTAATAAATTCAAACAAGAAATCAGCTTATTGAATTATTATATCTTATGAGTACATAGCTAGATGACCAACACTGTTAGTACTTAAGCACTTTAGGATGTCCTATGATATCACAGACAAGCTATATAGAGATATATGATCTAAACCTCTCTAAATACAAGTTATATAGTGATAATACAGAGATCAGTATAAAATAATAACAATGTTAATTTACTAGCACAGAGAGAGATTTAGATTTATCTTGTCTATATATTAGTTTCTAGCAGAACTTGCTGTTCCTGGTGCTATGGACATTTCTCCTCCTTGGCCTGCTTCTCTTGGTGGACTCTGGAAAATAGGAAATATACATTCATAAATAACTGGTCTAAAATTAAAATGGTAAAAAGATGATATAGACATAGTTTTAAATACAGTCACAACAATTTTAATTATGTCAATTCAATTCTAAAAATTTAATAAGACAGTTTTTCTGAACATGTCAGGAACCAAAATAAATCAACACTAAAATTTAACACACCTTTACATGGATCTGGTTTCTAATAACAGCTGATCTCAATACTAATGCCTGTATGAGCAAGAAAAAAAAAAGTTTAGTGTTATAATATAATAATAATTTTGGATGTCACCACTGCAATCCCAGTGGCATGTCCCTCTAAGAACAAAGGATTTGACTTGCTGATGATTGTCATAATTAGGAAATATTCATGGGTCATTTCTGAATCCTTTGCATACTTTATAGAGTTATGGACTTTCAGACAATAGACAATTCTTTTAACAAGAACGCTTTACCTTTGATCTTCGTTGATATTCTTTCCCCATAGCTACTGCTTTTTCAAACGTTCTACTTCTCTCATCAATATCTTTGGCATATAAAATCTGTATAGGAGAGATGGAAATGGAATGAAATTTCACTAAATTGATGCAATAAAAATGGGGGTGGGTTGGGGAGCTATAACAATTGGCAAATAGAACATTTTGGCAATTTTCAATAGTTTCTTTACAGTGAGCCTTATAAAATGTTAAATATTAATTTTAGTACCTTATTATGAGAATCAATTCTAGCTTTTATTTGTCCTTCTAATATTAATTGCATTAATTCATCTTCTAGTGCAGGTAAAGTTGTATTAAAAGCTGAAGCCATTTTCCTCATATCTGCTGATAAATATGGACTAAAATACTGCAATGTAGAAAATAGTTTGTTAGACAAGGTAACATTCATTCTTACAAAATTTCATCTTGACTTTTTTTTTGGCAAATTCAAGTTTACATAATAGAACCATTCAATCTGAATATAGATCAGTGCTTGTCAACCTTTATGATCCAATTTCCCACTTGAGAAAAGGCAAGTTTTTTGGTCAAATTTGGATAGTTTTTGATGATTTTCTTGCCAAGCCTCGTGAACTCAGTTCACGGGTCATTTTGAGGATCAGAGCTTTCATTTTGGAACTGTTGCTCTATTTCCACCTATTACAAAATTCACCCTTTTGTGTATAATTTGCATCCAATTCCTCCTCATTTCAAATTCCACCCCCAAGAATTTCGAATTCACCCATGGAGTGCATATGGACCCAGTTGGAAAAAACACTAATTAGATAAACCTCATTTCATGTTATATATCTATCTGACAGCTCAATTTCAATCTAACACCAAATAAAGGATACGAATTGTGAACTTACTTGACAAAGTGCTCTATTTCTAATTTGTGTATATAAAGTATTAATATGAGGTGCTAAATACATATCTAATAATAAATTATCCTGAAAATAAATATTGAAATAGAATTAGGAATCATCATAAACCAGATTGGATTTGTAGTAAAAGTTATAATCAAATCCCTACTAATATTTCATTTACATGTCAACATGATGGTCCAATAACATTACAAAGCCATCCTAAATATATTAAACACAATTTAATTAACTGTGAAGAGGAATTACTTTGCACAAGATTGACTTACTTTAATTTCACCTAATAACTTTAAACAGGAAGCATACTTTGACTCATGGAAACGATGCAAGATATCTCGCAATTGTGGTTCTAATTCTAAAAACTGTTTAAATGTACTGAAACAAAAAAAGAAACAGATCAAATCCTTAATTGTTCGTACTTCCAATATAAACATTTTTACATATTGGCAACATTACAATTTTATTGAATTTCTGAAAAACCAGGCATAGAAGCTCTTTTTAATGAATATAACAAAAGACTTACCTGCTAGTTATAACATTTTTTTGTAATTCTTGTCTATCAAAAGTTGCTAAAGCACATAGAGAACCATAAGTTGTAACATTGCTGGGAGAAATCAGCTAAAATAATCAGAAAATTAAATATAATAGAGATTTTCAAATCAAACACCTTAATCATATATTACAAAGCAACATTAATGAATGCGGACTCCAAATAAAGTATTTCTCTATTGCACCTTTTGGTAAAAGAAAACATAATTCAAACACATTGTAACAATCTCGATTATTGCAAATTTCTTTCTTATATCGCAACAACAAATTTCAAGTGAACTTACCTCAGGAAAATCACAGTGATCAAAACTTGATTGTAAGAAATATTTTGCTGCTGATTTATATTTACATGTGGCTAAATCAGCTAAACCTGCTGCACATTTTAACTTAGTCTGAATAGCTTGACCACCATTTTTACCATGCTAAAATATCAATAAATGAAATCAAATTAGGTCTTGCATTTCAATTTTTTAATTCCTACAATATTGAAAATGAAATATTTACAAGACTAGAATCTTGTCACAAGAATATACATGACATAAATTAAATCACGAAAGCCCACTAATTCTGTAATAAAATAAAATATGCTGTAAGAATATAGTTACCTCTGTAGCTTCAGGGGTGGCCTCTGCCTTATTGACATAGCTCTGTACATGAGACCAATTTTGTAAATAAACACTGACCTGCAAACAGTTAAAAAACAAAATTAAAGGGATGGTAAAGAGGTTATCTAAATTGTGTATGTGTATCAGGAACACTGATAGCATCAATTTGCACCATTCCAATTTTCAATCAGACATCTGTGGTTCCTGCAATTCCACTAAAACTAAGTGTTTGACAGCATCATTAATCCTGAAGGTCTTATGTGATACAAGCATATTTTGCAAAAAGTACAATCTCTTAAACATCAACCTCATGTGGAATAAACTTTGTGGAATAAAATATTATTCAGATCTTTGTTTCCGAAATTACAAGTTTCAAAAGACTTTGACAAGAGCTCAGACAATATAACAAATTTAGCTAGAGACAGCTTGATTGCTTTGAATGCCAGAAAATACAACCCATCAGAATCCACCACTTAAACAGTTAAATAATATGGCTTATAATTTACAGGTTTTGAAGTCCTCTTATTAGCTGTATTCACTAGCATACAACACAATCAAATCACAAACATCTGTGATACAACAAAGATGGCTATTGTAGCCGAGGTATAAGACGAAGACTGTAATACCTTGACATTGTGAATATGATTACCTTTATAACATTTAAACACATATTAACAACATGTTTAGGATTGGTACAATAATCACGAGCTCTTGAATAACATTTCAATGCATTACTCAGATCTCCACAATCTAAATAATGATCTCCTAAATCATCATGTCCACGTCTGAAAAATATGAAAGAAACATTTTATACATACTGATTACTTATTCTAGAAATTGCATATTAACAATGCTAAAGAAAACTTTTTACAGTTTTTTTTTAGAGCAAAGTGTTGATGGTACATTTTTTTCATTATGAAGAAAAATTCTGCTCCTCATGTTCATTTTCATGATATCAAAGGCAAGAATCTTATACATACCGTATACTCTCTTTAATTGAATTACTCTTATAGTTTTTTAAATCTGTATCAAGCTTTTCTAATTTTAATGCAGCCTTTTTAGCTGTTGTTTCAATCCATTGTGTATCTAAAGCAGGTGTATTTAAGATTGCTCCAGCTACAGCATCAGGTAACACAGAAGAACTAAAATATCAAAAATTTATGTGAGGTATCTGAAAAATATATCTCATGGCAAGAGATCAATTATTGACACCCTTATAGTACATCCATTACAATGTTGTAGTCTACAGCATGTAGTATTTTTATTTTCAAAAATAATATATGCCTGCAAGGAATTTGCTAAATCCGGGTCGTTTTCTGTTACTTATCAAACCAATAACAGCTATGTTTCCCAAAAAATCCCAAAAAATATAATAATTTTCTTTAAATATATTCAAACAGTCAAGTGAGGAAGAAACTTCGAAACTAGTCATCTAGTTTAAAGCATAATTATCTTACTTACGCAGTAATAGCCTCTTGTGTTTTTTGATGAATAACCTGATAAAGATTGGCATTGTATGTAGTCATAGAATAAGATAAGGCCATTCGTAAAGCCTCTACTCTTAATGAAGGACAGTGGTCAGCAACAAACATCAGTCTGTGTAACTTGGCTAACCCTGTGTATTGAGCACTATATTGCTCCAAATCCTGAAATATACAATAAAGTTTTATATTTCCGATTTACTCTCTAACTATGATTTCTAAATTAATCACATTGTCATCTCACAAATGAGGTTATTAAGCATTTAAATAACAATATGTTTTAAAGTGTCTTTTGGTTCATATAAACATGTGAAAAACTTCCCCAGATTAGCTACTGATCTAAAGACATGGTACTGGTAGCAATCCCAACAAATACCTACCAATGTCGGATTTTCAACCACATAATTATGACTGGCTTCTGTGTTATCATTTTCTTCCTGAATGGCATCAACTTGCATAGGTTCAACAGCAGACTGCAATCAAAAAAGTGTCATTATGACAATTCAGAAACAGGAAATCATTATATTCACAAGTAAGCTAGTGGAAATCTATTATTGAGATCATGTTCATAGCTACTAGTAGAAATTGTTAATATATTTATATGCTGTATGCTAACTGTTGCAGTTAGTGTTTTGAAAAAATATATATATAAATTTATAATACTGATAACAAGAGTGACAACAACCAACAATGATGCATTTGATTTGACGGACGTCTAACATAGGCATAGATAGGCTACAACCAGTCAACCGACAGTGGGGGAAATGAGTAGTATCGAATCAAATGTAGGATCAAATGTAAATAACAGAAACTACTTCGTCCGCGACTAAGACTTAACAGTTGTGCAATGAATGATTTACCTGGAATAATCCTTGCTGAAGCGGTAACGGCATCCTGAAATTCCAACTTCCTCCATACACAGGAAGTTAATGTGCGTCGAATCAAACATTAAACCACGTGATGATATGGTGCTACTAATTATCGACACGAACCAAAAGAAACTACGTGAAACTCAAGATCCATTTCAAAATTTCAATTTTGGAGGAGAAAACATATAATTACAATGAAACGCTTATCCTACATTGGGAATAAATCATCCAATATGATCTTCAATAGTGTAATATATTGAATACTAACATCTAAAAGCAACTGGATGTTTTGAGTAGATTTGAGGTTGAACGCCCACCCAAAGTATGTTCCATGAATGATATTAAATTTATTTACTATAAAATGATTGGTCAATAGTTATAGCAAACCAATCAAAATCTCTGATTGGATTATGGTCAAGATATAATTCTGGTTAGTAATGAATCAAACAGCACTTAATCTGAAGAATTGTGGGATATGTCATTTCAAAGATGGCTACGGAAAAGAAATCTGATCTAAGGCTGAAATTAAAAACAGCACATCCCTCTAAAAACTCCCAACGACGAAGACATTCAAATGAGAACTATGATACGATGTATTCAGATTCGTATGAAAAGATATCACGTTATGATAGGCATAAATATCAAGACTACCACTTAGACGAATTAAAGAAAATTCACTCTGGCATTCAACAGCGACGTTTATTCACCAGTGCAGAATGTGCTGAGGTCGAAAAGAAAATCGACGATGTTGTGGCTAAGGCCAATAGAAACGAATACAAGGATAACACAGTGGACAGAGCTCCATTGCGGAATAAATATTTTTTTGGTGAAGGTTATACATATGGTAGTCAAATGGAGAGGAAAGGTCCAGGAATGGAAAGATTATATGCTAAGGGAGAGGTGGATGATGTACCAAAGTGGATTGAAAAATTGGTTATTAAACCATTATATGATGCGAATATAATACCTAAAGACTTTATAAATAGTGCTGTCATCAATGACTATTTACCTGGTGGTTGTATTGTCTCCCACATTGACCCTCCACATATTTTTGATCGACCAATTGTATCTGTGTCTTTCTTCAGCGACAGTGCTTTAAGTTTTGGATGTAAATTTTCATTTAGACCTATCAGGGTTTCAAAACCAGTATTGAATTTGCCAATTGCAAGAGGGTGTGTTACTCTCCTTAGGTAGGTATACCGGTACTGTTAATTTACCTCATTTTATGCTGTTATTCTGTGTTGATTCGATTGATATGTCAATCATATATATAAGTTTTTTTCTCTTTCAGTGGATATGCAGCTGATGATATCACTCATTGTATAAGACCACAGGATGTAGTTAGTAGAAGGGCAGTCATTATCTTGAGAAGGTGTGTGGTATTTCCATATTTACCTCTTGCAATGAACACGTTGGTCAGCTGATTATGTGTAGCATGCCCCATGAGAAAAAGATGACTTATTCAAGATCATCCTCCTTACTGTTGCGATAGCTATAATTTAAGGTTCTAAGTTTTTTGGGGTTTTTTTTTTTCAGAGTAAGAGATGATGCACCAAGAGTTGGAAACCATATTGATTATCCAATAAGTAGTTCACATAATAAGAGGAAATATAATAGTTCATCATCTGATGAAGAGGAAGAGGATAATGAACCATACAGAATAGTTAAAGAAAGATCCACAGGATTAAAGAGTCAAGTTATCTATCAAAAACATAAAGTTCACTCTAAAGTTATTTGTGTAGATAATGAATCTAAGGATAAGAATGAGCCAATATATGTTTCTTCAGATTCCTCTCCGGAAATTAAACGGGAGGTTAAATTGCATAAATGTAAGAAGAGATGAATGAGTGTTTATAGACAGAAGTTTTCTAATCTCTTATGATTGCTACCCTTCAGAATTACCGATACTTAATAATGAACATAAAAGCAAAAAAATCTAGTTTTGCCGCATGAATGCATAATATTAAGTGTGAAGTTAAAAAGTATTCTGATGATTGATAGTGCACAAGAAATATATCTAGACAGAATGATTGATTCAAATGCCTTGTGTATTAAATTAATACTTAAAGCAATGAAGGAAAACCCTCAGCTCTATAAAACATTATAACTGTGATGAGGTATAAATGCATAATCAGCAGAGTGCATCTGTGATTATGTAAGAAATGTGAGTTTTAAGTCATCTGTGTTCATAATATCAATATTATTTCATAGAAATGTGGGAGTAATTAATGACCTTTCTGATATTTTTTCTTAAATAGTGTCAAATTTCCTTTGATGATATTACACAATTTCTCATTGCCTTATAGTTCAATAAACTCATAGAATAGAATCAACCATTATTCCTATTTTTGAATTAATGATTTGATCCTTTCATATGGTATGGTATATTTGGCTAAAGCTTCTATTAATTACATAAGGCTTGGCATGAGGATATTTTCTAGACACAGATTATCCCTAAACATATTTATATTAAATATTAGCTTATATTATATAATATGTTTTGTAGTTATGACCTAAAGGAGACTTGATGACAAAGAAGAATTATTTTTGGATATTTTTTCTTTTGATAACTAAAGGGTATGAGAGAAATGTAAATAAGGATTTATTAAGTTCAGATTATAGGAGTGAATTATAGTTATAACAAAATGTAGAAATCCACCAAATTCTGAATTTAACCTTGAGTAATAAGTAACATTAAACTGTTATTATGACAAGCAGCGTGTTTTCTAAGAAAGACAGGATTCCGTCAGGAAATATAAATAAGATACAACAGACTACAGTATAACTAACCTTTAAAGGGATTGTAAAGAGGTTTTCTAAATTATTGATGTGTATCGTGGACGGACACTGACAACAACAGTTTGTGCCATTCCAATTTTAAATGAGCCCTCTGTGGTGCCTGCAAATATCGCAAAGGGCCTTCTGTGATAAAGCATATTAGGCGATTAGAGGTGTCATCAAACGCTTAATTTTAGTGGAATTGCAGGAACCACAGACGTCTGATTGAAAATTGGATTGGTGCAAATTAATGCTATCAGTCTCCCCCATACAAATTTCAGAAAATCTCTTTATAATCTCTTGAACTACATGATACTATAGGATGTCAAGAGTTTAAATCGTATCATGTATATGATATAATTTTACAGAATTTACTATTATACAGATATATTGATTATAAAGTACTACGATTAATATCACTAAGGACTTCAACCAACCATAATATACTACTAACCTTTCACAGACAATTGTACTTGTTACGTTATGCCATCTTATGTTGAAATATATCTAATAATTAGTGCCTTTATTCTGAAACAAGATAGAAAATAAAAGCTAAAAGGTTTGTTACTCTAAAACAGACTGGATAATGTGGCTTATGCAAATTTAATTTAGCCAATGTATTCAAATAATTTTATGTCTTAATATTGGTTACATGTGATTAGATGAATATTATTTAAAGGCGCAAAATACAGAGTGTAAAATATGGAAAAATACAGAGAGTTGTTAATAAATTTGTTGTGAAAATATAAAATAATTTGTTATAATAAGACAAAGTTATGATTTATGTTATTGTTTTCAAAGTATAATAAGGGATTTTATTTCATGTTTCCCTTCAAAAATGTCTTTCTTTGATGTAAATAGACCTTTTTTAAAATATAGAACTTAATTGTGAATAATTACCTAATTAATCTTTGTTTTTGATTGTTATATTTCACTTGTTCAGTTTTTCGCCAAACTATCTTGAAGTGATAAAGTTTGAAATTTTATTTTAGTGTTTTTCTTCTTTTTATCTAGACAAAAGACCTCACCTCAAAGATTCTAACGACATTTTAGGTCGGGATTCAACACATAAACACGAGCAGTTTATTCTAAAGAGGACTGAAGAATACTGAAATTGTGTTGTCAATTGGACATTGATCACTTTGAAAAACTTAATTCATGAATTCGTTTAAAAGTGCCTGTGGATGTCATTTTGTTACACATATTTCAGAACACTGAATAATTATCGAGTAATTGTATGAAATGACATTCCTAATGGAGCTTGCAATGAATTATCTCCCCTCAAGATTGCTGTTATTGTAAAAGACAACTCAAAATATACACTATGGCAAGCCACAAAAATACAAACACATTACCTTGACCACTGAACAGCCATCTTTTTTTCATTGAACTTGATAAATATCTTTGCACTAAATGGAGCACTTCAAAATTGTTACTCTGGACACCCTGAGGCACCTCTTGGAATCAACTTAAACACTCCTAGTATGTGGCAAGATTTCTATCTGATTTTTTAAAATATATTTTAAGATATGTATATGGAGGAAAGGTTGACATTATAAAGGTAGGTTAACAATCTTCCATATTGAAATCTTGATGCATTGCTGAACTAGAATTTGGGTTCTGACAGTTGAGGTCATCCAAGTAGGCTTAGTTGAAGGGGACTGTATGATATACACCCTTGAAGTGGATTTGATTGAGTATGGAAGATTGGAGCTAGCCTAAATACTTAAATCCTACAAAATAAGAGTCGTTATTTATATGCTTAATTCACCAAAAATAAAAAGTGATTGGAAAGCCACAAACAAAAATATTTGAATATCATTAATAAAATAAACAAAGTATCAGTTATCAAATACTGTTGTTCCTGATAATTGAATTATACAGCATATTGTACAGATCATACTTTTGAAAATAGCGTACACAGCCACTGTAATAATAGGGTCTTGAGTTACTGTCCCTTATTAACTTGTAAGTGTAATATCCTTCATAAATCCGGTATATTGGCATATCTAGTAATCTGTATAGTCTATAATATGTTATCACGTTAGGATTAGATTGCTTATTATCAATTTTAAAACTAATAGCTAGTGGGCAGTGACTATTGTCGTTTATTACATAATAAAACAGGTGTTTGATAAAGTATGATAGATAATAACTGATCTTCATTATGACATAATATTTCTGTATGATTTTACATCTATTATAATATATAGATCGATCATCATTTCTAACAATTTACAAATTCTTTTCATTCCATTAAATACGCCCACATCCGACCTGTTACCCTTATTGTTAAACTTATGATCTGTATGTCAGCATAGCCTAGTTTGGGTAGCACTTAAAGCAGCTGTATGCAAAAAAAAAAACAGTGGCCCAACTAGATAAGAGGGACCCCGTGATTTTCACTGCGTATTAGATCACCGTTGTACGAATTTAACTAGGTCCATCAAAGTTAATCAAGTAAGCCTTCATATCTTGGGGGAAAAAGAGTGTTGGTGCGCTTATGAATTAATCCCTGTATGGAAGTTCATTATGGCCATTCAGTACTTGAGCATTTGTATGGAAGCTAATGGGATATGGAATTGAATTATTCGAATCTAAAATTTTGAGATTGAGATTTTCAGTCACAGGAGTTTCGTATTTTGTAAATATGTTATTCTAATACATGTATGTTATCCTTGATACTTTGATGTTCGCACAAAGAGGAAACTTAGCGGATAGCCTATTCTTTAAAAGCATTAAGCTAATCATGAGACAAGGACCCTCTGAGCAAATATGTAAACAATTTATTAGTCATTATTAGATACAGTTTTTTTGCAAATTTGATTACAAATTGTCCTATGTAAACTTAAGAGTTGGTGCAACGGGAAATTGGAATTGATTTTTTTCTGGATTGATTTTTGATTATCGAGATTAGTATCATTCATATTTGTCAATACAAATCATTTAGTTGACATTAGCATGTGTCACATTGCTGGTAGACAAGAAGAAAACTGTTAATATTCTGACTGGTGTTCAGTGTATAGATTAGACAGTATTGTGATGAGGAGTGGAGTTTCTAGCCAATCAGAGATCGTTCATACCGTGACTTGTAGCGAGGCTTTATAGTGAGAGAGCATTCACATCACCATTGTATTAACATAGACGCTCTTTCTCTTAAACACTGTGTTTTGCAAATTTTAACGTTTATTTGGAAGAAGCAAGTCCCAGAAGTAACAAAAATGTCGAATATGAACGGAGTAAATGGACATAAAAATGGTGGAGTAAATTATCATCAATGGAAAGTTGGATTGTTAAATTCCTCAATGAAATATTTAACGGCTGAGACATTTGGGTTTAAAATCAATGCGTCTGGTACTGCCTTAAAAAAGAAGCAGACTTGGACGTTAGAGCAAGATTTGACAGAAGAAGTTGTGTACATAAAGAGTCATCTTAATCGTTACATGTCAGCAGATAAATATGGGAATGTCACATGCGAAGCTGAAGAAAAAGATGAAGACCCTTCACAGAAATTTGCCATTGAATATGCCAAAGATGGAAGCGGCAAATGGGCAATTCGAAATGTAATGCACGGAAATTACCTATCTGGAGATGATGACAATGTGAAATGTTTCTCTAAGAATATATCAGACAAAGAACTTTGGGTAGGACAACTGTCTATTCACCCACAAGTTAATTTACATAATGTTAATCGTAAGAGATATGCCAGACTATGTGATGATGAGCTTCAAGTTACAGCCGTTATCCCCTGGGGACAAGAATCTTTGATCATACTTCACTTTGAAGATGGTAAATATGCCCTTAAAACTTGTGACAATCGATTTTTACACCGAGATGGTCACCTTGTTGACACCTTAGAAGATGATGCCAAATTTACATTGGAAATTCGATCTGGAGCTAACAGTGGATTGGCGTTCCGGGATAGTGCTGGAACGTACCTGACAGCCGTAGGTGCTACTGCTGTAATGAAAGGTAGAAACAAGTCAGTTGGAAAAGACGAATTATTTACCTTAGAAGACACCAAGCCACAAGTTGTCATTCAAGCTTACAGTGGAAAGAAAGTCTCTATAAAACAAGGTAATATGTTGTTTCATAGTTCTCAAAGCGGGGTCGTGAGGCTTTTCCTACTCTATGCATTATAGCCTGGGTGTGATTTTCTAAGGCATATTTTTGTCATAAACAGTTTATTTTCCGTCCCCTATAATATATAAAATACATGTTGTATATTTTGGTAACTCTAATATCGACCACAGCATAAAAGTTATAATTGAAATTGAAGAAAACAACTCACAAAAACATAATATAGCCTATATCCAAACAAACGTTAATCTGCACTATAATAGGCTTCAATAATTGATCTACATATTTTCTGCAAAATGTACAAAAAATGTACAAACTATGACATGGAAGTAAAAATTCAGTACTTTTAAAGCTATTTAAACGCACGTGCAAATTGAACACGGTTGAATGGCTATAGGATCTGTCATCTGTTGTATTGAGCTATGAGTCACACAATGGATATATTTCAAAGTGAATGTAGTCACTATGAAATTTTCTCCAACATATAATTAACAAAGAGAAAAATACATATAAGATGGTTATTATTCCAATTAAGTTTGTGTTTAATAATTATATGGAATGTCATGATTGGTCCAATTAGCTCAAGAAAAAACACTCATTAAGAAACTACCATACAATTTCACAACCTATGTACGAAACACAACCTTGTCTACTTTCATTTCTTACACATCAGTTCACTTAAAAGATCTATAGGATTAAATAACGACCGTATCATTTGTCAGATTTCTTTATTCAAAGTAAGGGTATTGTGTAATAGTACTATTGTCGACACCAGTTGACAGTCTTTGTGGTGTTGAGGCGTCTCAGGTGTTGTTGTATTCATCGTATCAAAAATCGATATTGAGCAGACGAACCTTTATAGTTGGTGTAACATTCATATTTCTTTTTCTCATTTCACTCTATACAAAATTATTGATTTCCCTTTTCGGATGGTCTGTCTCTGCTTTAAATAATGTACCCATTGAATATCTATTCCTGGGCTTGATCTAATCAATAAAACACTAACATATTCTGAAATCCTGGTGTACATTTAATTAAAAATGATTCAACAAAGACACCACATGTTAGTTGAAAGAAAGTTAACCGTTGACAATTGGGGCTACATATTTGTTCATAATAAATAAATACCATGCAATGAAACATGAGAGAAATTGTTAATGAGTAACAATCTGGTTTTAAAAATTCTTCTAATCCAACAGATTAGGCGCGACCTTTTGTGCCAAAAAGGAGCTTTGAACGATTGACACATTGTTTGTGGATTAAAATGGGTCGAAGTGACACAATCGTGATTCATAACAAGACAGACGACAGTTTCTCTCTACTGTTCTTAAATAACATCCTCAAAGATGTTTAGAAAGGATCTGAAATATTAAAGAAATGTTCAAAGGAGTGACAGGTTCTGACCATGAACGTCAGAATGCAACGAAACGTCTGAATCAAGCTGTTCGATAAGTTCATCATATCTATTCTGTATTGCATTTCTGTGGCCATCTTTCACACAAAATTCCATCATTTGGCAAAATATATCCTACTTGGGTGCCAGTTTTTGAGACTGACGATTTGCTCAATTCCTTCACAAAGCTTTTCCAAAAATTTTTTTCCATGACTCCTTTAACTTGAACAAGTTGGTCACAAGATGGGACACTGTTACATGAAAAACAATGGCTCAAGTACCACAGATGCTCACTCGCCCACCCACCCCCCTCCCCACTTCCCTCAGTCTTAAGGGGAGGCCCACCCTCAGAAAATGACACAGGAGAGCATATGTTTAAAAATACCCCAACCCCCTGCAGCACACTCATCTAGTCGAGCCACTGACGGGCCCTGATCAGGCAAAGTGAACTCAATCTCTTAGAATAAGCATATCATGCTGAATATCCACAGAACAGAACCGTTCCTTTGTTGATCTAAATGTTTTCACGAAACTTTGAGAATGGATTCAACAGCTGTCTTGCGAAAATTTGAGAAACATGAGTCACGTGAAACCATCAGTTCACGTAATTTGATAGTGAAGAGTTCCAAGTCTGGGTCGAGTTTTAACTGACAAGTTAAATTATATTCTAGTTACGTTACTGCTTAAACATATCTGCGGCACCCTCCTTATCTCGACAGTTTCAATTTACGTAAGGATGAAACATTTCTTAAATTTCATTCTATCTCGCGGAGGCTGCCAGTCCAATGATAATGCTGTTGTTGTTTGTCCTTCCTTTCTACTCGTAATAAATACCGCTCACGATTATTGACAGAAAACAATCCAAGATAGGGTCATAATCTGTGTGTATATTTGTTTATTATCTCGTAACCTTGAAATATTAGTACATGTTCTCAGTCAGATCCACAGTCTCTGCTTGAACATCCCAAGTTATAACTGTGGATATGATTGCTATACAAACCATTTACATGTAGTTCCATTTTACAGATGACCTTGAATTTTGACCTTGAAATGATTTTGGTGGGAACAGTTCATTTTACAGAACAAAGTAACTTACATGTGTATGTATGTATTACTTATTAGGTTTTGTCTTTGTTTAGGGATAGTGATAAATATATATGCTTTGGATCTATTTATCATAGACTAGATTAGGATATAATTTGATCCACATGGTCCACATTTACTGTTTGAGTAGATATTGCTAGTTTTAAGTGAAGGAAAAATGATCGATCATGTGGACACCTTATTATTCAGAGGTGTAAGAAAATCATAATTTAAGTTTAATAGTTTTTACTGCACCACTTCACAAATCATAATTAACTTCCTTCAAATCCAGGTTTTCCTCTCATTTTTTGAATAACAACTTCCTCAATACTTGATACTTGTTTTCTTTTAGTTTCCATAATCGTGAGATTGAAATGATTATTTTTCATTAAAAAAATGCAAATGTCATCTTTTATTTAGAGTTCAGCTTTATCTATATGGTTTGTATGTTGATAAAAACGAGGAAAATCTTTTAGTATTAAACCGCATTACAGCTCTATGGTATAACTTTGTAAAACTTAAGAGCAAACGCTTGATTGAGAGTGACTAAAGGTTATATTCTAGGATGAACAACAGTAAAGGTGGAATGTTAAATGTTACATAATTAAATTCCTGTAGGGTTCCTACATTTTGAGAAAAAATGTTGTGCTTTATTTTATGGAAAATATGTTTTTATTTATTATCTTAAATGTTCTTTATTGCTGCCAACAAAACATGAAAAAGAGGAAATGTTACAACTGGGGTCTTCAGAAACTTATAAAATATTTGCTCAGTTATGCAAGGTGTTAGCACGTCAAGAACCTAATGAGGGTGCTAGTTAAAATGTGTCTGTTGCTGTCATTGAAATAATCAAACGATTGGTATAAAACAAAATTTAAAACTATGTTCACCATAGTTTCGTATGCACAGAATAGGCAACAAACAGAGAGGTATGGTTGTTTACATCCAAGATATCTTGGACATCCCTGTTCGCAGCTAACTGACATTCTACTTCAAACTATGATGCCACTTCTATGCTTAGAAAACTATGGTGAATCATTTCCTGTCTGTGTCTGTGCCTTTGACATTATCATTTGAAAATAAAGATTTAAGAATAATGAAATAGTTGAAGACTAAAAGTTAATGATTGAAGTACTGAGAAAACATGTCTAATTTAATGAGTTTAATGAATTAAGTTAATGAGTTTGTCAATATGAGAATACAGAGTCTGTGAGAGTGAGATATATTTTACAATCTCATACCACTTTCTCATCCATACCCTGTGTATTTTCTCTTAAAAAATGGTCAGTACACAATTCGATTACAAGGTAAACTATATATTTGCATTGTGTTTACTCTGTACATTTAATTTTAACTTGTGTACAACCAATATACCAACAGTCTCTGCTGGACAGATTGGACAGACACTGGCAATATAGATGTCTACAAAACGTGGAGGTTCTCCTTCTAAAAATAAAGACAGACAGATCACATTCTGAAAATAAAGAATGATCACCCTTTTTCAAAAAAAAGACTGATAATTTTCTCAAAATGCAAACTTGACACTTTTTCAGAACATAAGAGTCCCTCTCTTATTATCCAGAAACCATAACTTTCTCCTTCTAAAAATAAAGACAGACAGATCACATTCTGAAAATAAAGAATGATCACCCTTTTTCAAAAAAAAGACTGATAATTTTCTCAAAATGCAAACTTGACACTTTTTCAGAACATAAGAGTCCCTCTCTTATTATCCAGAAACCATAACTTTCAGACATTAATCTATCACCAGCATGGTGTAAACAATAGAACATCAAATAAACACCTCATACAAAAACTTCAAAGCTTTATATTATTTTCTTGTCTACTATCAATCTATATAAATTATTGTGAAAAAATTATGAGACTTTCAGTTTTTCATATAAAATCTGGTATATTTAAGATTACTTAATATTTAGTGTAAGTGAACAGAGTGTTCTGATACAGAAATTGTTCAACCATCCAATTGAAGAATTTGATTTATAGCATAATAGACAAGTGTGAAAGTTATTTTTAAAATCAATTGTTTATATATTTCAAAGAGATTGAAATAGATAGTTTAAAGTGAGCATTTGGATGATGACTAAATTTTGTGTTATATTTTGATTTGTAGATTTTTCTTTAACGATACTGTTCAATTCTAGATTTTTCTTTAACAAAGCTATCATATTTTTATAGATTTTCTATGGATTTTGTCTCAAATATTCTTCAACTTGTTAGTTTATGCAGATGTTATGTTTCTTTTAGATCGTATTTTGTATAATATGCTAATTTTTATTTCTTCTAAGGATCAAATGTGAATTGATTTGAAATACTTAATACTTCTAGGGATTGGTACACATACCTGATTTTGGTTTGAGTTTTATTTGTACTTAGGATGTTTAAAATGGTTTAGAATGGCTAATATAAGGATGCTGATACTAAACTAGCTAGAACCATTTTTTATTCCTATATGCATGTAGAATGATCAACTGTAGTGATTTATTCATAACATAAATTATTACTTTCTTGTTAAAAATTCAATTTAAGAAATATTTCCTCTGAAATTTCCATATGAATTAAAGTTTGTGCCAAGTTCAACAAAGTTTTATTTTGTAATAGCGTTGAATTTTAAACATGTCAGTGGTGAAGAAAATCAAACTGGGTACAATCAACAAGAGTAAACATTGTATTTAGTTCAATTGAGATTCAGGTTGTTTCAACAAATAAAATCTCTGTAATATACTAATCTTTTAGTGCTAGTTTATAACTATTTCTTGCCACCAGTGCCATGATTGATATTTATTGAAAATTTTTGGTGAAGATTTTTTTTATATGTATAAAGTTGTATAAGTTGACTACGTCCCATATATACATAGTCTTTTTGTAAATGCCTTTTGGGTTATACTGTTGAATCAACAGTGTTGATGGAGGACTAAACAGAAAGATTTGTATTGTTAAGAAAATAAGACAAAATCATGGTACTGTAAAATGGCAATCAAAGCATCAGTCTTGAACCAGAGGGGAATCAGAAGTGGAAACACCACAATTCTTAAAGCCAATAATATTCATGACAAGTCAAAGAGTCAGTTTGTAAAAATGTGTCAGTACACCTCAGAGAAGTTACTCTTTTCCTGTTTTGTTGAAGGCTCTGAATATTACAGATCAATAATTGCCAGTGTTGTGGGTTGGATCTGGTTTATTAATAAAATGGTTAATAGGGAGTTGATGAAATACACCAGCTGATTAAAAAGGACAATGTAATATGTGTTTATTATTCTTCTCTACAGGGTAGTCATTAGACTTAATTAAGACTAGTGTGATGCCTGCTGTGGCTGACATTTTCCCTGTCTGATTTTATTATTTATAAAGTGACACAATGCTGGTTACATTGTTGTTATATAAAATTATGACATCCACTTGTCGGGGTGTTATATTTCTCTTTATGTGGTTGGAGTTGAACCAGGATGAATGTTTGATGATAGATTGACCATCAATCATTCTGACTAATGGTGGCCAAGGGCTTAAAATATTCACAATTCCTATTGATGTTTAAAATCATTGTCTAATGTCTAAATATATTAGAACCATCATTAAAAATTCTCTTTATTTTAAAGGGAGAAGAGAAGAGGTGGCTCAATAAAGTAGATGATCACTAAACTTAATGATACCTTTTGAACAGCTTTCCTGTTTGTAAGTGATGCTTACTGCCTTTATAATGAAAAGGTTTCATTAGGCCAGATATAAGTACATGTACATGTTTCTAGAGGTACAGGTACATAGATCAATATAAATCTTATTTAGAAATTCAGAAGTGAATTATTAATGATGGAATAAAGTTAATTAGATATTTACTTCACTCTGAGTAGATCAGTGTTTTAAAATAGACCACCAGCGTAATATTTGTTGTGTTAATCCCATCATTTGTCTTTCTGATTTTTCAAACTTGTATCTCATCAGTGATGCAGGCATCTTAACAATATCAAGTTATTACGAGTTGACTAGGCACCATTTTGAACTGCATCTAATACCTTGCTATGGTCACCTTTCATAAATAACAAGTTTGTAAATATCCCCTTTTACACCAGGTAACTATAAAGCGTTCAGTCATACTGTAAATAAAAAGCATTCTTGGAAAGGTGATATATGGAATTCTTCTTGAAGAAGTTAAAATTAATCCTTGTAGTCACCGTGATGTAATTGAAGGCATCTATATGTAATTAACAATTTCACTGAATAATGACAAAATTCCACTGAAAAAGGTGAAGGTCGCTTGTAAGGCATGCACGCCGTTCTCTGAATGGTAACCATTTACATTACACCAATTTATCAAGTCCATTCTGAGAACTGTTCCGAGACACCCTCACCCAGGTGGGCCAGAATTGGACTGCTCAACGGTTTACATTACACATCTGTTGCGTTCTGAGAACCGTTTTTAGAACGGTTAAATTTTGTAATGTAAAAGGGGTTAATGTAGTAATTGGATTGTACACTACTGAATACAGCCTATTATTGTCTAATTGTTTAGTGCTTTAAATTGATAGAAAATATTGTATCAGATTTAAGAACAGTTTATAGGGATGATAGACAGCAAGACAGTTTGAATGTGTTAAATTATGTTAAATGGTTATTATTTCAATCATCTTAGACTATCTGTTTATAAATATTGTACCTAATCTACATCAATCTTAAACCATATGGTACCCAACACATCACATCTGTGTTTATAATCAACTAGACTTGTTCTTTGTCTGCTAACCCACAAAATGTTAAATGCATTTGAAAGAGATGCTTATTGCCTAACATTGTTTTGTTATAGAACAATAGCAATATGCACTCAAACTAGAACGTGCGTCCTTGTTGAAGTCAATAAGAATTCTAGATAAATAATTGGAATTGAATATGTCTTTACTAGATATTATTAAGTACTATAACTGATCTAATTTGATTATGCAGATGTAAATGCTTTGTTTCCTGTTTTATCTATGGATAACTCCATTTGCCATTTACAACAAAATTATTTTACAACACATGTTGTGAATAATTGAAATACTCAGTATTGATATTCATTGCAAAGTATTGACTCGCATTTTCAACTTACATTTAACACAGCTTTAAATATGCTAACTTATTTAATGACACTTTTGACATTATTTGGACAGAAAACAATAAAGAAAGATTTTTGTCCGATGACAAGAAGAGACATTAAGATCTGATTTTCTGTATAAAACACAATTTTCACTACTTTGGTTTTAAGTGAGTAATTTTGTGTTATTTAAATTTTATTTACATTTTAAGATTAGCCTACAAAATTTTTTTCTTACAATTTGATGACTAATCAAAAAGACACTTGAAGAATTAATTTCTATTTAACATTATGTATTTGCACTGGAATTCATTTTGTAGACCTATCTCTCGCCTAGAGAGTCAGAAAGATAAAATATGAGATGTCTGCCAAATACTTATTTTTATCTGAAGCCCAGAATAAATTAAATGAAAGAAAGAGATTCTATAAATAACCTTGTTTGCTTGCAAACTAAATGCAGAGGAAATACACTTCTCAATTTATGTGATCATCTTACTAAATTAAGATTTCTTGTTTTGAAATGAAAAAGAAAACAGAATTTAAAGTGTGTCTAGACATGCATGCCATGATTTCCACAGCAAATATTTCTTATTTATCTAATAAGTCTGAAAAGATAGAGATTTACTGGTGGACGTTTTGTTTGGTCTGAAAATTTTGACTTGATAATAGTTGAACTGTTTAAGGCCAAAAGCCAAATTTTTCAGGTTTATGCGTTTTTAAGTAGATATCGCCTATTTAGAATTCGATTACTGAGATTACTAACTCAATTACACAAAATCAGTAGGTGCTTGGAAAGTACTAGCACACCCTGTTTCAACACCATTACCATCAATGAAATCAATGAAATGAAATCCATTTATGAATGAAAGTCTTTGTTCATGTTTTTGGGCAGGAGCGACCCTTCCTGATCAAATTTTCACAAATTTTGTAAAGTTATATTGTAAAGTTATATTGTTAAGTTATATTGTATTTGTTGTTGCAGGACAAGATGTTTCTGCTAATCAAGAAGAAGAAGAAGATGAAACTGAGATATTTCAGATGGAATATGATGAACATACTGAATTATGGGCATTTAGAACCTGTTCTAATAAATATTGGTCTCTAGAATCTAGTGGTGGTATTATGAATGTAGGAAAGGAAATGTAAGTAAAGTTTGTCTTGTTATCATCAAAAATATCTTGCGGTTTTACTTAAGCTAGTTAGACACTTGCATGCTAACCTAAAGGAAAAGGGTTTGTTCCTGGCATAGGTTGAGTTATGAACTTGGAACTTTTAACCTGTGTTTGGCTGTTTGTCCCTGTCAGCAATGAGGATCAATAATTGGATTTAGTCAACTTGACTGTAGCCAGTTGCTATGTTTGACTTTCCAACTTTGCCATCATCTAGTTCAATGCATCTAGTAGTAAATTCTTCAATACCAACGTTTCACTCATGTCAGTTGTAATGGTTTTGAGGAGATTTTTGTAGATAATGTATATATGTAAAGAAAAACTGAACTTCCTGATTTGAATAAATATTTAATTGTGCAGGAGTCAATTGCTGAAAGTAATTAATTAGTAGGGCAAGTTACATCATTTAGAAATATAAAAAGTGATAAATATATTATAAATGTCCAGACAAACATCAATTTATCACTATTACCATGATACAGTATACATAATACTGATTACTTCTAGACTAATAATGATATGATACATGACTCATCTGACTGGTTTTTAATACATATATTGTTATGTGTAATATGTGCCTAGATTGAGTTATTAATTATTGGTATATGATGTGTATGATATATTGCAAAGTAAATTTTGTGGGTGCGGGAGCTTTTTTTTTACACAATGAGAAATATTTCTGTCAAATTGTAGAATTAAATGTATCGATCTATAAGCATTTGTAATGAACATACTTCAGTTATGTTTCAAGGAAGGAATTTGACATTTCAATTAAGAAAGGGATTCAAGTTTAATTTTTCTTTTCTAAATTATATTATGAGAAAAAGATCCTGACTTCTGAAAGCAGCTACTGTCAAAAATTTCAAAATCATGTACCCCTGATGGCAATAACAAAGAATATCTTCACTATTTTGTAGCTAATATTCATATTCACATAAAAATAAACATAAAATAAAAAAGTAATAAAATTAATAAGGAAGTTAGGCCTACTTATCATAGATGTATTATGTATGGTTTGTAAAATATGCACCAAGCCATGACATTTTCCAGTCAGTTGGACACTGACTTTGATACTTGTTTCAAATAATATGCTTGCTCCAATTAGTAAAACATTTAAATCACAAACCATCAATTGAACTTATGGTTAGAAATAGTTGACCATTTATTTTCAACTTGTTTGCTTGATATTTGACTTTATTAACCTCCAATTATAGAGAGTTATTCAAGCAAACATTAATAACTTTAATATCAATGTTTATTATATTATAATTATCTGTAATGCACACAATTACAATGATTATCATGATTGGGATTAGTCTTTCTCAAATTAAAACTAGTTCTTTCATTCCCAGTTGTCAGTTTCATCAATAATGTACCTCATGGAGATTCTATCTCATCCTTGCAGCTAGTCTTGGAAGAAGATGGTGCAATTTATATTGATCTTATTTCTCTGGAGTAATCAAGTGGAAGAATTCTGCCATATTTATCAGAACACTTGTTATGTAATATTTGGTCTGTAATTGAACAAAAAATAAGGTTTCAATGATCTATAGAAATTATTTTTGTGTTGTAATGCCATTAGATAAATTATGAAGAATTGGTCTTTACTAGCTACCCAAACATTTCATTCACTAGAAGTGTTCTAAACTATATGATAGCATGCTACATCATTTTGATTAATCAAGTTTCTCATTAATATTCATATGATATTAAAATAAACAATGATATTTCAGGCTTTTTTTGGTGAATTACTGAATATAAGTAACAAGGAAGTAGAGGAAAGTTCATTTTCTGCATTTGACACAACAAATCTCTCTGCTGACAAATGAGAGGATTGGGGATCCAGTTTCCTATTCTATTTGATTAAATGAAATTCCCATGGGATGGAATATTAGTTGGCTTTAATTAGAAACTTAGGAAACATGACTGCAACATTCATCATTCTTTATGAATCCCAGGCTGTCGGGACTGCTAAGAAATTATATTCATAACCTATTTCAATAGACTATTATATATAGTAGTTAACTTGAACACTACACAGATCTACACCATCTCCTGCCAAATTATACTGAAAATCAATACAGGGAAACCTGACTATAGATTTTCTGTTCTTAATTTTCGGAGGTCGTATTATACTCTGGGACAAGGATAGTAACTGACTCACACATATATTTATGATATAATAGGATTGACTAACAAATTGTAGCCAAATTCTGCAGTCATGCTTGACTACTAAAATTATTATTATACTCATTTGCACTAATTTTCCAGAAATTCATTTGAATATGCCTTTATGTTTTGCTAATTATCTCAAGAGAAAAATAAATGAGCAATTATTTCCCCACAGCTTGATAAAGCATGAAAATAATGGGATTGAATCTAAATTGAAAAGTAATAGTCAGAAAGGTTATGTTGACTTTTGATTTAGAAATAGATTTAAGTAGAATATAACATGGTATATGTAATCCTGAGAACCTGTGATGGTAGAATCAAATTAAAACTATTGTTTATCTATAGATTGAAGATAACTTTCTAATCCTTACAAATGTCTTCATTTAAAACTGTAGGATTTCTAATTAAGATGTTAGACATGTAGGGTCTGATGGTCAAAATTTTTAATTTTGTTTTCTATTAATTTTTTTGAGCAACATTAACTTTCCAAAGTTCACATTGTTGGACACATATATTTGGAAATTTGGAAAATAGAGGTTAATTGTAATTACCAAGTATTTTAAAGGAAATCTGTTTGATATTTCGTCTGGAAAACATTTCACACTTTGACATCAGATCACTTTACAAACGCCCAAAGAAAATAGAAACATTTAAATCCATTCTTTCCTTCTTTTTGACTTTACACTGATTTACTTGAGTTTTATTTTAATCTGTGAACACTGGGTTTTCAGTGTGTGCTTTTTGTCAACATTCTCCAATTTACTAACACATTTACCAACAAGATTTGTTGACTGTCAAACTGCTTCTAAATGTTAAAATGTTTGAAAAAAGGTTACCATTTAGCCCCTTTTCTTTAAGGCAAATTCTAGTATAATTCTAGCATAGACATGAAGCTATAAGTAAATAGATACCTTGTGACAAGCAGTTGCTATGGTAACTGAAAAGATATAAAATCTTAAAGTGTCATGCATTCCATATGTCTAACAAAAAAATTATCTTGTTAATTATTTTCACTCAGTTTAAAGAATTGCAGGTTGGATGCTGGCTTTTGTAGAGAATAGGTAGACAGAGAACACAATATTGTGTATTATACCTCCTAAATGACAGTCAAACTCATTTTGAAGTCAGCCTCAAATGCTGAAAGGTTTTTATATTTTATTGCAGGGTTTTGTTGTGTCAATTTATTTGGTTTTCATAAATGATTGAGAATATGTGGTCAGTTGTATTTCCATTAGTCATTTATGCAACTTTAAGCTACAAATAGTAGTTTCTGCCTATGATTGAATAGAATTAAGTGGCCATGACTCTCTGAAGCATGTGACTGTAGTTCAATTTGATCATTGGGTTGAATTTTATATCGATCTTGCAGGCTTCTTGTCTTTGATGTGTGAGGTTCAAATTGAGTTTTTAAGTGTGCATTCTTAAATTATATAGGGCTTACGTTGAAAAAACAAAAATGTCTTTGAGTTGAACTTGATGGTTTAATAGTAGATATTTAACTAATTTGTAAGCAGTAAAAAATAAGAAAGTAATGTGATGTTGATGACATTTATAATTATGTTAATGATGATAAATGAGGGTCAGAGTTGAAATGTTTACAGGATTTTAACTTGTTGACAATTGTTTATCATATAATAGTACTATTTCCTGTTATTAATCTCTTAGTTACTAATCTTTGATCAACACAATAATAATAATATTTTTATGTATATAATATAATAAAATATAATTTAATTTGAATATCTTGTCTCATTTGTAAAGATACTTGAATATTTCTGTACAGTTGTATTATAGGGTGATATATTTGTATAAATTTGTGATATATTTCACATGAAGCAACATGTGTGTCATGTCAAACATTCAATGTGGTAGCCTGGTAATATTATGTTATTAAAAATTTAATATTTAGTTTTTTTTTTAACTATTAGCTTACTTTCATAGTAAATTTTCATAATTACAATATTGTAAGACAGGAATATTTAAACTGGTAACAGACCAATGCAACTAAAAGTACATAACACTTCAAGGGCTTGGTCACTGTTTCCTGTAGTAAGAATGTGACCAACATTAGCAGAGTAAAAAAAACAAGACAGGGGTGATTTTGACTTGCCATCAATCTTGATCATGTCAAGTTTATTGGCTAGTTGTCAATATCACTTCTTTAATATATTCTTTTATAAATACTTCTATAGTTTTTATTTAACTTTTACCTCAGAACAAATAATACTCATTGTTTTCATTTTTACATTGACAATAGGCTTTTATAAAATACATCTTGAAAGAAATGACATTTAGAAAATAAGACAAGACAATAGTGCAGTTTCAGAAAAAAAAACCAGTTTTCTGGTGGGTAATGTTGATGTTTCAAAAAAATAAATGTTATTGTATCAGATACATGAGAATTATTCTTCTGCTTTATTCAACTATTCTTTTGAGTAAATTTTTCAGAGAAATATAGAAATGTTAACATAACATAGCATAATTATTCTATTTCTGATCTGAATTATATTTTGAGATCTAGTGCTGGTGCAGGCTTTTCGTATGTTGATAAATTTGGAATCATGAAATTCTTGAAATCGAATTGGTTTACATTCAATCATCAATAAGATTTCTTGATCTTTAATTTTTAGGTCTTTATTTCAGACTTTCTACATTGATGGAAATTCTTATATTATATAACATTGAAATAAATCTTATAAGATATGTAATGTATCAAGTACAGTGAGAAGTTTTTACGTGTTATTTCACCTTTGTTAAAACCAATTTGCATTAAAACATGACAAGTTTGAGTAATAAACTTCACTATTAATATAAAATAGCTTGTAATTTTAAAAATATAAAAACTTGTAGTTTAAATGAATGGTGTTATTTTGGTAATTGGAATGCAATGAGACTAGACCTTGCACAAAACAATTGTAATAAATAATATTGAAATATCTAAGACAGTTAAGGTTAAGATTTATTATTTAAAAGAAAATTGAGAACATGCTTTGGTGTATCTGTAGCAGAATCATGTAATGACTTGCACATTACATCAGGAAAAAAGTATGTTTTATGTTATTATTTTATCATCTTTGTGAACTATAGACTTCTGATCTTTTCCACTTTTCCATTCATAGCAAATAAAAAGCTTCAGAAATGACATTTGATCTAGTGAAAGGGGAGGGGGGAATTTCCAAAACACACTGCCTCAGGTTGAAAATAATAATACATTTGGAAATTTCATCTTGATTGTTTTAGTGTATGAACAGCACATCACTTGCCATGTGTTGAAACACTGAGCACATTATACCATCAGTGTAAAGATAAATGAAATGAGATGATGAAAGTATAGAAAGTCATGATATTGGTGTTGTATTATAGATGATAATAAGATCTATTTATCACTAGACGTATCAAATTTAATCATTAGATTACTGACTTCTGTTCTCTATTTAAATGATAGTGTTTTTATACTATATCATATATCATTTCCTTTTGTTTCTTATTAATTCATGTGAAGAACATATTTAGAACAAAAACATTTTCTGCTTTTATAAATGTTCTTAGAATCAAGTTCATCTGGAGACTGGTAGGGTGTATGAAAACATTTTCTTTATTCTTTTCAGTTTTTATAGCTCAGATGACTCAATGTGGATATTATTATTGTAGAAACATGTATATTGTATGTAACCTATACATCTGATTTTTAATCTGAGAAGGACTACAGATAGCTTAAATTACGCTCTGCTGTCTAACTGGTAGAGCTATTAGTTAAAGTTTACTCCATTTCCAAAAATAACTGTCTTGATGAAAGTTTTGTAATTAGAAGCATATATGAGAAACATGAAATGAGTCAATTAGATAACTATACATTTTCTGCATCATGTGATCAATATCAATTTTGAGTATCAGAAGGCCACATCAGAAAATTATACAAAATATTCAAGATTTCAAAAGTTCAAGATTTGAAAGAATATTTTCTGGTTAGTAGATCACCATATGGTGTATATCTAGCAAGACATTCAGCTTCTTTTAGAATGTTTACTAAAATACTCCAGAAAGTTATTATCATTCTTGAACATCAGTTGAACGTTTCTAAATATTTTGTCAATCTGGTATTTAGAACATAGGAAATATTGTCTTTTCTCAATGAAATATTATTCTTGTAAAAATTGTTTGTACCTAACACATGTGTTTCTGAAATTCTCTCAAATGAAATGATGATTTTTGTCTTATTTCTCTGTACTTGATAGGGCTCATTAGAACAGACAATGCCATGTAGTGTTCAATGAGGAAAATTTTGCCAGGAAAATGAGTTTCCATCCTAACAACTTTCCTCCACCATGCATTGATAATGAGGGTAAACCAGTTTGAATAATTTGTAGATGTTGGGATTGGACCCTATAATAAGAACTTTGAAAATAGAGCTAGTTGTCAAAATATAGATGAAGTTTGGCAGATTTGATATGAATGTGTGCCATGCCAAAATCGACATATTTCATACTGTTGAAAGTTCAATGTTTGACACAACCATCAGTTGGCATGAAATGTCTCTGGACACTTGTAATGGCAGTGAAATTCTTATCAATGATAGTATGAATTTGTGTAAGTTGGTTGAAAGGGTTATTGAGATGTTTTTGTTTATTGTTTTAGCTGTGAGGTAAACAATGTATTGGTGTTAAACCAATATTATTCTAATCAATAATAACCCTGTCTACAGCCAAAAATCTCTTAACTTTGATACTTAGTAACTTCTAGCCAGACTATTGTCTTTATTAACATTTTTCTATAAAAACAATGGGTTGTCTGGTCACTGTACCCTAGTATGTTAGATCTGTTGTAATGTGAAATGTTAATGAATATTGTGCAATATAAAAACATTATGTGATGAGGTTTTTATTCTGAATATTAAAACAGCATGTTAATATACAATAAAACATAATCCTAAGAAAAGGTAAAAAGAGAGTTAACATTTTAGTAGCAAAAAAAATATTAATAAAACATAAAATTTAAAGTGGGACTGTCTGCAATCATATGACATTTTTTTTGCAGAACTGGGCTATGAGCATAAAAACCTACCAAATCTATTCTTGATGTACTTATGTTCGGCAATGGTTTTTTTCGAATTTGTTTTATTTCTAATAACGAGAGGACATAGGTCATATGTGAAGTTCTATAGGCACAGTCAGTTACAGTGTTTGTTCTTTATATGGTGTCATTTGTTTGGATATGATGAACAAATTGTTGTGGGTTCTAATCGGCGTGAGAAAGTCTAATGACCTGGAAGAAGTCATCTTCACTCATAATTCCAGTCGACCCAGCTATAAATGGGTACAGATATCCCATTGGTTCAAAACTAGGTGGTAGAAATTATTTGTGAACTTAAGTTGTTATCCTTGAAAAATATAGTTGTTTTTGCTTTACTAAGCTCATTTTCAGCTATTTGTATCACTTTTCATAATGTCATTCTGAGATTCTCTCCTAGGAAACTGTTTCTCTTAATTGTAACTGCCCTGCAATAATTGAATTATATATTTTCAGATGTAAGAATACATTATTTAATGTAGAATGGCAAGGTGATGGTACTGTAACTATTAAAGCTTGTAATAATTGTTATATCTTTAATAAACCAACTGGATGTCTCTTCGCCTTGAGTGAAACAGCTACAGAGAAAGAAAGGTTTAAAATCAAGATGGTGAACCGACCAAAGATTATACTACGTTCTGATTTTGGTTTTGTTGGAATCAAGTCCGAATCAAAACCAGAATATATCTGTAATAAAACAGGTTATGAAAATATATGTTTAGAACCACAAGAAAATGGTTTCTATGGTTTTAAAGGTAAATATATTGTATGATATTATACCCGCTACTCATTAGAAAGTGCATAGAAGCCTTCTTATCTCTGCATTCGAAGTATTATTTAATTTCATATCATTTTCCATTCAGATGGCCTATTTTCTTTAGCACATAAATTGATGAAATTGTTAGATCATACCTAATTCTAGTTGAAAATATGGAGCAGATCTTATCTTCAGAATTCTTCTTTATTTCAACAATTGTACCAGAATCTTTGGTAATGTGCATATGATCAACTTCAGCTCTAGACTGAAATAGTTTATGTCAATCATTTCTGCAAGTTCCAATTAAAGGCATAAAATGTTATAAATATGTTTAAAGAGCCAGCTATATTTCAACTATCTGTAGTACTAAATAGAATTAAATCTTGGCAGAACTATACATCAAAATTCTATTTCTGTCTTGTGTTAGGATGCTATTGTTAAGTAATGCAAATATTAATTCTACATATTCTCTATACAAATCATACTGATTAAATATATCATTTTTTTGTATATTTCAGGCCCTAATGGTAAATATTGGGGATTAAATGCTGAGAGTTTTGTAATGGCTGAACAAGAAAAGCCTGTAAATTTTCTGTTAGAATTCCGAAAACAATCCCAAATCAGCATTAAAGCTCCTAATGGAAAATATTTGAAAGGTGAACAAAATGGACTATTTAGAGCTCGTGGTGATGAAATAGAAGCAGGAAGTTTGTGGGAATATTAGAATATTATCTATAGTGTTAATTTCACACACAATGAACCAGCTATTTATATGTACTGTACATATCTCTGCTAGAATGAAGAAACACAAAGCTCAATAACTTTAAGCATACATGTTTATGATTTATAACCTATTTTTTATGTCAGTGCTTTTTGTTGGATGGACCAAATTGCTGGTAATTTCATATAAATTTTGTATCTTGTATTGTGTATCTTTCAGTTTTATTAGTTGATTTAACCTGATATCACTATCACATTACAATTCCAGCTTTTCAAAGGAAATATTTTGACTTAATCTATTATGTTGTTTGTTTTGTTAAGGATTCTGTTCGTGATAATTTTATTTTTTAAATCAGAAAATACTGTGTCACAAGACCCTTCTTACATAATCTATTGTACATAACCTAATTTATTAACAAGTAGGAACAACGAATGAGTTATGATCTGATGATAGCGGTAGTAGATAATATTAACAAATCATGTAATATAACTAGTATTCTAACTTTGAATGAGGCATTTCCTCACAGTAACTTTTATATCATTATTTCAAAGCTTAAACTGTCAAACACTCGACACATATTATATGATATTCAAGAATCATTTAGATTGGAAAGGAAGTCAATTGTAGTACATGACACTATTAACCTAGGACATGCACAATAGTGAAACCAGGCTGTAGTTGAGGGAAATACTAAGCTTAGTAATTTTATTATGAAAATGGGGTTGTAGAGATTTATTTCTAATTGAGATGAGCTGGAAGTATGCTGTCATACATGTTTTGATTGATCATCAGGAAATCTAGTTAGGCATTAGGACATGTTAGAAATGTGAGCATGTTTAATAATGATCTAAAGTGCATATTCACATCCAAAATCTCCCTGGTTTAAGAATTGATTTTTTACAGATACTTGTTTGATAATATGTAGTGTTTGTAGCCTTTCAGACAAGACTCAATAATTCATTTAAATTATGCATTCCTTTCATACTAGCTGGATCATTAGTTTCATTATTTTATAGTCATTTTGTACTTGATCAATATCAACCCAAGCTTTTATTATATATTAAACTTATACACTACTTATTTCATGGTACTTTTGATACTAATTTATATTATTAGACATATATACTTATTACTGATGTTATGACTAGTTAATTATAAGATATATATTGGTAGCTAGCATGATGCTTTATCAATTTCGAAGTCATTTAATTAGCAATATGAATATATCAACGGCAAAAATTATTTCTCTTTTGACATTTCATATTTGAAATTCTGTATTTCACATGAAATTCATGAATACTGTTTCTATGTAAATACTTACTAAATTGCTTTTTACCTTGCTGTATGGATTATATTGCATGTTACGGAGTTTTGATATGTATCGAATATGAAACCTGTAAATACTTTCAAAGAATCAACCAATTTAGCCACAGAAATTTGCAGAAATATCAGGCAGTATATTTAGGTAATGAAACTTTTCACTCCTTGGGCTATATGAACAAAAATTACTTAGTTTCAAAAAATAAACCTTTAATTTACTTTGATACAGATACTTTGTGTTCTCACAATTCCATTTCATACGTATAGTTATTTAATATTGTATGCTTTGCCTATGGTCGATGGTAGATAAGTTTTCTATTCAAGTATAAATAGCATGCCTTATCAGATATATTCTTATATTTATTTGGCTATTTGTCAATAAATCTTTGTAAAACTATCTCTTACTATTATTGAAACTATTCAAACAATCAAATTGTCTCCCTTAGTGCACAATAGTACCTATTCACACTATCAGCATACTATCATAAAAATGCCCTCACACTATAGTAATTACCAGATGCATATGGTTGTGAATAATGAAAGGTCATGAATACCGAATGCATGTAACAACTGTGAGTTACGTTCGCAACAAATGAGGCTATTCTCTTCGCAACCCTACGCAACTGGTGATTGCTATGGTGTGAAGTCCTTAAAGAATCCATACTCTCAAATATCAAAACAATTAATATGCTATCATAATTAGTCCTTTGATGTAACTGGTGAAACTCCATTTTGTTGATATTGTCAGCCTTTTTATTACTAAATCAAAAAATGTTGAATACGCACAGCATCTTAAACATCAGATCGTAAAATGTCAGGCAATGTAATTGCAACGCAAATTGAAAATCTATGACATTAGTTCTGTTTCAGCGATTAACTTTATCATGTCACTGTAGCATTTTTAGGTTGAAGAAAGTTTGGTGCGGGCACTTGAAATCCTTGCTTGGAAGGATAGAATATATAGGAAAGTAAAATTTCATCCACATTTTCTAAACTGGGATCATCAGCCATCTCTGGATCAATATAGAAAAATACTGGTAAATCAACCTAAAAATAAAGTTCAAAATTGATTTAAATCATATACTATTTGTAAGACACATAGAATCATATTCTCAAAAGTCAATCCGTTCAGTTTAACATCTACCCTATTCAAATAGTCAAACAATGTTTGTATAAAGCTTAATTACACCGTAGATATAAAAGATAATATTTACCTGTTCTTTTGGATTCAGTAATTGATCTTCAAAACAGAAGCACTGAAATACAGGAAAAGATGTTGATAAGACCTTTATTACCCTTTTGGGAATTCTTGTGTATCGCCGGGCTGACAAAATAAAAGGAACATGTAATACATAGTTTGGACATGCCGAACATATCAATCAAACAATATACAATACTAAAGTGAGACTAGAAGAAATATCACAGATTGATTTGGCGTTTGTTAAATAAATTAAATGGAATAAAGGAATATTTTGCTCTATCTGTACTGAGTTTTGGTACTAGATAACGTTGTCCTGAACGTAGTAAATTGAATTCTGAGAAAATGGTTTGGATTATCAACTATAGTTTGAGAGAGCATAAGAACAGATTCATCGTTTAGAATGTTGAGGTACACTTTATACCAATGATTTTACTTGAGATATTTACTATTCAGTGTATTTAAAATCATAAAACACCATGTATAAATGAGGAGTAGAAAAGTGAAACAATGTTCTAATTTACATTGAAAGAGCGTAGTTTTCAAAGGAAATACAAATGTTGCTGACATTTACTGTAAATTCTATCAGTGTTTGGAGTACCATTTTTGAGACACAAATACGATGAAAATCACAGAATTAAACCATTTACCTGAATTTTATTAAAATATGGTCCAGCTTCATAAGGTATGATATTATACGTTGATATGCCAACAACAGGTTTATCAGTAGAGTTTCTGGCTGTGAAAAAAGCAAGGGCTGTTTCTCCCGGTTTTACCTGTCAAAATATAATTAATAAGTTATCACTGTATCAAGGTAGATAACTCTGTAACATAAATAACATATTTTTTTTTCTCTGCACCCATCTTCAGATGTGATAAACAGATGTAATATTGCCTTGTTTAATGTTGCTTTTAGGGCTGGGTAAAATAATTGAAATAATCGATATCATAGTTAGGAATTTATAATCTTTTAATTACCGGTACGTATTTACCAGGTTCTCAATTGAAATATTTCGATTATTAATCCATTATTGATTGGTAGCTTTCAGAATATTTGCTACGACAAAAGCCAAATCTAACTTTGTCCCTGACTGTTGCCCTACTGCTCTGCACAATATGGATTTCCCCTGGTACGTTTCTAAAGTATATATGCATGAATGTGGATCATATGAGTCACAGAATGCACGTCACCACCAAATATCGTCCTCGACTTATCATAAACAACAACTGGCGATGTACACAAATCTTTTGTGCTGCAAAATGTGCAAATAGATACCATTCTTAGAAACAAATAATGATGAAGGCATGTCTTACAATTATTTAACTTACATTTACTTCAGCTTGTAGTGGTCTGAAATTCCATTGTAACCTACTGGATGCATCAGCTTCAAATCTAACTTTAATGACTCGATCTTCTACAGGTTTCATTGTAGCAACTTTCTTCTCATTAATTTCTTGTACATATACACCACCTAGTCCCATTTGCTTTTCACATAAAATAAAAATTAAAAGCTTAGAGAAGGTATTATCCAAAATTCTTCCAACTAAAGAATAAAAACTTTGACTAATTTTCTGTCTGTATAATATGAATTAAGGTAAGCTTATAAACACTGGCTGGAAAGCAGTTTTTCGCTGGTGAAAACATTTTTTATAAAACATATTTCCATTCTGATTATTGGCATGTAAGAAAGAAAGTTGAGGTAACTCCTTTTTGTTTTTTTAGCTTGCTTTGTGACCTCTTCAGAACTATTATTTACTAAATTATCAGCAACCATCAAGAGTAGTGGACAAGTACTGGACAAGTACACAAATAATACATCACTAGTTTATTTATGAAGGATGATCAGGAGATACATTTACTTACCTGACAAAATATTCTGTAAAGTGGAACACCAGCGTATGCTACACCCAACATAACTATGCCCAGAGATGACATATACAATAGTACAGATTGAGTATCTTTTTTGTTAGATTGTCCACTATTACTATTCTGAATATTTCTCATTATAGTTAATCTGTCAATTCGGACACAGTTGAACAGCTTAGATCTAAATAATGTTTCGCTGCCCTTTCTCAAGTGGTGAATTTGCTTCCCTTGACATCGTAACACAGATGTCAGTAAATTTCCAGTTATCACAGATCTGTGTGATAATAATTTGAAACCACTCAATAAATACATCTGAATAAATAGAAAAGTAAAATCAGCATTAATATGGATTGAGTCGATTGACATTATGCTATTCAAAGATCTGACAATCCTGAGTTATTAACCCTGAGCACAACAAATTTGTGTACCTTCATCAATCATAGGCCTAACCCTCATGCCTTATTATGGGGCCACTTATTAACTCATTTCAAATGTGATAAGGATTGCATAGCATTGATTGAATAGATTGATTGGGGTGGGTCTGCAAAACCTGTAGCAGATGGTTATGAATGTTTAGATGGTAGCGATTGACCGGTCTCGAAGAAACCATTGGATTGATTTGGCTCTAGGATCCATACCAATACCAACAATATAGTCAATAGGGACTACCATCCATGACCATGGCATACATGCATGGATTTCATGATGTAGTCACTCAGAAAGAATCAGGACTAAAAGTTCTCAATTTCGGTCTATATTATCAAAAGAAAACTGTTCTTCATACATTTTAACAAATGCAAACACAGTTTTGTTACATACAGTCAACAATTGGACATTCGCCTACCTGCCTACCTTTGAATCAAACATAAACTAACGAAGAGATACTTTCATAACAAAATGTCACATAATCGACCTTGACCTATGTTTTTTACGACATCAGTATTCAAGCTTATTCCCTGCGTATTTTTCTTTGAATTACACTGTACAACTCTTTGATTATCAGCATTAGACATGAATACCAATTTATAAAACGTTTGTTATCTATTTTAGAACCAAATTTAGGTTGTACATATTCTTTAAGCGTAAACAATAACCAACAACCATCAACAGGTCGCAATTCTCTCGTGTCATTTTCCTTTGACATTTTAGCAGTTTAGTACAACAATATTTGGGATTGAGTAGTAATAAGACAACAGATCTATAAAATACACAAAAACACAAAATGGGTATATTAGAAAAAATTGCCGAAATAGAAAGGGAGATTGGTAGGACTCAAAAAAATAAAGGTATGGTATGTGCCACATCCTCATTTTCTTTGACTTTACATCATACATGACAAAATGTAATATCTTAAAATTTCAAATGATTTTAGGGTCTAAATCATAACTGGTGAAAATATAGGCCCTGTTAAAGTGATACTACATCTTGGAATGAATATAAAATTGAAGTTCTCGAAAAGGTCAATATGAGTATATATTCATCAGTTAGCTTACCTGGTGTCATAAAGTTTCAACAGAATCCCTGTAATCTGTCCGAATGATTATCAGAGGCTGGAATAAAAAAAACAGATGTTTTGGTAGAGTCACGATTTGATATCAATAACTTATCATTAGTGCTGGGTAGCCTATTGCCAATTATGTCCTGATACACTATGTATCACAATATAAGAGTTGCAGTACGATATGGGCTAATAGATTTAATGTAAAAATTTATCTTCAAACTTTCAATAAGTTTTTCACTGCTGTATATTTGGAAATTGGGTATAATATTACTAGTAATTTAATGTCAATAGGCTCAGTGTTGCCACCTTCACATTCACAAATTGAACTTTTTATGCATTTTTGATGACTTTTTCTTATATAAGCTTATGTATACATGTTTGTCTGGTATCACTGGTAATTTCAAGCATTGATACATACCACGTGATACAATACATGTATTAGAACATGTATCACGATTCACTATATATCGATTTTACCAATATATTGTACCAGCACTAATCATCATGGCATCATTTACCCTCTGATACACAAAATATTACAATATATAATCTGCATGTGAACCAATAGAACATCATGATATATATAATAATTGATTAGTAAAGGTGGACCATTGTACTGGTTAGCAAATCCAAAATGTTTCTGAACAACATGCTGAACTTTGGCTTATTTCCAAATAAGTGAACTGGTGCTTGAGTGATATATGGTCATGTTTGTTTCATAGGAAGACCCCATTTAAATGATCTGAATAACTTGACAATTTACTTTGATCTTGTGTCAGCGTACCTTCTGCATATATGTGTAATCTTCTGTTTGTGACCACCAACTTACCTGCAAAGTTTTGATAGAACAGATATCAATGGCTGTATTTCTAATTTGGTCTTTTTATTTAGCTACCGAATACCATCTGGGATTATTGAAAGCTAAATTAGCCAGATATCGTCAACAATTACTTGAGCCATCATCAAAATCTTCTGCTAAGGCAAGTTTTCAAATTATTTTTAATTAAGGTGATATTGTACAAAAGGCTTATTTTGATTAACGGATTAACGGTATTATTGATGTTGCATGATCGGTAATGAATTGATATTGTGACATTAAGCAATTGATTGAATCAATAAGGTTTTATAAATGATAGTATAAATTTGTTTTCAAGGGAGAAGGATTTGATGTTATGAAGTCAGGTGATGCTCGGGTAGCTCTTATAGGATTTCCTTCAGTTGGCAAGGTATGATGGTTAATTTCTTACATAGAGGAATGATACAGATACTTTTTTTACTATGACTTAAATATTAGGGGGTGAAAGCTGACAACAGGCAGATTCTGTGAAACATTGGCACTGGCATAAGATTTATCCTTACCATGAGAAGGATTCAAAACCCCAGCATTTAGTAAGAATATGACCATTGCTTACAGACTTTTCATAATGATGAAAATGAATACCAGTACATTGGAATATGAAGATTTCAAGGTATGTACTAGCTATTAACTGTTCTAAAAATGGCTTTTTTTTCAGTCCACATTACTGAATACATTAACAGATACTCATAGTGAATGTGCTTCTTATGAATTTACGACTTTAACATGTATTCCTGGTGTAATAGAGGTATGTTGTTACTTTAAGTGTCTTATTAATATTTTGAAAGTCTTAACTCAGACCATTCAAGTGATCTGATTTAAGAATTAGTTGATCTCCAATGTCTTTGGATTTACACACATTCAATTTTACTCTCAATACCTAGCTACTTCTCTTTCAGTGTTTTATAAAAGTAATATTTGCATTTAAAATTACATTTTATGATTCTATTTTTATACGCCCACACGTAAGATGGGCGTATATTGTAATCCCCCCGTCCGTCGGTCCGTCCGTCCGTCCGTTCACATTTGGCTCGTGCTCACTCTACAGGCTACAGTTCTTTATGGATTTTTTGATTTTTATTTTGTATGTCAATGTTGTTATGAAGATGATCCCTATTGATTTTCGTGATGATCGGATAATTTTTCACCGAAATATCGTGTCTGACTTTTTTCTCTATTAGCTATATTGTGCAACTCGTGCTCACTCTACAGGCTACAATTTTTTACAGATTCTTTTGATTTTTATTTTGTGTGTCAATGTCATTATGAAGATGATCCCATATGATTTTCGTGATGATCGGATAATTTTTCACCGAAATATCGTGTCTGACTTGACGTTTTTCTCTATTAGCTATATTGTGCAACTCGTGCTCACTCTACAGGCTACAATTTTTTACAGTTTCTTTTGATTTTTATTTTGTATGTCTATGTCGTTATGAACATGATCCCTATTGATTTTCATGATGATCTATCGATTTTCATGATGATCTGATAATTTTTCACCGAAATATCGTGTCTGACCTGACGTTTTACTCTATTAGCTATATTGTGCAACTCGTGCTCACTCTACAGGCTACAATTGTTTACAGATTCTTTTGATTTTTATTTTGTATGTCAATGTCATTATGAAGATGATCCCTATCGATTTTCGCGATGATCGGATAATATTTCACCGAAATATCGTGTCTGACTTGACGTTTCACTCTATTAGCTATATTGTGCAACCCTGTAGTCACTAAAGACTGTTTAATCATTTCTGACAGCTGCCAGTGGGCGTATGTTATCTTGCCTGGCAAGCTATCTTTCTATTATTTAGTATAAAGGTGCCAATATACAGTTGTTAGATTTACCTGGCATTATAGAAGGAGCTGCACAAGGTATGATATTTGCTTCAAATACGTACATTATATGTTAGTGTTCACAGTTACGAACTTATAACAAGTATATCAAGTGGTTTATGCATCAAAGGATGATTATTCTCAGAATTTAGCATTGGTTTTCTTTAACCTTTTGGAATATTTATTTCAATATTTATTATAGGTAAAGGAAGAGGACGACAAGTTATTGCTGTAGCTAGAACTGCTGATTTAGTCATTATTATGTTAGATGCAACTAAAAAAGATGTACAAAGGTACATAGTTTTCATTGTCATTCTTTCCCTTTGCTGTCTGCTCAGATAAAAAGCATAAAATATGCATGTTAATTGAAATAGATAGTTTCTTTCACCATACAAAATGATAATGTCCAATAGTGAGCAGATTGTTCTTGTTACAGTGACAGTTTTCTGTGATCAGAATGATTATCTTGTGTCAACTAAAATAACAGATGGTTTTTCTACTGTTATCACAGAATTTATTTTATTTTTTGATAATTTTAGACAATTATTAGAAAAAGAATTAGAAGCTGTTGGTATAAGATTGAATAGTAAAAGACCAAATATATATTTCAAGGTATGTGATCAGTATTCGATTTGTTTTTGCTATATAGTGTAAAAAATAATTCAAATTATACCATTATTATGCAAAATTTGACTTATGTCTTATTTCAGCAAAAGAAAGGAGGAGGAATTTCTTTCAATTCAACAGTACCATTAACTAAGTGTAATGAAAGAATGGTACAACTTATTCTACATGATGCTAGTATCCTTTAATGACACTTTTTACGTTACAGCCAATATAGGTATACAGATGTCTAATGCACTACTGCCATACACACTGAAGTCTGAAATAAATCTATTATATTAATACACAAAAAAATTAGCCTTAACAACTTTTTAAGAAATATTCAATGCTGAAATATTATTTCGAGATGATTGTACTACAGAAGAATTTGTTGATGTATTATTAGGTAGTAGAGTGTATCTACCCTGTTTATATGTAAGTGAAATGTAATGTAATTCCACCACATTCATGACAGTCTTACAGCTACTATTCTAATAATAATATAATCATTTTTTAAACCAATTTCAAAAATTTCTATCTAAAAAAAAAGCAAGTGCTACATGGAGAATAAAGAGCCAAGAACACCTTTCTTCGTTCCCCTATAGGCAGTGTTTCCAGTGCATTCAGTGCCTTATTTTAAACAGTCACTTATTTCTGAATGGCTGAAACTGAGCTCTATCAGCTTATCAGACAACTCTCCTTTTAAAAAAATGAAATAAAGCTAAAGGACTTTATTTTTCTAGGTATATAATAAAATAGATCAGATATCAATAGAGGAAGTAGATAGATTAGCTCATCAACCCCATTCTGTTGTAGTCAGGTGAATATTTTATCTGCATAAAATTGCACTCTTGTTTTGAACGCTAGAACTACTTGACAAACAATCGCCACATATAAACCAAGATTGTTATAACTATACCATTCCAGGTGTTTTTATGAAGGGGAATTTAACTTAATGTTGAATGTCGTCAACATCAGACATGAACATGGTTTATGTTTTGTTCTTTGTATTTCAAAATGATGCAAAGGTATTTTATGATTTGATGTATGGCAATATAGAAATATATTAAATCATTCTTATTTCAGTTGTAACATGAAATTAAATCTGGATTATTTATTAGAAATGGTATGGGAACATTTAGATCTCATTCGAATATTTACCAAAAAACGTAGTGGTAAGTTGTGAATTGTCTTAACAATTGATGGTTGTCAAAAGGAAAACTTTGGGAAAAAGTGAAATTGCTTCCATGTTATATACTCTAGGTAGGTAATTAAAATGTGATATTGTTTAGTTGTCGTATTTGTAGAGACAAATGTTAAGATTGATTTTGCAGCTGCTGCAAGGGGCGTCAGCTGACATTTGAATCATTCTACAGATTGCATAATGTATTGCAATTATTACCTAGATGTGTCACCAATAAGTTTGTGAGTTTGAAACTGCATTTAACATTCAAAATATTTTATCAAATTATAGAGGCTCCTGACTTTGAAGATGGTTTGATTATGAGAAGAAATTGCACAGTAGAGCATGTAGTATGTATGAGTATTAATTATTATATTCTTTCTTGGCTGCTCCAAGTTCTGAAACTGAAATTCTGATTCGGTACTGTTAACCAATTACAAGTTAAGTTTAGAATAGTAAAATAAGGTAATTGAAATATAATCAATTTAATCTTTTTCAGGTTCACTCTATTCACAGATCATTAGTTGAACGATTTAAAGTTGCATTAGTATGGGTTAGTATATAATAAAGTTAATTTGTATGTAACATCTCAACAAGTATCATTTGGCCAGGAACAATGATAACTTTTGAGTAGAAATTGCCCAGATTATCAATTGGGGTGCTTTTTTGATCAACTTATTTGCACATTGTTTGAATTCCAGATATTCTAATGATACAAAATTGTGATATTAAATATGAATCGTTTTACCAATTTTGGACTCTAATGCTATATTAAGGTAGAGTTGGGCGATATGAGATTTTTTGTGTATAGCGATATAGACAATTTTTTATCACGATATGTTCAAAATTTCTAGAAATAAACTCTTTGTAATGTTATAAAGTATCCCGTTTATTGTTTCTGCTTATAAATATTTGAAAACTGGCGCATGAGGTCCAAGATCTAGGACACAATGTCAAATTTTGATATTGACATGACTAAGTAACCCAAGCAATTTGGCCAGGAAGCTGATGAGGATGGGTTATTCTAAATCAGACACGATTATATTTTTGTCTATCAAACTGAAGAGTACCTAGTGTTGTTTTCCTGTTGTTATGCATATAATGCACATTGTGATATCATTCCCTTATTAAATTCAACGAAAAAACGCAAGAGTGTGCTGTAACACGAAAAGAACACAACATGCACTCGAAGAACCAATACATTGTAGGAAGGAGATTTATGGGCTGAAAGAGGTTGAATACCAACCTTCACAAAATGTCACAAACGTGCCCTAGTGAGGTTCACCAAATTGCTAAAGGCTTATTTGCAATTCAATTGTAACTAAATAGCCCAGCGTCATAGAAAGTAATTGTCTTATGGCAAGCCTCTAAGGAGCTATGTTACATATTTTTATACGCCCACACGTAAGATGGGCGTATTTTGTAATGTCCGTCCGTCCGTCCGTCCGTCCGTCCGTTCACATTTGGCTCGTGCTCACTCTACAGGCTACAGTTCTTTATGGATTCTTTTGATTTTTATTTTGTATGTCAATGTTGTTATGAAGATGATCCCTATTGATATTCGTGATGATCGGATAATTCACTAAAGACTGTTTAATCATTTCTGACAGCTGCCAGTGGGCGTATGTTACCTTGCCTGGCAAGCTATCTTTAGTTTCTAAACAGTGATTTTGGTTTATTTTATGAAATATAATCCCTAAAGTGTTTTGAAACTGATCGGCATAAAATAACCGACTGAATTTAAGAATAAATTGATGAGGTTAAGCTCTGCTTAAATCTATTGATATCGTCTTTTTTACATCTGGTATCAGGAAATATCTTCACAATAACATAACAACGGTATACCGGTATAGGAAAAAAGCCTTATTGTATTGTCCTTTTATTTTTCTCATACCATTTTTGTTCAATAATATTGCCAACTCTATATTAAGCCCACATATTTGTGTTTTTTCAGGGAACAAGTGTTAAATACAATCCTCAACATTGTGGCTTACATCATAAGATGCATGATGAAGATGTTTTACAGATATTCAAAAAATAGAGTGCTTAGTACTTTCCTCAACTTATACGCAAAACATAAAGACTAAAGACTATCCTAAGTGAATTGTAGTTCCTGTTCTTTTCAAATGAAACATGTATCATTAAAAAAATACGTTTAACTAAAACTTTTTTTTATTAAAATGAAGCAAAAGATGTTATGTTCTACTTGGTTTTAGCTATACCCTCACCTGAATGAAAAAATAATGCCAGATACAGATATTGTCTTACTATACAAATTAAAATGATTTCTATTGTTTTCTTGAAAAATAAAATTCATCCATTTTCTATTTTTAATTTGCTATGTATTTAAACAATGTTATACTTTGGATTTCGAGTTTTATTAGTGAATGTTACGAATGTTATTGTTGTTTTATGCCCTTTTATGACCTTTTTGCTCTGACAAAGAAAAGACATTGCCTTGCATTGTGCCATGATGGAAATGTGTCCAGTTCAGTTTCTTAGCCTTTTTTAGTGAATAGTTTGTAGCACAACCAGATTTGACACTTTTATCCTTGCGACTTGTATTTAAGTGATAACTGTTGAGGAAGTCTAATATTCAACCATCTATTTAAATGTGACTCTAACCTTTCAGAGGGGGAAGTAAGATTATTTCAAATATAAAATCGACAAAACTTATATTTCCATGTGCCTGAAGATTTTTTTTAAGAGAAAACTGAGAAATGGCATACAGTTGAAAATTTTGTTTGCAGATTTTTGAAATGGAAGATGAAAATTCAGCAATAAGTTCCATGTTGCTGAACAAACCCATTTTTCCCTACCCTACTGTTCACTATTAGGCTACATCTTTAAAGTCATCATTATCGAACCATCTGCCAGACCGTCGGTGCTTCTGAAGTACCAGAAATAATTATTCTAATTAATGTTTTCAAAAGACTCGTTCAATTTTTGATTTAAATGGAAGAATTATATTATCACCACTGTAGAGGGAGTTTTTCGGATTATATAAATGCATTCAAATCACGTGATTGGCGGCCATGATGGTTTGCATGGCGGAGAATGAAAAATTTATTTTGGACCTTTTCTCCTAATTTCTTTCAATTGTTGACACTATTTACGTGCTTAAAATGTCCGGACCAGTCGAAAGATGGCTAGAAACATTTATGTGCAAACATTATGCCAACGTTTTTGATTCATTCGGGTTCAAAACTCTACAATCGGTGAGTAAGCTTCTGAGTCGTATTATTAGTAAAAACTATAAAGGGGAAATCCGGGGCATTTCTGCCCGAATGTTATTTCGAAATTAATAAAATACCTAAATATACAGTGATTATTTTAAACCTCCTTACGCAGATTATATAATTTCTATGCACCTTCATCTGTGAAATCGAACTTACTAATCTATTGACTGTATATTAGTATGGGTATGGTATTATTTCAATGTTTGTCAGAGAAATCGAAAAATGTCTTTGCATTGAAAAAAAAATAAGTTGTAAGCTACATCATAGATTTGTTGTCTGTGAAGCATCAATTTGAAATAATTGAACAATACCTTTACACTTGTTTGGACCATAGGTTTGAAGACAATAAATGTTATCATTATGATTTTACTGGACAAATTGTATTTTTATCATTTTCTACTTACAGGTATGTCAACTTCAACCACACCAACTACAAGCTATGGGTGTAGCTCAAAATCATTGTGACCTTATTTTAGAAAATGTGTGTGTTCTACGACAAACCATGTCAGGTAAAAGCATAATGTTACAGATCATAGATATAGAAGCCCACAATCACATCTTTCTATTTGGACATGGAGTATCAAATTACCCCGGTTCCACCTTGCAACTGATAATGATAGATATTTTTTGAATAAGCAGATACATTGGTGTGGTTAGTTTTTGAATTATACATAATTGTTACATACATAATAATGTTATGTGATGTTTCCCACATTCTTATGTCATGCTTATGGTTGTGTCACATTTACATTTGAATAATAATTGCTTAATGTAGATTGATATCAGAGATAAAATCCGAAGCAGAAATGTAGGATATAAAACCCCATTTTATTTCATTGCGAGATTTCATTCCTGTTACAATCATAAAATTAATAACAATGTTTTCTTTTTTTTCTAGTTGGAGTAGCAAAGCATTCAACTAATCAAAGTTATGGTGATAATCCTGTAAATCCTGCAAGCAGTGCTTTAAGATCTGTAGCCATGACTACAAATTATCCACAATCACATGGACCAAACCCTGCATTGCAAGATGATTACACTTATGGCTCAAATAGTAACCAGAATAATCCAAATTCAGTATATCCAAAACAGTATGAAGAGGTAATTGTCATTGTTGCATTCAATCAGAGCTTTTGTGGTTTCAACCAGATTTATTATTGCGTGTAAAATTCCTCATTAAATCTATCTGCCATCTGGCCACATCTCCTTAAATTTTAACCTGGATTATTGGAAATGCTGTGCTATTTTTGAACTGATTTTCAAAATATTGAAGATAAGATACTTGTTTCATATTTTATGATAATAATATCATAGGCTAAAAACGCTGTCAAGATTGATATTCTACAATGAATAAGCTTACATATATTATTTATATAATTATTTAATATATAGCGTAAAGAGAACTTTGTCTACCTCTTATTGTATAGTATAGACTTTGATGACTACACAGGAGTATGATGTCCTTTTTAACTCTCATTCCAGCCACAGTCTGACATGACTAGAAGAGGTTATGGCAGGTATTCAGAACAAAACCAAGCAATGGCAATGCAGCAACAGCAGCATCACCAACAGCAACAAATGTTCCCACCTGGTTCTAATTACATTCATCAACAGTATGGAAATCAACAATATTTCTCTTCCAATCAGCCAAATAGTGCTTACTATAACTCTGCCAATCCACAACATCATCAACAGCAACAACAGCAGCAACAGCAACAACAGCAGCAGCAACAGCAGCATCATTTCAGCAGACAACAAATGATTCACAATGTTAATCCACAAGCAGTTGCTGATAACATTTTACAAATGGCTTCATCTTACCCTTCAAGTCAAACAGTTCAGGTCCCTTTGAATAAAAATAGAGCAGCTCCATATCATGTTCCACAACCTTCACATAACTACAACATACCAAATCAAACCAGTCAGAATATGATGTCCATGAACCAACAAAGAATTTATTCAAATGCCATGAATGCTGGTCCTCAACAGCAGGCTACTCGAACATCTCCTATCAGTCCTATGCCATTACAGAGTCCAGTATCTCATCATAGCAGTCAGAGTGTACCTAGTCCGTCATCAATTCATAGTCCATTGAGATCACCAGCTCAATCACCTGGTGGTGGAATGAGGTCACCATGTGGTGTTCAACCAATGGCTTCTCCACATCAACCAATGAGGTCACCTAGCCATGGCCATGGTCATCATTCTCAGCAGCAACAGCCAGTCAATTCATCGCCTCAGAGGATGTCTAACATGAGGTCACCAGTACAAACTCATTACTCACCAAACCATGGGAGTAGTCATACAACTTCTCCTTATCACACACCTAATATAGGAGTTCAGAGTCCGACAAACCACTATAGTCCACCTGCACCACCAGCACCACCTGTATCCTATATTAATACTGAATCAACTAAAGACAAGGTCTCATATTCTCAATCTGATCCTGTCAACCCTCTTCAATCTTTACAAAAACTCGTCATGCTTCCTGAAAGTCGGGTTGTTGATCCGAAGAGTGTTGTGAATGATGCTTGTTCGTCTTCGCCCCAAGTTAATGACAATTCAAAAAACTGTGATAGCTCTGCAGAATGGCTTAATAAGGATTGCAGCTGTTCTGCGGGAAGCACTAATCAAAGCAGTCCAGCAGAAACCCGCCCATTAAGTTCTTGTTTAAATGGTAAAAATTGTGATGAGACAAAGAACAGTGACATTGTGTCTGAAAATGTTTCTCCAGTTAATGAAGGAACAATGTTAGAATCAAAAACTGCTGATAAAACAATAATTGTTAGGAAGAACACTCCAAACACACTTCCAAATGGTGTTGCAGAGGATCATTTAAAAACATCAATAGAAACCAAACAAAAATTGTCCCCACCAAAGAAAATGTTGCTGAATGCTTATAACGAGTCATTACAGGATAAGGTAGAGGAAAAAGTTAATGATTTTGAAGACAGTAAAATTATTGATAAACAAGATCAGAATATTAAAGACAATTCTAGTTGTGACAAAATAATACCGAAACAATCTGACCATGAAACAAGTGCAAAAACAAACTGCCCTCATGATCTTTTGACAACAAATTCAACTGTTCTGGAAACTTCAGCTCATAAATTAGATGACAAAGTGATAGGGGACTGTATAGTAAAAAGTTCAATAGAATCACCTGTAGATGAGGTTGGCAATCAAAAGCCCTCTGATCCATCTGCAGACAGTTCAGTAAAAACTTTGTCAGGAGATAAACTAAATAAAGTGACAACAGATTCTGAATTGGAATGCTCAATGGAGCCTTCTGTAGATAAGTTAGATAGTAATGTGTTAGATAGTAATGTACCATCCGATTCCAAAAATGATCTTTGTGGAGGACCTTCAGTAGATGGTGCTTCAAAATTACTAGAAAATAATTCTAGTGTGAAACAATCTGATAGTGAATCAATTGTAAATGATCAAAAAGTAACCAACCCTGTTAAATCACCTGTTGATACTAAGAGTGAAGAAAGTGAAGAAGAGTTACATGTGCGTAAAGATACTGTGAACACATATTCTCGTGTTAGATTAACCACCTCAAGTAGTAGTGTAGAGAAAATGAGAAATAATTCTGATAATGAAAACAATGAGAATGCTAAGATTGTTTGTGATGATAGTGACGATGAAGATTTTAGTTTCACTATTGAAGAAGAGGAAAGTGAAGGATCATCTGAAGTTCATTCAGAGGTTGAGGAGAATTACCATCTGGAAGAAGATGACTTATTGAATGATGAAGAAGATATTAATGAATTACGTAATAAACTTAATGCTTTTTCACAGTCCACTGTAGAAACTCAATCTAAAGTTGGAATGAAAACTGAATTCAAAACTGAGAGTAATGTTCCTTCAGATTTGGATTCAGTAAGTAAAGTGTTATCACCCAATCGAAATGGCAAGCAAAACCCACGAAATACACCACCTATTTTAAAACGTGAAGGAGTTCCTTCGCAAAGTTCTACACCTTTGATTGTTAAAGATGAAAACTTTAAAAGGAAGCGAAATTCTGCTGAAAGTATTATAACTGTAAAGAAACCAAAAGTAGATAGTGAAAGTGAACCAGAAGTGGTTGAAATTACTGATTCAAGTGATGATGAAAAACCTTTAATAGATTTAAAACTTCCTTCAACCTCTACACCAACTTTAAAACATCAAATTAAAAAATCCAACTCTCCTATTAAAAATTCTGACATTTCATTAATTCTGAAGTCTGAGCCAATTACAAGCTCTTCAAATAAAAAAACAAACAAGTCTAAATCAATGACAAACTCTTTTAGAAACAGTAAATGTAAAAAGTCAGGAAAGAATCATAAAAAGAAAAACCCAACTCCAGACAGCAAGGAACATTTTAAAGACATGAATTTTGGGAAAACATTAAGTCTTTTGAAAAATAAGAAGAAAAGTGAACACAGTCAGAATGTTAGTCCATTTGTTAGACTTGTAGGTAGTAAGAGTGAACCTTTTTCTGTAACTGTATATAACGTACACCCTAATGAAGAGGAAGATATGAAACAGAAGAAAAATAAAGGTCCTGTTTCTTCAACTATTCAAATATCTAATTTGCCTTCAGATAAGTCCATTATGTTACCCCATTCACAAACTATAAATGAAGGCAATTGGGTTTGTGCATTGTGTGGTAAACGTAGTAGTTATAAGTTTCTAGGTGATTTATTTGGACCTTATTACATTGACTGTCATATTCCATTAGTGAAAAAACAAGTAGAAGGCGATAATAAAGCTAAAATACCAAAAATTGTTCCTGAGAGAAAACGTCGAAAATCTAAAGACAGACATTCTTTAGACTCTGATACTAAACCTAATGAAGTGTGGGTGCATGAAAATTGTACCTTGTGGTCTGATGGAGTATTTCTTGTTGGATCAAAAATCTATGGTCTGGAAGAAGCAATCAAAGTAGCATCATCTTCCGTAAGTTGAGTATTGATGCCTCTAATGTTTATAACTTATTGATAAAAATTCGAGTTTTTATCTGATTTTGATAAAACTCAGTTTGATTGCTTGTTTAAAGATGATTACAGTTAGTAGTCTGTTATGCATTTCGAAAAAAAGGAGTAATGTTTTTGTTAGTTTTCATACATCTTTCCTGTCATGTACATTTGCCTTATTATATCCTTTGTTTATGTAGGTATGTTCCATATGTAAAGAAAATGGTGCCATGATTGGTTGTTTACACAAGGGTTGTGAACAGAAATTTCACTTTATGTGTGCTGCTGAATCAAGTAAGTTGAAATTGATTACAAAAATATTTGTACTTGTTTCAGGAGCCTCCAGATCTGATTTTGTTATCACCATACCATTTCTCAACATTTATTCTTGACACCCATTACAGTTTGTTCATTCACACTATCGTCTAAGGGCATGAGCATTGATTTTAACAGTGAATTAAAAGGTTTTTTGAAAAATGAAATGAAATGTGGGGCGTATATTGCCGTCACCTCATTCTTGAAAACGCTTTCCAATTTTAGCTCTTAAACATTAAAAGACATGATTCTTCCAGGATTTTGACAAAACTTGGTTTTATTATTCAGTATTGCCCCAAAGAGTTCAAAAGAAATGTATAACTGAAGGTTGATAATTTCACACTGGAATTTTACTGTACTCCCAAATATTTTTATTCAAAATCAAAGCTACCAGTGGACGTATATTACTTTGCCTGGCAAGCTATCTTTTAAATGATAAGCTGTGTATATTTGAAATTTTTTTAGGGGGTTCACAATAATAGAGTTACTACCGGTATCAAACTGGTTAATTTAAAGGAAACAATTAGCAGGGCCTGGTATTTGAAAATTTCAAGTCTTGTGTTTAGTTTGTTTCAGGCTTTCATTTAGTCATTTTATTTCCAGAATGTTACTTAGATGAAGATAATTTTTCTTTATTATGTGTTCAACACAAGGTAGGTCAATATTTGTATGTTATATAATTGTTATGTATGATTGAAAATTAGATATACTACCTCAGTCAAAGATACTAAATTTATCATCAGCTCAAAACTATCATTTTCATTTTTAAAAAATCTATGATTCCATAATATTGATGTCACCAAAAATTCCGCCAAAAATTAAAATGTTTAGTTTCGTTGTATGAAATCTGTGATCTCTAAAATAAACAAAACTGATTAGCGCAAATTTATATTAACTGTTGTGGCGGTCGGGATTTAAAACCCACCCATCACTGTATTTTTTTACTGGTGTTTTGCCAGTTATGTCTGACATCACTTTTACTATTTATGAGCAAGGTTAATGTTCTCAGTAATTTATTTTGGATTCAATTTTGTACTTTAAAGATGATATTATTATTATTATTATTACGTTTAAACACAATAAAAAGGAATATATTATTTTAAGGGTAAAAGAAAGAAAGATTTAGATAGTTCTAAAAGTAAAACCTGACAGTAAGGTAAGTAATGTAAGACATCTACACTAAATTTCTCTAATCTCCTTGGATGTGTTATCACAGGAAATATGGTCACAGGCAAATTAGTTTTATAACAATATAACTTGTGACCAATTTTCAGATGATACCAGAAGTTCCTTAGATACAGACATAAATTCGAAAAAAATAAAAATAAACTGTACAGTGGTGTAACCTATTTTCGTGGATGTAAGGATTCAACACCAAATTTCGTCAAAGTTAAAAAAAACTAAAAAAAAATTTTTATGTCTTAGATGTTTCCTCAGATATTCTACAAAATAATTAAAATTGGTTTGTTTCGATTTTCTTTATGAATTCTTCACTTTGACCCATATTTCATGAGCAACCAACTCGGCAACGGCGGCAGAATGCGTCACCTATTTTCGTGTACAATGTTTGAACTATAAATAAGTCTAGAAAAACACGTTATATGGATACCGGGTGGTATAATTAACTTTTCTTAGTATTTATCTTTAATATCAATTCATTATAACTAGTGACAATTCCTTCAAAGAACCACGATTTAAGAAAAAAATAGTGACTGACAAAATAAGATACGTAGCGTGATTTATTGCTAAAAGTCACTGAAACAACATAAGAATATGGTCCTCTTTGTGTTCCATAGAAATTTTCTGCTGACACGGAATCCGCTAGTTGATCACGTGACTTCATTCGTTGGACTACATTCTAGCAGATGACACTTGGAATTCCGATTACCGCTTGGGATTATAAGGAAATTCGGCCGACAAAAAATTGTGACGTTTGGTAATAAGTGAAATCCGCCATTTTGTATTTGTCAAAGTATACATTAATACATTTTACATTGCTTGAAGCTACTGGATTCATTCTACTATCTGATATTGTAGAGAAAACCCATGTTTATCAAAACAAACTAATGCGGAGGTCGCGCAAGGTCGCTCATGTAAATTATTAATCGTTTCCGGAAATCCACGAAATTAGGTTACTTGACTGTATATATATATAGACATAACAAACATTATTGAAGTTTATGAGTTTATAATGACTTTTGGGCAATATCATATTCTTTGGTAAATATTCAGTCTTTGCTCATGATCCACCTTGAATTTGAATTTTATGCCAGAAAGTGCAAAACTTGAAATTTCTGTTAAAAGTTTCAATGTTGTTAAATTGTTAAAGTGTGACACATTTACAACATAGCTAAAAAAAAATTGTTTTATCTGTTTTAGACATGGAAGAGAAAGTTATTTCATGTGCTTGAAGTCTGTGGTGTAGAGAGTACTAAATGTTGGTAGAAGAGTTTGGAATTCATAATTGTTAATTGAAACATAACTTTTTTTTAGTTTGTATTCAGTTTACAGTTTTCTAACAACATTATTGGTGAACCAAGTACATCACATGTTATTTTAAACTGATGTTTTACCACATATACTGAATTCATATGATGATAATAAACAACACTAACATACTTTAAAGTTAAATTAAAGGGATTGTAAAGGTGTTTTCTATTGGAGGCACTGATAGCATAAAATTTAATCATTCCAATTTTAAGACAGACATATGTGGTTTGTGCAATTCCACAAATTTTTTGATGATGTCATTAATCACAAAATGTGCCTTATCACATTAGGCCCTTCGTGATTATTAACCACAAATACCTGTTTGAAAATAGGTATGGTGCAAATTGATGCTATCAGTGTCGATACACATAAAAAATTGAGAAGATCTCCTTACAATCCCTGTAAGTACAATTAATAGAGACAATGTCTTGTGTTGTGTATGGTGTGGGATTAACAATAAAAAAGAAAATAGCAAAGTGAATACATGTTGAACAGCTTCAGATATGATGCAGACACGATTTTCTTATATTTCGGATAATCCAGTGCCATATATCGGCTGTATCAAACAATCTTTATTGTTATGATTTCTTGATTGTTCTTCTTACTAATGGAATTAATATTTTCGATCGATGAAAGGCAAATGGTGATGCATTTTCAATCAAACACTATAAACCACTATAAACATGGCAATTTGTGTACTTTATTATTGGTTATCTGGATTAATACTATATTTTTACAACTTAAGGCGTGTCTTTTCAACTTTTTAACATTAAAGCAAAATGTGAAGACTTCTAAAAACATTGTGCTGCTTATTTTAAGACTTAAAACTCTCCCAATTAGTTGTAAAGATAAAGAATTAGTCTATTGTATTCTCTATTAATTTAACGTTAGTTTCAATATTTGATTGTTTGTGAAAATACAATTCAACACCAATAGTTTTTATACAGATTCTAACATTTCTGTTGAAATATGTGTGGAATTAAAGTTTCACTTTGTTAATGTGCTTGTTCTAGTTTGAATCTGTTTTAAACTTTAAATTAGCAGTTATACAATTTTATATTCGGCAGAATAAATCTTTTGATGAAAATTTACATGCAGCTGAATACTTTGCTAACTTTGCTTTCTTTCAGTTCCCTCCCTTCAAGAACTATTGATATCACTGTCTCTGTATGCCCTAAAATCAAATGAGTTCTCACATGGAATTCAGTTATATCATGATGCTAAAGTCCTAATGCAAGCAGGAAATTGCAAAAGGATTCAATGAAAGAATGAAATAACATAAAGCATGTGTACGGAAGAATGGCTTATACGCTGCTAAAAGCATGGCTTTAAAAGGTAACTGTTGTCTGTACAGAGTAATATCAAAGTTACCTCCCATTAACAATAAGTGGATCTTTGATGACCACTTTTCTTGATCGATTTGCCCAAGTAATTTTGCTTGCGCATATTTCGTGAAATTTGTTCATCAAATTGAAATTTATTACCCTGATCAGCGTATATTGTCAACATCCAATTCAAAATCGATTATCCCCAATCGTCGAATCACCTTGTTATGGGCTTCCATGATTAAATTGGATAGTCAGATGTTTGAAATGTGGAAGATGATTGTTTTATATAAATTAATCATATCTTCAATTTAAATTAATGAACGATTTCTTGCTGTGTAAGCTTATATTGGAAAATGTTGTTTCAAATATTATAATTCATTCACTCACAATATCTTTTGCGATCCCATCTATTTCGGAAAGTAAACCATCTGTGTGAAAAATGCCCCTCGTCTGAATGTGCCTAAAACACTGTGCCTGAAAGCCTTTTGCCGAATATTATTGTGCCTAAAAAGTGTATGCCTTAATGAATATGTGATAAATTGAAGGTGTGCCTAAATCACTGTCTATAAAACACTAGCTGTGCCTATATGAAAGTACATTCAATCGGGCAGCGACCGAAAAATCCTCGGGCATAGAAGTAGTATACGCCTATTTTCGGGTGATGCTCTCGCAGTCGTGCTTCGCCTGAGATCTCAAGCCTTTAAAATTTTCAGGCAAACCACAATGCCCACCCAACGCCTAGACCTATGGCTAATATATCGATTGCTAAGTACCACTGCACTATGCCTAAGCTGATCAGTGTAGCCTGTGCCCTAGACCTATTTTAACGGACATCTATACTATGCCATAGAAGATGCATGTGCCTTTGGTCTAGCAGTTATAAAAAGTTAACAGAAAATAATCCAAATAAAATAAAAAAAAATGTATTTCTATTGTACGCGCCAGAGTTAGAAAGATAACTCTATCATCTCATAAGACGCAATACATCCATATAAGGAATATAATTATAGGGAAATCTAGACAAATCAACAGGAAACCCTGGCTCACCTATAATGACGTCATTCTTAAGTTCATCCTTGCGCATTCCTTAGTCGATTATGAATCATTGACATGTTAATTTTTTCGTATGATTTGAGCAGCATTATTTCAATGAATTTATTACCAAAAATTATTGACCCAAATTTATTATCAAATAAGCCCACAAGTTAGTTCCGATTAGAAAGTATTTGAGAATGAATAGGGCGTGCCATTTGGCTCCAAAATGTCACGTGATCGAATCAACCAATTATCAGTTGGCTCTGTGTGTAATATTGAGGACAGTGAATAAACTGCATGCTGTCAACACAATAACTTATAAACAAGTGATTTAAAGTGTATGATCGAGTTATAATGCTATCCTCATCGGTTCCAGAAAGTGTCTAGAGAGTTTTAAGTTTCTTAGATGTTGTGAATTATTATTTTTTGAGTGAATATACATAGACTATTGTAGATTTTCGCGGGCCGGTTTTACCTTTAAAACCAAAATGGCGGAAGATCATTTAGTGGGGCTATCTGCCCAAGAATTAAGATATCTTACTGTAGATAGAAGCCTAGTGAACGACCCTTCAGTTCAAGCGGAATGGGCGGGAAGGAAATTGATTTGGGTGCCAGACGAGCAAAATGGATTTGTTATGGCCAGCATCAAAGGGGAGCGAGGAGATCAACTGGAAGTTATCGTGGATGAAACTGGTCAAAAGAGGACAGTCCACCGAGATGATGTCCAAAAAATGAACCCTCCAAAGTTTAGCAAAGTAGAGGATATGGCTGAATTGACTTGTTTGAATGAAGCTTCAGTTTTACATAATTTAAAAGACAGATATTATTCAGGATTAATTTATGTAAGTGAGAAATACTCACCTGGTAACAATTTGAAAAATTAATTTTTTGTTTGACTTGTGTCATGGCACACTGCACTGACACTGTCGACATTGCAGTCCTTTGCAGATTAGGATTACCTAAGGCCTGGTCTTTGCCCATTGATTACTGTCTGCTGCCTTTTGCTTCTAAAAGATAGTTAACTTTATTTGGCCTAGCCAGAATGTGAAGACGAGTGGAAGAAAAACCATATCTGTAATGATTCATGGATATAAGATAGGCCTCTATATTGTGGGGTGGCTGTGTCATGGTCATAAAGCCTCAAAACTTCACTTAAAACAGCACTTGCCTGGTCAAGAAGCAATAGCAAAAGTTTTGGTGATGACTTTTATAAATTTGGGCTTGGGAAATGGGAATACATTCAATATGTTCAGTTGCTTGTCCTAGTTTCGTAGTCTGTCTGAAATTAAAAAAAAAAATCTTTCTTTAGCAATTAAGTTCTAAATTGGATTAGGAAAATATCAGTATCATACAGTAGTTTAGCCGTAACTTTATGATAATTCTTATAATTAAGATTGAAGTTTTAGATCGTTTGTTACCTGTAAAAGTGATCGTTGATGAACTAATTAAGGAGGAGTATCTTGGGTTAGGAATATATATCTGTATTGTTTTCTGTAGTTGTACAAGTTGTTTGAGGATGTATCAGAAAATTTGAAGTTGGGAAATTGTATCATTGACAAGATGAAAACTTCAAATTTTCTGACTTATAATATCTATAAATTTATTTGTTTAAAGAGAAAGTCTAACTCTCAAAGTTGCCAAAGTTTTGCAGTTTAAGATTGTATTTTTAAACTTTATCTCTAGATATTGGTTATCATATTAAAGTTACTTTAGGAGTTATTTAGTTAATCCTACTATTGCTTTTCCTTTCTTTACAGACCTATTCTGGCTTATTCTGTGTTGTCATCAACCCCTATAAAAGATTGCCAATTTACCAAGAAAAAGTTATTGAACTGTATAAGGGGAAAAAACGTCATGAAGTTCCTCCACATGTTTATGCCATTGCTGATACTGCTTACAGATCTATGTTGCAAGGTAGGTTGTGTTTGATGTTAAAAATGATCAACATTTATAAACAAAATATTATAGATCTAACAGAAATAATAAATTTTTATGTAGGCTTGCGATCTTTTAGAAAGTACAATCTATTTTGATAGAAAGCCTGTTACACCAGTTGAAGAGATCATTGAAGCAGTAAACTACAATACTTTGTTAATGACCTTTCTATTGACTTAAACCAGACTTTAGCAAGACCATGTCACATTCTCTATTGTATTCTTCTCTATAGTTGACAGTTGACAAGACTAACTACTATCAACTACCATTTACATCATAAATATCTTATAAAAGGTCAAAAATACAACCTTATCAATACTTTTTTTTTTACTTCTCAGCTTAAACAGCAGATTTGGCTTATGAGCTTGCTTTTCAAATTGACCATTTCTGCAATTTAGGAGTTCACAACCCTTTAAGTAATTCATAATTTTGGGGGGTTGCAGCATAGACTCAGTTTTGTTTTGTGCAAACTTATAACAATCCCTTAACAAGGTTTTGGGTGCTACAAGGGATTGGTGGCCTCAATTGAACTTTATGACTATTGTAAATAAAATTGCACTAAAAAAGGACAAGGATTTTGCTACCAATTTTAACCAATACTAAATCTTATCCAATACTGGTACCAAACTCTGAAGAAATATAGAGTGATGTTTTACACCTGGTTGTGGATGTTATTTCATTCATGACTAAGTATGTTATGTGAAAGTATTTTAATCAGTAAGGTTGTATGTGTAGTGTAACTATCTGGTAAAGATATTTTCACCATGTAATCCTCTCTAATTATCAAGTCTAGTCTCGACTGGTATAATAAACATTCACCAGATGTTTTTGAATATTTTTTTCTCATGCAATCAATGCACCTCTGACAGAACATTAAGGAAGACTTACATTTCCTATCGAAGGAATGTTCTACACTACACAACTTTTGTTCATAAGCATTCTATGTTATGGACATGGTTTTAGTGCCAGTAACTGTTGTGGGTCTGAAAAGTCGCTTTATTAGTAAAGGTGTAAATGGGGTCATGCTGATCTTGACAGTTAAGGGTCATTAATCTATACATAAAATAATAGTTCTGAATACAGGTTGAACTTTGCCCATAGTAATAAATTATGTATGGTTGAATACCCAAATAAATGTATTACGTTATATACATTTACATTTAACTATTTCATGGCAAATAAACAATCTAGATTTTATTACTTTATTGTTGTAATATTAAATTCTTATCATCTAGCTACTTGACTTCCTTTCCCTCTTAAACTACTTTATGAATATATTGCACCACTGACAGGAAATTCTTTACAATAATTATAATTTGAAAAATTCCCATACTTACTTGGTTCATAAAGGTGATATTTTATACAATATTTTTGGCAATGATTTAGTGTTCAAATTATGCACTTGGTAATTCTTGGTATATTATGTTAAGTTAAAATAGCTATGAGACTGTTGTATTAAGTTTTCAATACCGGTACAACATTTTAATCATTTTCAACACTAGAATCCACTGATGTCTGATACTGATTTGGCTTTCCAATGACCAAGATCTGAATCAAGAGTATTACAGTCCCTGGCTTTAAAATGCAACTATGAAGTCTTTCATGTCAAAATCTAGCACATTTCCTCATTTCATCTATCTTCCTGGTCTTAAGAGAGGATATTATTAATGTTGTACACCCGAGACACAAAGGACTAAGTGTTAATGTTCAACTTTCTCTGCCCTGCAGCCATTTACATGAATACTGATACTCGGATACTGTAAATCAGTCAGTATTAAGACCACCACCTGTTATTATTGTCTAGAGACTCTCAGACCTTACTCTCTATCATGTTGTTCCAATCATTGACTAAAAATATCTGTTACTGATTTACTCTGTCACGATCCTTGTGTAGTACTGCTTCTTTCTTTAGCATCAAAAAGTTGACCTACTCATTCATTTTACTCATAGACTGCCAGGTTTTTAAC